GATGGCGCTGGGGGTCGGCTGGTGATGGGGTCTCTCACTCAGCTAATATGGCAACTCTGGCCTGCTCTTTTTTCTCTCTCGCTGGCGATCGGTGTGCGCTGTAGCAATTATTATTTTATTATCACTTTTTCCGTTGCTTCGTTTTGCGCTTCTACGCTTTTAAATGCTTTTGTTGTTATCGCGTTGTGCTTTTTGCCTCTTTTTTTTTGCTGTTTGCTTTTTTCTGCCTGGTGCTCCCCAGACCTTCCTTAGTCAGCAAAATTTCGCATATTTGTGCGGGGGAATGTGGTTGTCGATGGGGTCGTTTGTTTGTCTGCGTGCGCGTGTTTTACGGACCGTGCGTGTGTGTGTGTGTGTGTGTGAGTGTGGCGTACGTAATCAACAATAGGAGGGGGGGCAACAACAAAAACAACGTCTGACTGGCTGGCGACAGTCTTTCATTTCGATTCGTTTCGTTTCATTTCGCTTCGTACTTCGCGTCACCTGTTGTTGTTTTTTTTTATTTTGTTTTTTTTTCTTAATTTTTGCTTGATTTGATCATTTCTCAGTGGCTGCCGTAAAATCAAAAGCTGAATAAGAAGAAGCAGCGACCCTGTGCTTACTTTTGATTGACAATTGCAACTGTGTGTGAGGAGATTGAGAGCTCATATGTATGAGTGTGTGTGAGTTGTGCGGGGGGCGACGACGAAGCTGCCGCAATTATTTGATTATTGTACTTTTTTTTCTGTTGTCCGCGCTGACGTCGCGTCTTTTTAACACCCAGTAACCCAATAAAACCATGGGTATATTGTATTCTTTGAAAGGAAATCACTTCCGAAACTAAAACTGTTGGAAACTCAGGTTTTAGTGGGTTTATGACTAAGAAATGTATGATAAATCCTGAATAACTATCAGAAAAACCATATTTATAATATTTTTTGAAAACTCCAATTATGATATCTTGGAATATTGATGTTTATACCACAAACTGGACAACGACATTAAAAAACTTTTTCAGAATTTTAATTCTAGAATAAAGAAAACCATTGATCTTTTTTTAACAAAAATTAAATTTCAGAAATATGACAGATCTCAGGAACTATTACAAGTAGTTCAAAACTTTTTGGGATACGGCATTCAGAATATCTTTCTAAATGATTGAAACTTTTCAAAACTATTGTTTTGAAAATTACTTGTGCGGGATCGATCATTAAATGTTTATACACCCTACCATTTTTAACGGGTACATCGCAGTCGAATAAGTCGACTTTAGACTTCTTACTTGTTGTTTTTGCCCTGTTCGGTCGCTTCTTCGTTTTCTTTTCGCACACACAACTCACAAACACACTCGCTGAACACACTCTGAATGAATTTCGCTGGTCGCCTCGTCTAGTTGCCTTAAATGTTTCAGTCGCGTCGGTTGTCGTCGATTTTCGATTGTCGCTGTCGCCTTTTCGATTTCTTGCTTTTCGCGCCGCCAGATTTTTTCTCGCCGTGCATTTCCAATTGTTGCGTTTCGCCAATAATCAACAACAACAGCAGTAGCTATGCAAATGAGCGGGATAGACGGAAAAATGCGTGTGGTCACAATTAAGCTCGGGTATGTGTATATTTCACTTTACCGTTTTGCCTGTTTTCGTAGCTTTTATCGGGCGTTTCGTTGTTCACTGGAATTTCGGAATCTTTTCCGCGAATTTGACGTATCATACACCCGCTTTTTTTTTGCCACCGCTGTAAAGCGCTGCTCGCTAATAAATTATAAACAATTGCCAAGTGGGCGAGTGCTTAGTGCTTTTTGCACTGCGATGACGTCGTCGTTACGGGGGAATGGATGACTGAGGGAATGACCGAATGGCAGAGTGACAGACTGACAGACTGACAGACTGACCGTCAGACAGATGTGTGGACTTTGTGGCGCCGTTGCCGCACCTCCTTGTTTTTTCATTTCATTATTTCTCTGTGCTTGTGTAGATGTTTATAAAATATTCTCTTTTCGTTTTATTTAATTTTTAAACTCAGTCACTCCGTCAATCGCGAAATGCACTTGTGACGTAGGCGATAGCGTGCGCTCAATATGTGCGACGATTTATCAACCGACAAACGGGCTTCTCTACACAAAAATAACAAATATTAAAATAATATCTGGAAAAAAAAATTGTTTCTCACTACTAAACAAATTGTGTAATAGATTTGTAGTATTAATTGATTGGGGTCAAATAAATATTTTCCAGATTTATTTTTGGAAGATAATTTTTGTTTATATTTTTTAAAAACAATCTTTACCCCTTTCCTAATGAAAAACATTTTGTTTTAGTGTACCCTACCCTGTTTGATTATTTGCCACAGCGCCTTATTTTTTGCACTTTGCACGGGGGCAATTGTTTTTCGCCTGGCTCAATAAAAATGTGCATGCAAATGAAAATGCCAATGCAAATGCAGTTCCAGTTTGTATTTTTATATACCTACGTTCCCATGTGTTTCACGTTTACTTGGCGTTTTCACGCCTCGAAAATGCTTGCAAAACAGGCGTAATTAGAACCCCCAAATCGTTAAACAAAAATTCGTGATAACGAAAATGTCATATTCGTATTTACTTGACGGCTGTGGCAAATGGATTTTTCGTGGCTAACAATAATGGTGTAAAGTAAAAGATCTTTAAACGTCACTGTGCACTTTGCGCCTTTGTGTACTTTGGGTATCTTGGGAATATGAGTATTCTTGTTTTAATTGCTGGGGTTTTTATAAGCGCCTCCTCCTTCTGATTAGCTTATCTTCTTTATTAACGCTCGACTTTATTATATTGTTGTGACTCTTGATGGCTTTAGTTTCGCCAGTCTTTATAATTTAGTTTGGTTCGTGATTGTGTACAGTTGAACTTCAATAGCTTAGAATTTCGTAATTGAAAATGTTAAAAATTTATTTTTTAATTTTATTGATAATCTTTAAAGTTATTTTTGATCTATAAGCGTATGTTTTAAGTTAATATTAAAAATATGAATTGTTAATTTCAAAATATAGAACTTAGTCTGTATAATTCCCAAGATCAGAATATTTCTTAAAGGCAAAGATTTTTGTTATTGGACTTTGTACGGCTTACTTAGTCAAAATACTTGTTCTTCTTTTTCCGCTCTTGTTTTTATTAGAAACAAACAACGCATGCCTTATAATCGCTACAACACATACAATGTACATATTTCAATTGTGGCGCAGTTGGCGCCTTGTAATTGACCTACTCACTCGTTTTATTAATAAGTCGAGTACATACACATATTTACTACACGTGATTATGTAATTAGGATTTGGATCCCCGAGCAGCTAATCGCCAGCGAATGCCACTTAATTGCCCAACAAGTTGACAATCTGACAGCCATATACGAATACGAATCGGAATACGAATCCGAATATCGGATAACTGACGTCAACGCGTCTGCAGCCCAGCAAATTGCCAATCACTTGGGTTACAATGGGGGATCGCTTATCGGGGACTTTGTTTCTGACTCAGGCACACGATAGTCCCCACTGATAACTGATAATGAATCTGGCAAACACACGTACCGAAAATATATACCGTGAATATATGGAGCTTTGCATTATCAATGGAACTTTTGGGCAATTTTTTTTTTTTTCGTAGGTTTTTTTTTTTTTTGCGGTCGCACGGCTTGAAAGCCTTATAGCCGCCGTGTGCTGATAACAAATTGAGTAAACATTGGGACGCGACGAGAGTCGCTGCGATCGCATAATGCCGTATAATGTGTATAATAATAACGCTGAATGCTAAACAGTCGCAGTCGAGTCAATTAACGCGACCCAACTCGGTTGCCAGTGAGTTTATATATGTGTTTTTTTTGGTCTGTGTGCGATTGTGATTTGAGAACTGCCCCGGCTTACTAATCGCCCGACGACCGAGTCATATAATATATGCAGACAGTGGGGCTCGTAAAAATAGCAGCAGTTGTCAGTGTTCATACAGTCTTATCAAAAGCAAATAAACAGTGTGACCAGTCCAAAGTTATCTTAAGTTATTTCGAAAATTTATGAAAAATGTTGTACTCCTTATACATTAAAGAGTATGCAAATTTTTTATAAAAACCCATTCCTTAATAGAATTGTTTAAATATAAAATACACTTTATAAACATTATCTTCATGGGTACTTGAACATTTTTAAGTTCTCTCGCTCTCTCTCTATCCTAATATTTGGCAACACTTTATAATCCCATTTTGTAATCTCCTGCCATCAGCTTTATAGTACTGATACGCACTGTTGTCACACATGTGTGCACGAGCTGTGATAAGGAAGCCCCCAACAACAACGAAACGAGTCGCCAGTGACACCAGTCATTACACTTCACTTGTCACTTTTCTTGGATTTTCGTATTTCGATTTTTGGTCGCCTGTCTGCCTGGCTTTTTTTCAGCAGGTGGGGCCCGAACCCTAAGCCATGTTGGGAATTCAAAATAGAAAGTTGATAAAAATGAAAGAAGGCAAAAATACACGGTTATTGTATTTTTGCCACTGTGCTTTATCGATGTTGACACGTTCGCACATAGTGGGAAATTGATTTTCAATATTGCACAGGAATTTGCCAATTTGTGAATCACCTGGTGGATTGATCGCAGCGGGGCGGAATTAACGTGCTCAGTATCTGGCATTCTCGGCTACGCGTTGATAAGATTGAGCCCCCAATTAGAGCTGATAATGGTGGCTGGAAATATAGCTGTTCTATGGGAAACCCAGGCGCGAACAGCAAGTGCACTTGAATTATTTAAAAGTCGTACGAGCCAAAGGGTCTATTAGCTGAAAATTAAATAATTAATTGCATTGGAAGCAAAGCCAAGTTCTTGGACAGTTGAAATGTTCTGGTCATTCGCATAGTTAGCCAGATTTTTACCAGTTTATCATTTAAAATATTTAAATGGGCTTATCATGGATGTATCAATTAGCATTGGCATTTAAATTAAATTATGCGGAATACATTGAATTAATTTTGGATTTCTTTTTTCTCTCTCGTTTCGCCTTTAGATGAGCCCGCTGCAAATACGTCACAGGGTAATAAATTCGATAATAATATGGAAAATGCAACAACCACAACGGCCAAGCATTACAAAACCGCAGGCAAACAGTACAAGACCAATAAAGTGAACAATACGCGACGTGCCACAGCAGCAGCAGCAGCAGCAGCGGCAGCAGCAGCAGCAACCACAACAGTAACAACAGCAGCAGCAGCAACATCAACCAAGAAGCAGACATATCGGGAAACTGCAACAGCAACCACAGTCACTAAGAGAACAAGCAACAAAGCCAACACAGCAGCAGCAACAGAAGCAACATTAAACGTTAAAGCAGCAGCAGCAACAGATGTTGCTGGTGGCAATAGCAATACAAACAGCAACAGCAACAGCAAACCCAGTACAAGCTCACGAGATAAACTAAGCGAGTTGCCGCTGCCCGCTGTTGACAACAACCACCACATCATCAGCAACAACAACAACAATAATACAAATAATAATAATAATAATAATAGCAACAACAACAACAACCACCACAGTGATAATAGTATTAGTGAGAATAATTATGAATTTAAGTGTAGAGATAAAGCAAGTCTAAGTGATAGCAAAATGACGCTACAACAGATGGCAGCGGTCAGCAGCAACCACCAGGAGCCAGTGGCTCCCAATGTGGCCAACACGATGAGCATTGTCAGCCAGCAGACCACCGTAAATGCCACCACGCCCACACCCGCCACCACCGATGAGGCTCCGCTGGGGGATTGGTCAAATATTTCACGCTATCTGCACAAGAAGTTTAAGCGTTTGGCCAGCACCACCGAAGTGGAGAGCGGGAATGCGACGAATGGAGGAGGAGGAGGTGCCCATCATCCAAGTGGCGATCGCACCACATCGCTGTCCTCAAACAGTTCGCTATCGCCACCACCACCGATGGTCACCAATGGTCACCAAAACCACCAACATCTGCTGACCCAACAGCAGCAACATCAACAGCCGCCGCCAGCAGCCACACATGAATTCAGTGCCAATTTTGTAAATAGCAATCATGTCAATGCCATTGGTCATGAGGAGAGTCTCGTTATCAGCAGCAATAGTGGCTACAAAGCGGCGGCCCGAACGCGAACGCCACTCAGTAATAGCAATACGAACAGTAATAGCAACTATGCGGCGAATGCCACACTCTTACCGGCAACATTTGCCCAGCATCAACAGGTGACTCAGCCAACAACGGGAAGTCCGGGCATAGCCAATCCCAATCCGGCAGGAGAAAAATCCGGACGATATGTGTGCACCTACTGCAATCTGATCTGTGCCAAGCCCTCGGTGCTGGAGAAGCACATTCGAGCGCACACCAACGAGCGACCCTATCCCTGCGACACCTGCGGCATTGCGTTCAAGACAAAGAGCAATCTGTACAAGCACTGCCGCTCGAGATCGCATGCGGCCAGGGCGCGAGGATTGGAGGTGCCAGCCGATGCGGATGATGGTTTGTCCGATCAGGATGCAGAGCTGAGCAACAGTAGTTCCGAGTTGGTAAGTCGAAATATTAGAATTCCCATTAGAGCGCTGCGTGAATGGATTCAATTAATTATTTTGAAGTTTTTCTTTCATATGAAAGAATTAATTAGAATTTTGAGTTTAACAAAATTGAATGAATGACTGGCATGAATTTCGAAATAATAAAATAATAAAAAATAATAAACGTCAATTTCTTTTGAAGAAGAAAGGCCCATAATTTTGCCTAAATTTTATTTACTAAGCAGTTAACATTGATTTGTTAAAAATGTTCCGCTTTTTGTTCTCAAAAGAAAGCACAAAAAAAATCTGGCAAATTCAAAAAATTCATCAAAATTATTCATTCAATCATTCAATTCGAGAAATTAGAAAAACATTCAATTTGTTTCACATAGAATTGAATTAAACAAATCAGAAATTTCATGGCATACTATGATAAAACAAAAATTGAATGATTCACGCAGGGCTCTAGTTAAAATATTAAGATTCCTTTGGAAACCTAGCTAATTCCTTGATTTTCTTACAGCCAAGTCGCGCTGGATCGCCCTACGATGAGCCCATGAATTCGCCAACACCCTCGCCTTCCACTTTGTCGGCGGCCAAGAGTGCCTACATTCAGCAGCCACCGCTACCGCAGCACATGCAGCAGTTACCGCTAGGTTCGCCGGCTGCCGGAACATTGCCACCCACGACGGCGGATAATCTGCACTCGGCGACTGCCCAGCATCGGTCGTCCATCGATTACAAGCCATATAAACCCAAGTTCCATAATGCCGCGCTGTATGTGCCACCCGGTGGCAGCAAAGAGCAACAGTTGCAGCTTCAGCAGCAGCAGCAGCAGCAGCAACATCAAATGGCCCAGCAGAAGCTATCGATTCAACTGCCTTTGGTGCAGCAGCCATCGCTGGCACATCCCACGCTTTCGCCCAGCACGCAGATGAAGATGAAGCACCACATTAACTCGCATCAAATGCAAATGCAGATGCAGCAGCAGCAGCAATCCTTGTTGGCTCAGCAATCGCTGTTGGCCGCCATGCCGGTGCCACCCGGTGGGGTTTATTACCTGGGACAGCCTTACTACAACCAGGATGCAGCGGCGGCCGCAATTCATCAGCATGCACTGGTCATTCAGCAGTTTCAACTGCAGCAGATACACTTGGCACAACAGCAGCAGCAGCAACAACAGCAGCAACAGCAGCAACAGCAGCAACATTCACCTTTGGTGAAGGCGCCACCTCCAATGCAACAACCTCCAAGTCTGCCGCCTCAACAGGTTGGTCAAAAACTCTTTTCCTTAATGAGAATATTGTTTGTAAATTGTAAATTCTTTATTACTCACAGCTGGTGCGAACGAATAGTCAGGTTTCCAGTGCAGCCACAGCGCCCGCCACTCCCACGCCCCCCGCCAATCTCAGCAGTTTTGCCAGCTCCAGCGGCGGCATGCAAGTAGTAAGTGTTTTTATTGCTTTCCTATCAGTGCAATGCTAATATTGACTTTATCTCTACGCAGAATGTGGCCAAAGTACAGGAGCACATTTCCAAGTTGATCTCTCAGAACGAAGCTATTGTGGAGAACAAGGAGATATTGCTGCAGAAGAAGTATCCCAAGCAGCTGAGTCGTTCGCGCAGCTTCAACAATGCCAACAGCAACAATGCAACGGCGGCATTGCATGCAAACAACAGTCACAACATCAATGCACAGATGCCAGAGCGCGAGACCAAAGTGAATTTGGCACAGGCCATCGTCCAAAAGCAGCAGCAGCAACAGCAGCAGCAGCAACTTCAGCAGCAGCAACAACAGCAGCAGCAGCAGCTTATCCAACAGCAGCAGCTGGAGCAGCAGAACTACTATACGTACATGCAACAGCAGCAGGAGAACCAACAGCAGCAGCAGCCGCTGGAACCTCCAAATGGAGTGGTTAAGAGGAATACCTATAAGCCTGCTCCAACGATGACGACTCCCGTGAAGCAGCAACAACAACTGCCACCCCCGCCCTCCCCGCTGCCCATGCAAACGATGATATATCGCCAGGATCCCGCAACACCAGTGGCTAAAAACGAGCAACCGGCGACGGCAGTGCATGCGATGCCTTTAAATCTGTCAGCGAAACCGAAGACAACCTTGGTTACAGTGCCCGTAAGCTCGTTGCCCACCAGTTCTGCGGCACAGACTCCTGCGACTCCAGCGAGCAGCTCCAAAGCGGCACCACCTCCTGCCCAGGTGAACAACTCGATCATCAAGAATCTGTTGCTAAATGCTCGCGGTTTGGCGGTGCCAATTGGCGAGGGCGATGATGCTGTTTACTCCTGTCCCATTTGCGCCAACGAATTCCGCAGTGCGGACGAACTGAAGCTGCACAACAGCACCTACTGCCAGGATGCGAGCTCCAGTGCGCCCATGAGTCCGGCCTCTTCGCCCTTCCGCTCCAATTCGATCTCATTAAGTCTGCCGGAGCTAAAGAGCCACATGGCCAACTCGAAGAATCCATTATCTCTGGCCAAATTGGCCTTTTCGCAGTTGAATACAAAGAGGAGTAATTTGATATTGAGTCGCCTGAGTGCAGCACAAACGCCAGCGAGGACTTCTACGGTAACAGCTCCTACTGCAAGTGCTCCGGCCTCTTCTCCAGCTCCATCAACTGCTCCTGCTCCTGCTCCTCCTCCTCAGATTGAAGCCCTGCGCTTTGTAGATGCACCACTGCCATCCCCCGGCCCCCTTTTGGGTAAAACACCGCTGGTGGACTATGCCCAGCAGAATGCACCGCGCAAGTCGCAGGATTCGGTGGTTATAACCAAAATGCACGAGGATCGGCAGTTTGCAATGCGTGATCTTGAAGCTCAGCCCGCCAAGCGAGTGAGGACTAGCGACTCCTCCTCTCAGCAAACGACAAGCTTCAACTTTTCGTTCAACAACCAAAATAACACTAATAATGTACCCGAGTTGCAAGCCACCAAAGAGGAGCGCTTGCGTCGATTCACCTCCTCGGGCGGCAGCATGATTCCGATTTCGGAGTGCCCCGATTTGGACAACAGTCCCAAGATGATTCGTACGCCTCTCCTCTCCGGCGGAAGCTTTCAGGACGTTTCGATCAAGGTCAGCGAATCGGGATCAACGAGCAAGGAGCGTAAGCTGATGGCCCTGGTCAGCAGCAGTGGACTGCTGGGCGTTAGTTCAGCTCCGCAGCACTTTCAGTTTCCACCCATCAACTCGATAACTGCCTTCAATCCGCTAACGCTGCCACCAATGAGCGGTGGGGATAAGAGCACACCTGTCACACCGATTCCTCATGTGCCCGGAATGCCGGGACCTGGTAGCTTAACGCCACAAATGCCACTGCTTCCGCCGCCACCGCAACAGCTTCAGTTGCCCATTCCCTCGGGCCGCGGACGCAGTCCTAACCGGAAGCAACCCAGTCCACTTCTCCTGGGCGGCGCAGCAGCTGGCGAACTAAAGGCTCTATCGCCATTCGGTGGAGTTCAAAATGTGCCCAGCGAATTCAGCCGCCAACCACCTACGCCTGCCCAACGGCAAGCTCTGCAATGGAACAGCAAGGAGACGCCGAAGAAGGCGCCTTTTAACTTTCTGCGCATGGCTGATAATGTGAAGACCACGGAAGCCGAAGTGCGTCACTTCAATCTGGAAAATGTGATGAAACAACAGACGGAGTTGCCTCTAACACCACTGCATGTGGAGACTCCAAATGGAAGTAACACCGAGGAAACCAATCCCAGTTCCTCATCCGCGGCCAAATCAAAGTTCCTGCGACCCACTAGCTTGCCATTGAAACCGGGAACCTTTACGCCCAAACGCCATCACGGCATTACACCTACGGCCAATACATTGCCGCTGATCTCGCCGGAGACGCCCAGGCCGTCCAAATCCTGTGTGCAACTGTATCTCAATGGACACGCCTACACTTATTTGGGTCTCAAATGCAGCACAAAGATGTTTTACTGTACGGTGAACTGCCCGCAGCCGTCGTATGTCGCCGGAATGCACAAACTATCAATGTACAGCGTGTGGCAGGTGTGCGAGGAGAACCAACCGCATCCACTGGGATTCAAACTGAAGCAGGTGATGGCTTTGTACGATTCTCGGCAAAGGATGCTGGGAAATGGAAGCTCAGCCGCGATGGCTGGCTCTGGAAAACTAAGCTACAATCTCGTGGCTTCGCAGCAAACAATTTGCTCCACTTCCACGTCGACCAGCAGCAGCAGTGCCTTTTATCAAGGAGCCATCAAGGCCGCACCAATTGTCCAGGTTGGCGCCCTCAGCGAGGCGAATGTGGCGGCCAAGGCGAACGAGGAGGCGCAGGCCAAGAAGCTGGAGACAAGTCCCTCTGGACAGCCCCTGGTGGGTGGCTACGAGTCTCACGAGGATTACACGTATATCCGCGGACGAGGAAGGGGTAGATACGTTTGCTCCGAATGCGGCATTCGGTGCAAGAAGCCCTCGATGCTTAAGAAGCATATTCGCACCCACACGGATGTGAGGCCATTCACCTGCAGCCACTGCAATTTCAGGTTAGTAAAAGTATTTATATATTTATTTATATAAAACGCGTCTGAGGTGTCGAATTAGATACATTTTTATTTTTTATTTAAAGTTAGATTTTGAATTTAATTTGGGCTTTTTCAAAAATTAGTAAAAGTAAAAACCAATATTTGAAAGTATACTAACCTCTCTATTCTTTTACAGCTTCAAAACCAAGGGCAATCTGACCAAGCACATGCAATCAAAGACCCACTTCAAAAAGTGCATCGAATTGGGCATCAATCCGGGACCAATGCCCCCTGATAGCGAGTTCCTGGACGTGGACATGGACTTTGATCAGCAATCATCCACTTCAGCGGGCGGTCGCACGTCTTCCATGGCTGGAGAATCTGATTCCGATGACTATAGTGACAATGAATCGGAAAGTAGTGGTAAGAGAAACTCATATTCATTCTGATGAGCTATTTTACTTATTCATTTTAACCTTTTTGCAGACACGGATGAATCCAAGTCCCGATTGAAAGAGCACGAGGCAGCGAGAGGCCTGCTATCGCTATCGATGACGCCGCCCATTCCGCCGAGCGTGTCGCCCTATCCACAGCTGCACGATACACCTCTGCCGGCAGCAAGTCCTGCCAACAGTATTGGCTCTTCGGGTTCGCAGCCCAAGAGATTGGTCTGCTCGTTTACATCGCCCAAACCACCGTTCGATTACCAAAAGCAGGAACAGTATTACTCGAATCCCGAGGAGTCCAAGCCTAAACGCAGTGGCGCCAGTGAGGAGAGTGCCCCCATGGATCTAACCAAACCACGCGGATCCATGTCCGCCATCTCTCCGTCGCCAATTCCTCCGCCCGGCCAGGATCTACCCAAATCGCAGGCCCAGCAGATGCACGATGTGATCTTCGGCGTCTCCGGCAACGAAAGTGGCTTCATGAAGACTTTAATTTCGGTGTCGGACAAGGTGCGCATATCCGCCGAAATGGAGGAGCAGGCCAAGCACGAGGCGGAGGGTGAGGATGTTCAGCTGCAGACCTACATCAAGGAGCATGCTCTGCACCAGGCCAAGATAAAGCAGAGTCAGTTCAGCCGCAGCTATCTAATCAACACTTTGTACTCGGCGGCGTCTCCTGTAATGAGTAGCAGCAGTAGCACTCTATTAACCACTAATAGTCGGCCCGTCATGAGCATTAGTGAGGTTCCTAGCATCGAAGTCCACGAAGTGAAGACTCCCGAAGCCGTTGAGCTGCCAACTATTTCTGCTCCAGTTATACCAACGCCAATTCCAGCAAAGATTGCCCAGGAAGTAGAAGAGGAGAGCGAAACACTTCCTGAACAGGAGAAGCCCAAGGTTGTGGAACCGCATAATGCCAATCTGCCCGCTGCAGTGCAGCAACCGGATGCCAATGATTTCAGTGGAGTACTTGGTAATCCGCCAGCAGCACCAACGACAACATCATCTGTTCCCGCTGCAGTAACCACATCAACCGCTACCTCTGTGGCATCTTCACCCAGCTCAGCTCAGCCCACCCAGCGCACCGTGATTGTGGGCGAAGATGGCTTCAAGAACTCCACGCCTAGCAGCAAGAGCAGCGATATTCAGCATGTATCCTACGGCAGGGGAGTGCCACCGGCTCCGATTGCAGGCGATGCCCGTCCCACCTGCACCATTTGCGCCAAGACGTTCCAGCGGCAACATCAACTCACCCTGCACATGAACATTCACTACATGGAGCGCAAATTCAAGTGCGAGCCATGCAGCATATCCTTCCGCACGCAGGGACATCTGCAGAAGCACGAGCGATCGGAGGCGCACAAGAACAAGGTTATGATGACATCGACATTCGGGGTTCCCACAACCTCCAATCCACGCCCCTTCGAGTGCACCGACTGCAAGATCGCCTTTCGCATCCACGGGCATTTGGCCAAGCATTTGCGCTCCAAGACGCACGTGCAGAAGCTGGAATGCCTGCAGAAGCTGCCATTTGGAACCTATGCCGAAATCGAACGTGCCGGGATTAGTCTCACTGAAATCGATACAAGCGACTGCGAAAATTCGCTAATATCATTAAAGCTGCTGGCCCAGAAGCTGCTGGAGAAGGATCCAAGCAAACTGAGCAGTTATACCACACCCTCGGGAATGATGCAGCTGGCCCAGGATACCACAGGTCCTGTCTCGCAGGATAGTGCTTCAGAGGATGGCTTTAGTGCTGCCATTGCTTCGGCCATAGCTTCGCTGGACAACGACAGTGCTGGCAACACACCGAAGCGTGCCAGCTCCATGTCCGAGGATGAAACGGTGGCCAATGGCTTGAACCACAGCCTGAAGCGTCGTTTGCCTGGCAGTTTTAGCAGCACCGGCGAGGAGAGCGACAATCCTGCGGAGAGCAGTGGCGAGAAGAGGGCTCGTTCTGGCCAGGAGCTGCCTGTTCCCGTCGCCGTTCCCGTGGCTGCTTCGGCAGCGGCCAGCAACTGACAGTACATGTACATGCTGCAGCCCAGCTGAGGCTATCAATATCCCGTCAGTATGCCGTCTACAATTCCAACAGCGAGGGACGCCATGACCAAACAACCACCTCCAACGAGCGCATATCAAATGTCTAAGCATATCGCATTTGGGCACACACACAACTTACTCTAGAGCTAGCCTATAAGACCCACCTCTCTTCAGTGATTATGGACCTAATCGCAAATCGTAATCAAACGATAGGAGAGCCAGATAAGCGAGTCAGCTATTCCACAGTAAACACTCTAGGGGAACTGCCCGAAAAGAAGAAGGCAGTCACCCAGTCACCTTGCAGATTGTTTCGATCTGTCTCTTAAGTATTTAGTTTAAGGAATTGTCATCAGCTAGCCCTAGTAATAAGCTAACCAACAAGCACACGTATAAATCGATCTATATATATTGTATACATTTAACCATAATTTGTTTTCGAAATGCATAAATGCAAAACTCCTGAAGTGCTGTGAGTCTATCTACAAATGTAAAGAGAGCCGAGAGCGAGAAAAGTGTGTTATTTATAAGGCCTAGCCCAAAACAATGAATCCAAATCGAACCAGAACACCCACACTCTGAGTATATTGGTTTTCCATGTCCAAATCCAAATTAAATCATTTGAAAATCACGTAGTTCTTCCTTATTTCAAATTGTTATCACTTCAAGTTACGAAGGGCAACTGAAAAGAAATTATGTATACCCCTAGTTTTGTTTTCATTTTTAAAACGACGAGACCACGAGACTCTTTTAATTGTTTGTTTTAATTTTGTATTTGGCAGAATAGAAACGAAACGATGAAGAATAGGAAACTGTAAATAATCAATATGTTGTCATATATGCATTAAGCGGTAGGTTAGTCAAACAAACTACACAAAGTTGATAGAGATAAATGAAAATTATTGTACAAACTGCTATGGCAAGGGCTGCAGCAACGTATATTATACACATAGATATATACCTATATATATTTGAATGTATGTATGTGGTTAAACAACAAGTAAATGAAGTGATCTATTACATTATTGTAAAATATATCAAAAAACTGAGAAAAAAACAACACAAACAAACAAAAAATCTTATACAAAAAAATGACAAAAAATAAAGAAATCAATGTGAATATACAAGGTTTATTGAAGTTGTTATGGCTAGAAGCGGGTTTGGAAGTACAGATATTCCTGGAAGATATATAAATAAGCTTTACTTTCGTATATTTTATTTTTTGGGAGCTAATTACCAATAGAAAGGCGGATCCCAGAATCAAAGCACGCTCTTTGGCCGTTAGCTTTGGATCACTAAAGTAAATATTTGTGGTGTACTGCGACTTGCTGGCCAGCCATTTGTGGTCTATGGAAGCCCTCATATTGCCGCCAGAATGGATCTGTAGATAAAAATATTATTTTTGATTTACAGATATTAAAAATATGATCTACTCCATATGTTCACATGCTTGATATCTTATACCAACCTTAAAATAGCATTCTCTGGGCAGGCAGAAGCAGCAGAATCCTGAGTTAGCAGGACCCTCTACACAAAATATGGGCTGACCGGTGCTTTCATCCTCGATAAAGAATTCTGGCTGCATGAAAGTGGGTGACTGCACCACTCTTCCCAACACATTACCAGGTGGTATCCAGATCTCAAGGCTTTTTGGCTGGCAACAGAGTGATCCCAGAGCTAGTTTCTTTCGGAAGACTAGAGCTTCCTGATGGGTTTTATCCAGCAGGTGCATCTGAAAGGGTCGTCCGGCTCCCCAAACGAGTCGATTTTTCTCTGTAGAACTCTCACTGGCCGCAAAAATGGCATCATTCAAGGGAGACCGCACCACATAACGATTCTCCGAGGAGACTGCTGTAAGAGCTGCAGGATAAAGAAATATTATAGCTGTAACAATTTGGAATATACTTAGGAGATATACCCTCATTGAGCTCAAATGTCTGTTCAATGTGCACCGATGGCAGATCCGCTAGGCAATCGTATCCGGAAAGGGGAATGAAGGTCCGGCTTCCCGTAACCGTAGCAATGGGCAGAGGGATACGGGGAGTCTCTGGACGAGGCTGTGATGTAATGCTGATATGGGAGTCGTAAACTGAAATAAAATAAAGAAACGGTTCATAAAAAAGTGGATGATGTATATTCGACTTCTGTTAAAATTTAAATCAAGTTATTAATACTAATATTACTGAAAGTTTAAATATTAACGATTAAACCTTTTTTAATTATATTTAGTACGATTTTACTATATTTTAGTCTTTACTGATCTCTTTGCACCTTTTTATCAATCTTTCCTATATAGGATATTATTTCCTTTATAGTTTTAAAAACTTATCTTAGGTTTTTACCTATACAAAATGTTTATGTACTTTAGAATTACTTTTGAATAAAATAGGTTATTGAACCTTTTTAAACAGATAACTGTTATCATTTGTTTTTTTCCATATTGGTTATGATATTAAAATGGCTCGATTTTTATTCCAAACCGTTTATATTGGAATATGAAAATAAGTGATTTATATTTTCAAATTTCGTTCAAATTGGGGGGACTCCAGAAAACTAAGGATAGTTTTCTTAAATAACCATTAATATTTTATTACGTTTCTTGGAATACAGATAAGTTCTTGGGTTTGGTGTTGTTAATAGTATGATCGGTCGGTTCGATTGTCCCAAACAAAGGCACTTGAGGAGGCCGAGACCACAACAAAACGCTAGATAAGATATAGCCAACTTGTAGTCGCATATTTGCTTCGAACTGTGACACACTCGCTGCCAATAATAATTAATCCGGTGCACCTCTTATCAGTTGGTAACAGGGCAGTTACCATTGTCCGAGGGTGATTCACACAGTGTTTTTATTTGATTTTCAGAACTATTTCGCTAATTTACCTCTTGGTTCTGAGGGACTTGGCTGCTGGGCCACGCGAATCTCACTATCATATTGCAAAGTCCGCACCGCGTCGTTCTGCAACATTTTCCTTGAACTTTTCAAACTTATTTGACAGAGCGGTCTAAATAAAACGGATAACGGTGGTAAGTGAGACAGTCGTTCAAGGAAAATTAGGTACTTTATTAGAGTGTGCCTTCTGGTCACACTTTCGTAAATTTAAATTTAGTATCATAAACAAGAGTTATGAGTAGAAATAACTAAATTTTTATAATGTAAAAATTAAGTTTTATTTGCTTTACAAATTTTGTATTTCTTTGAGCCAATGTGTCTCAAATTTTGAAGTTGTATTTTTAATAAGTTAACATTAACATAGCATTTAACATTTTAAGCTTTAATTTATTCAAAAAACTTTAAAAACTTAATAAAAGTTTTAAAACTAGAGTTGGCGCACATTCTGTAACGTATTTTCAGTGCTTACGATAGATACTAAAAATAATTTGGGAAAAACGCACTATCGCATTTAGGTCATACTAAGTCTGACGGTTTATTTTGTTGGCTGCAAAACAAAAATAAAAGTTATATTTAACGAAAAAAGTAAAAATTTATCTTGTGAATACTTAAAATTATAGTCTGCCACCGTGTTCTTGGATCGAAGTTTGCTAAATGACGTGGAGACGAGCAGCAGGTGAGCGATGAAAATTGAATTAGTGCTGGCATTTTGGCCGACTTTTTGTTGTTGTGGAATTTTTGGGCCACTTTTCGGGTTGTTTTCCAAACGGTTTTTTAAAGGGGTAGGAAAATAACGGGTAGTGCGCATGCGCGGGAGCGGCGTAAACAAATGCCAATGGTTCTTGAAAGGGGGTTTTGGCCTCTGGAGCGCGAATAACGACAGTGTTCTCTGGGCCATTGGCGGAATCAGCGGAATCTATAGAAAAATCGGGCGATAAGCGGCGCGGACCCAAGTGCAATAATCAATAAACGTGCTGTGCAAACCTTGTTTCTAGCCAAAGATAAAACCCAGTTGATTGTGAAATTCCTGCTAAGAAAGATAGAAAACATAAAATAGCTCCGTTTTGGCTTAGGTTTTGGTGTAACCCCCTCTCGGTTGGCACTACCAACTTGCACTTTCCACGCATCCCCCTTTGGATTTTGGGGGTGGTTTTCGCCCGGAAAAATCCATGAAAATAACCGTCAAGTACGCCACGCTGGTGAAAAACTGCTAGGAGTGTTACATTTCCGTTTGGGCCAAGAAGAGAACACGGCATGTCTCTGGAGGATCCCTTTTTCGTAGTCAAGGAGTAGGTTCCCCGTTTGATTAGATGGCAATGGCACTCTATCCTGGATTTCCCTATAACTTATCACTATGTTTTTCTTTTTTTTTTCCTTAACCCCCAGCGAGGTATTCAAAGCTCTGAACAAAACCCGCGGCCTCTATCTGCGTTGGCGGGAGTTGGGCGAGAGCGGAGGAACGGAGGCTGAATGGACCACCACCGAGCTGCGTAACTCGCTCCGGAGCATCGAGTGGGATCTCGAGGACCTCGAGGACACTATCAATATCCTTTTTGCCAAAGCAATCCATTGGAAAATCAATTCCGTCCCCGGTACTCAATGCGTTTGAAGGGTATATAGTATTTTGGTTGATATGTGTGGAGAAGTAAATTTGATTTTACTTGCCAAGTCAGTTTCAAAGTCTGTTTCTTATGTCATATTGGTTCTGAAGAATTCGGGATGTCTTTTGCATATGACAGAATATTATTTTTCATAGTTAAATTACTTGTTCAAGGTTTCAACTTATATTTTAATTTAGTATTTTACAATTTTACTCCAAAATACGTTTTTAAATATATCTTTTATTACGTAATATGAGTACTGGGTATGTTAAAGTCGGTTCTATCGACTATATATATCTACAATTTCCCCATGGTTCTTTCCTTAACCCTAACCCTTTCGACTCTTACGCATTGTTGAGAAGAATCCGAGCAAGTTTAGGATCGACAACCGTGAACTCTCCAGCCGGCGCCACTTCATCGACAACACTCGCGATGAGGTCAAGCAGATGAAGGATAAGATGAGCCTGAACCGGAGCAGGGACAGAGACATCACCGCACACCAGCCGCTGCTCGATAACGATCGCCACAGCCCCAATCACAATCATTCCCTAACCATACCCCACTCGAATTCCAACTCCAACGAGTACCATCAGCATCCGCACAACGATCGCACCTATCTGGTGGAGTGTCCCAACGGCAACTCGCTGATCAATAGCGGCAGTCAGGCGGTGGCCAATACCATAGCTGGAACCATGTCGGCGGCAGCGGCAGCAGCTTCCCGCCACAGCGGCACCAAGTACTCCAAGCTGGAGAACGCCCTCGACAGTCCGAGTCATTACGGGCAGACGCATCATGGCGGCGGAATGGACAGTCCGAGTCATAGGTATGTGGGCGAGACGGTGTCCATACAGCAGCGCATGATCCAGGGTCAGGACGAGCAGCTGGACATGATCAGTGATTCGATTGGCACCCTCAAGACGGTCTCGCGGCAAATTGGCGTGGAGCTGGATGAGCAGGCGGTGATGCTGGATGACTTCGGCAATGAGTTCGATACCACGGAGTCCAAGTTGGACACGACCATGAAGAAAGTTGCCAAAGTCTTGCACATGAATAATGGTGAGTAGGAAGGTATTATGCTGGGAACTTAGAATGTGGACTGCAAGAACTAGTTCTTATAATCCACAATACCCAACGATTTTTTCTATAAACCTGGATATTTTACATTAAACTAATATAATCTATCTTATCCCCGCAGATAAACGACAGTGGGCCGCCATCCTTATCCTATCCGGGCTGTTACTGTTTGTGATAATTTTGTTTATTATTTTGTAATTGCTTTCATTTTGTTTCCAACTCGTTTATATTTAGTGTAAATTGTATTTATTTATGAATTGGCTTGGTATTTAATTCCGGTTTTAAAATGCAAATCAAATAATGTTTATTTAAACGAATTATCAGCATATTCCAAGTAAACTCCCTTGCTGTATATACACGTAAAAAATTTTAACAAGATTTATTACCAGCCTCTCTATATATATATGTATGTATAATGTAACTCCAAAGCTACGGACCGAGATGATCATGTAAAGTCAATGTAGGCGGGTAATAAAAGATAACTAACTACTTATATACCAAGTGCTCCAGAGTTCTGTCATTCCCGATTTGGCCAAAGGATATTTCAACTGACCTGTACATACATCGAAGGATATATCTACATATACACACAAAATGGACCTACCAATATCAAACGAGTTATTTAACGAAGAGTCTTAGGAAATTCCTCTAACCAAATCTAGCAAAAACTTGTACGCAGTTGAGTAAATATAAAAATATATATATAAATTAAATTCATCATTTAAAGCTAAAATGAAATACTTTTTACGGGGCGTTCAAAGGTAAAAAACAAGTAAAAGCATTCTTAAAGTTTAAAACTTTGTATTCGTAATTCAAACGAATATAGTCGATTTATAGAAATTAATTTGTTAGTAGTGTTGTAGAAAATTGTATTCTTTACATCCTTTATATCCTCTAAAATTTCGTAGTGTAGGATTTTTTTCTAGACTTATAAAATCCGTCGAAAAATATAATGGTAATGATACTTTAATTTATCCCACGTTCGTAAATTTAGAAGGTGTTTTTTCACAGTGCATTTGGAGAGTGGATCAGACCCCTTCCCATTTCTCTCAATTCACAAAACCACTCGATTTTCAGCTGTGTTGGGTGCTTTTGCCCAGAGCTTTTGGGAAGCTCACAGTCTGCGCAGGGGGCCCAGTGGCGTCGCCAAAGGGGAACACGGAAAAGGACCAGTACATAACCCCCCTTGGAATTTCGACTACGCCACTGGTCACAGCATAAGCACACGGGCAGAGCGGCACGTTTCCATGTGATGTTTTTGGTTTTCGGCTTTCAGTGTTGTTTGCATTTTCCGCGGAGCTGGAGTTTTTCCAACAGCAAGTATATAACAAATATATAGTAAAAGTCCCGGTAAAATGTTCAATTGTTGAATAAACTGGACTAAGCGGTTCTTTAGAGTTATTTTTGTGTGGTGGAGTGCGCAGTGAAGTGAATTTAGAAACCACCCAATATATCACCCCCATAAAAAGTAACGCAAAAATCAGTTTCCTCTCAAATGTTTGTTGCTGGTTTTCCTTTTGTATTTTTTGTTTGTCGCCGAAAACCTTGAACATTTTTTTTGGCCAAAAATATAAAATCAATGTCAAGCGGAAGGAGGTGGAAACCGCTCTCTTGTTTTTCCTCCCTTTTCCCCTTTTCTCGTTGGTAAAAATCAGATTTCAGGGGAACTCCAGGTAAAACCAGCTGGTCCGGTTGGCTAGATACTTCTGCGATTTTTCCGCCCCTTTTCCCGATGTTCCCCCCATTTCCCCTAGCTTCTGTGGCTATTAATAAATTCATGTAGCCAGAAGCGAGTGAACATATTTGTGACTGCCTGTGTTTGTAGTCTTGTGTTTTCCTTTGGTCGAAAGTGTTGCTTTTGAGGTTTTGTGCTGGTGGGGGGAGCTTTTTCGAAACTCTTATCAAAAGTCGGAATTGCGGGCAGGAATTCGTTATCGAAACAGATGAGCGGACATGCTGTTACTTTTTAATCAAAATACATCATTATTGTTGTCGGTGGCAGAGGGCGGTGATCAAGCTCAAGTGCCTGGAATTGCACTGCACCAATTCCATAAGCAAATAGGATAGTAGTGACACTACACTTAAAATAAATTCAAATTTTTAGACATTTTTTAAAGAGAGTTTTGTAAATAACTCTTTATTTTGAAAGAGTTCATATTTTCCGTCTTTCTAAATAATCAAATAAAAACACCTCTTAACGAGGTAAAAAACTAGTGACGATCGCACCTTCAACGTACAAAAGTTCTGATATCAACTTTTGTGACGAAAAATAATTTTAGATGCGACTAAATAAGTACGCTACCTAAAATTTACTCGTTCGGCCCGCTTTAGCAAATATTTAATATCTACACGAATGTTTTTCTGTTTTAGCGTGCCGAATGAATAAATTTTAGGTAGCGTACTTATTTAGTCGCATCTAAAATTATTTTTCGTCACAAAAGTTGATATCAGAACTTTTGTACGTTGAAGGTGCGATCGTCACTAGTTTTTTACCTCGTTAAGAGGTGTTTTTATTTGATATCAGAAGTTTTTGTTTGTTTACTTTTGCTCTCATAGGTGCTAATATAAACATTTAAATTTAAATTGGTCATAAATCATAATTCTTAAACTATTGTATTTTAACGAATTAAGTTAAAAAGGCGTTGAAGTATTTCAAAATACCTTTTAAACGAGGTATAGCACATGTCTGTACCTTTAGTAGTGTAGAACTTAAAAACTAACGAAATTTAGCCATTTTTAGCTATTTTCCCGCTAAAGTAGCGGCTTTTTCCAAAAGTCGTAGAACAAAAGATTCCTATATGGAACTCTTAAGTGCAAATTTACTGATTCCATGACCCTAAAATACAGTTCGGATACCCTCCCACAAAATTCAATACTCAGGGAGCGTTAATTGTTCGAGCTGGCAAAAGTGGCTATTTTCGTATAAAAATAACTTTTAAACGTGACTTTTTACAGTAATGTGTTATATACCAAAATTTAAGGAATCTCAAGGGCTATACAGTTTAAGGTTTTAAAGAAAATCGTTAGAGCCGTTTTTGAGAAAAATAAAAAAAGCTAAAAAAAAAGTTTTAAAAAATTTGTCTTTTGTTCATATTTTTTTAATTATTACATTTACACAAATTGCATATAGAAGGCGTTTATAGCATTTAAAAATACCTTTCAAACGAGATGCAGCACAAGTCTGTAGCTTTAGTAGTATAGAAGTTACGGCTTTCCGATTTTTAGCTATTTATAGCTGTATTCCCGCTAAACTAGCGAGTTTTTCCAAAAGTGGTAGAACAAAAGTTTTTTATATCGATGTGATGAACGTCATATAAAATTTTCAAAACTTAAAAAACATGTTTTGGACAAGTGGACAAGTGGACAAGTGGACAAACAGAAATTAATTTTCATTTTGGGAAGAAGAAGAAAATCTTATTTTGGCTATAACTTTTGAACGGAGAGTCGGATTTTGACAAATGATCCCTCATTCGACGGGTATTTTCAAGAGGAATACAACTAAAACATTGCGAGGGGGCATTTATCCCCACCGGCCCCAACAGCTCCAAATTTCGAAATTTTAAATTTTTCACTTTCACCGCTCTCTCTCCCAAGCCAATTGATTTTCTTAAAGTCTTGGTATGCAATCCTTTAAGTTTTTGCAATACCTTTCGATTGGTGTATTACTCATTACGATCGGACTATCACTGCCGATTTTCAATTTTGCGGCTATATAATAGTAGTCGCCTTCGCACACTCTCCTGGTGCGCTTCGTCACTACATGGACTGCCGTCCATAGTGATATTGAGTAGGTACTGTTTTGGAATATTTCGAAAAAGGTCTCTATTCTGCTTTCATTATTTTTTGGAATAAACAATTTTCAACAAAGTGCAGATTTTTGTACATATATACATTTTATGCTACAGGTATTCTATCTATTGCTTTATAATAAGTTATTCATTCATTGCGAAATCAATTTAAAATGCTATTTTTGAAAGTGAAAGGGAAAGGCTTTTTTCAAAAGCACAATGGGGATTTTGAAAAACAAATGGGTAATTATAATCTAATTTGAGTACAATATAACAACAATTTTTGGCCAGAAAATTCTTTATTTCTAGTTTGAACGTGCAGTGTACGAAATTCTAAACATGGCAAAACCACGTTTGAATATTTTAGAGGGTAATAAAAAAGCAAGGAACATGACTTCGAATAATTTTTTTTATTATTTTCAATATTATCGATTATATTCTTTAAAAGCTTACTTCTTATTCAAAACATAATTTTGTAGACAATGTTTAGAACATTTCTTTCAGTGCAAGCTCAATTGTCACCGGCTGCACACTCCCCCACACTCAAACTAATGGTGTTTATTACTTAATTTGCATTCCTCCCGTTGCTCTGCCCACCCCTTTGATACCCGAACACAGATTCAGTTACCCGGAATGAGTGGCGCACAGCGGAACCTGGATCGCAAGATCGTTGTCATCGGAGCAGGAGCCTCGGGCGTGGCCTGTGCCACCGAGCTCCTGGAACTGGGCTTCCAAAATGTGCTCGTCGTGGAGGCGGAGGATCGTCTGGGTGGACGCATACACACCATTCCCTTTGCGGACAACGTCATCGATCTGGGCGCCCAGTGGTGTCACGGCGAGCGGGATAATATTGTCTACGAACTGACGAGGAAACAGGAGGAGGAGCTGCTGGAGTCCACGGGTCCGGTGTACGAGAACTACCAGTGCGTTCGTTCGAATGGAGATGTGGTGCCCGAACACATAGCCAGTCGCCTCAAGGCCATTGTGGGTGATTCACTGGTGACCCGGCAGCTGGAGCTGCGCAACTGCAGCGGATCCTTGGGCAGCTATCTGACCAACAAGTTCTACGACACCCTGCGGCATCCGGAGAACAGCGATATCGATGCCCAGGTGGCCAGGGAGTTCTTTGTGAATTACCAGAAATTCGAAAACTCTGTCGAAGCCTCGGATTCGCTGGAACAGGTTTCGGGGCGGGGTTACCTGGACTACTGGGAGTGCGAGGGCGACATCCTGCTCAACTGGAAGGATAAGGGCTATGTGGAGCTGCTCCGACTGCTCATGCGCTCCAGGGAGTTGAAAACGGAACATGGTGTCCTGGAGCAGCGACTCCTTCTCTCCACTCGGGCAACAAAGATCAACTGGAATCGAAATGATGGACGAGTGGAGCTGCAGTTGAGCAATGGCGATAGCTTCATCGCGGATCATGTGGTGGTCACCGTTTCACTGGGTGTCCTAAAGGATCAGCACTTCAGGCTGTTCGAGCCACAGCTGCCCGTGGAGAAGCAACGCGCCATCGATGGTCTGGCCTTTGGAACGGTCAACAAGATCTTCGTGGAGTTCCCGGAGGTCTTTTGGCCCGAGGATTGGACGGGTTTCACGCTGCTCTGGCGGGATGAGGATTTGGATGATATACGCGGCACCTCGAGAGCTTGGCTGGAGGACGTCTTCGGCTTCTATAGGGTGAGCTATCAGCCGAGGATTCTGGCCGGTTGGATCACCAATGCAAATGGCCGGCACATGGAGACCCTGCCCGTGGATGAGGTTCAAGCCGGTGTGATGTACCTCTTCCGCAGGTTCCTCAAGTGGAAGGTACCGGATCCCTCGAATTTCCGCACATCCGCCTGGCATACGAACGAGAACTTCCGCGGTTCCTATTCCTATCGATCCATGGACACGGAGCAACTGGGCACCGGAGCCCGGGAGTTGGCATATCCCCTGACCGTGGTAGCCACCACGCCGGAGAAGGAGAAGGATTTGGAGGAGGACCAGGCGTGGCAACAGAGTCGCTGCGATAGGCCCATTGTCCAGTTTGCCGGGGAGGCTTCGAGTGAGCACTACTACTCCACCGTCCATGGAGCAGTGGAGGCGGGATGGCGGGAGGCCAGACGATTGGCCCAGTTCTACGGACTAAGCGTGTCCCGTTCGGGAACCAAATCGCAACTCTAGCTATAAGGGGGGATCCGTTACCGTTACCGATACCTGGAATGTGAAATTAAAACTCTGTCTTCGCACTACAAAAAACAGAAAAGATACAATCAAGAAAACTGAACAATATGTATACATCCTGGATAGACTTCATAATGCCTAAGCTACTAATTTACACATTTGCCATAGGTTAACATAGGTGACAGATTATATTTACATATATGTACGTGAGCTGCCCAAAAAAAAGCTGTGTTTAAGTCTTCTCTACCCTAAATAAATGTAAAATACCATATAACCCCTTTTGAATCGCATTCAAAATAGGTTTTTATTAATTGCTCACTTGTTTTCAACAGTTTGTCACTACGTTTTGATGAAATCAGTTTTCGAAATGAGACATGTTACACAGAAATTCACATTGTATGTATCCAATATGCTCTAGTTAGTGAGTGAGTGTGTGTGTATATACAATTGAGATACAATACGGTTAGCGTTTTGGGGTTACGGGGGGATTAACTCGGTACTTTGATTTCAACAACGTGTAATAAATACATTTATAATTTAGTCCATTCTTCTGAACACAAATAAATTTTGTACAACAAGTTTTATAATTTAATTTGTTATCGTAATCGTAAGTTAGATGCTGGTTGAGTTTAAATTTCCTTCACTTCCTTCTCGTTCATTTTTGGTGTCTATTATTGTATTCATTTCTTTGTTTTCACTGTTACGCAAAAAGGTACATGTCGTGAAAAGGACTAAGGCCGGACGGGAGTGGCCAGCAGGACAGCCTACGGGTAAATAGTATCGTCTCTCCTCCGTCTCTCTAGCAGATTGCTAAATTCGTATGGCAAAAATACTTTGGTGTTGTTTGTTTCAACAAATCGCATGAAATGCTTCTCCACTCTTTGGCATCCCCGATCTCCTACTGCACCCACATGGATGGTGCCCATATGGGCTCGTTCTCCAGACGCTGGACATTCTGGACCAGCTGCTCAAAGGCATTGACCAGCTCGCCGTTGACCAGTTCCACGTCGAAGAAGTGTCCGTAGAGGAAGTCGATGCGTTCGGCCGACTTTACCATATCATCGAACTCCTCGTCCGTGAAACTCCTGGCATTCGCCTCATCGAAGGTGGACTTGGCCCTGGCCTCCGTTCGCGTGGTCTTGAGGACTTCCAACTCTGGTGGCTTCACATGGATAAGGAACGGTTTCAGCTGGGCTGTGCGCAGAGTCTTGATCGCCTGGTAATGCGGACTCAGCACACAAACGCATCCGGCATTCACGATCGACTTGACACTCTCCGCCGAAGTGCCATACAGATGGCCCTTGTACTCGCCGTGCTCCACAAACTTGCCCGCCTCGATGTCAGCGTCCATTTTCTCGCGCGGCACAAAAATGTACTCTCTGCCGGCCACTTCGCCAGGTCGCATTGGTCGGGTGGTGTCTGAAAGGGTGTAATGTTCAGATAAGTGGTAGGTAAATAGGTACGAGATGATTTTATTCACTGATTGAAGAGAGTTCATTTTTGTACTCATTCATTTACTCGTTGATCATTTGTTTACTTGGTCACCTAATCTCTTAAACAATGAATACCTAAACGGATAAACGGAAGTGGATCAACCAAAACTGCTAAAGTGAACCACTTAACAAATGAACAAGTTAGGAAATGAACAACTGATCAAAATTACTCAAGAGAACTTTTCTTACTTATTAATTTACTCATTGTTCATTTTTTCACTTTCTTATTAAATATCTTTAATAATGGAACAAATGAACAAAGGTGGATCAACAAAATATGGTAAATTGAAAAATTTAGTGAAAAACAGAGCAAATGTTTAAGTAAGGTAATGAACAACTAAGCAAATGAACAACTTAACCAATGAAGAAATGAACAACAGAGCAAATAAACCATCGAAGTGAACATCTTCATTTCTCACAATCAAGTGAACCTCTCTTCCTTGAAATACTTACACGGCACTGGGCTGCGGAACTTCTCGGGATCCCTGGCTATCAGCCGGCGGCGCAGTTCATTACGTCCCACTCCGGGGGCTCCGATGAGCACTATGGGCCTGAAGACACCCGGCCGCGGATACAACTTGGCCACCTCCTCGTACGTGGCGATCTGCTCGCGGTCAAAGTCATCGTTCTCTGTCAAATCGTACATGATCTTTTTAGTCTTGGGCTGGCGGCAGGAGGAGCTGCTGCTGCTGGCGGGCAGACGCGGAGAGCCAGGTGGGGTGGTGCAGAGTGAGGCGCATGATCCGGCTGGCGATGGCAATGTTTGTTTGGTTGATGGATGGGGGCCAATTCGGGGGGTTGAATGAGGTGGGGATTACGATGTAGCATGAAATTAGAGCAATTTTAGTCATGGAAATGAACAGCGTATGTTATGGAAGAACCAATGGGGCTGGCAACCTGGAATGCTTACGCTTCGAGTCCAGATCGGTGCCATCTTTCTGCGATCGGTCGTGGAGGATGCGGCGCTCCTGCAGCGCCCGACTCGGGATCAAACCCGCCCTCGCCGAACGCTCGTGCTCCTTGCGAGCCTGCCACCAGTAGGCGTCGTCCTGGGCCACAATATGCAGCACATCGCCGCGCTGGAACGCCAGGCCAGCCTCCTTGCATGGTATATAGGGATCCACATCCGGATTGTAGTCGAAGTGGGCCCGCACCCGCACCTTCGACTCTCGCTGGGCGCCCTTGTTGTCCGCGGGCACCAGCTTGAAGGTAATGGTGCCCTCAGAGTTTTGCTGTAATTTAGGTTTAGGTTAGGAATAGGTTAGTTTATTTCGATTTGATTGTAATCTGAAGAAATGGGATTTAAATTAATAAGTCCTTTAAAATCTTTTTATATAATTTTTGTCTTTCAGTATATAAATAAGATCTAAAAATCGGAAAGGGAATTTTGTATGATTTTATGAGATGAGATTTTAGTTTAGTAAATTCTTATGAGTCTCCTAATATCTTTCAAATATTATTGCTACAGATAAGATCAACAAATCTGGAAGGGAATTCCATTTGTTTTAAAATTTTTTAATTGGTTTCTAAAATAGTATTGCAATAGTGGTAGTAATGGTATGTATATTAATGGTAATAGTCTCTTAGACAACATTTATTTTATCATTTTAGATTTAAAGATCATGTTTATATTATCCATGGTAGTTTTGGAATGTCGTAATTGAAGTATTATGCTTCTATAAATTCCTAGTAAATTAATTTTAATAAACTCCCAAAAAAAATTTGTTCGGAATAAAAACAATAAGTTGTAAGGGTTTTAGAGGGTTTTTAGGTTTACTTACCAGTATAGTAAGCACATCGCCGGGCGTCTTGCCCTCCACGTTGATGTTGTTGACCTCGATGACCTCGTCGCCGACGTGAATCAATCCGGAGCGATCTGCAGCGCCGCCGTGCATGATTCTGGCAATGATTATCTTGCCCGTCTCCTCGTCCGTTTTAATGGTGGCGCCCTAAAAGTAGGCAATGCGTGTCACTAGAATGTCAACTCAAGGCGCGTATGTGTGCGTGTGTGGTGTGAGTGTGAAAGTGTGCCTATCTGTGTGGAGTGCGGTTTCCGATATTTTTGATGTACGTGTATCTGATGGATGTGTCACAACAAGAACAACAAGAACCACGGAATGGGGACAACGAAATGTATCTCATGTATGTATCTTGGTGTGTGCACAGCTTCCTGGCTGTTTGTTTGTTGTTTTTAGTGCTTGGCGAACGGATTTCTGTTTATTTTCTTTTACAGTGGACATTTTTACGGCTATGGACATTTGATTACTTACAACAATTGGCTCCGCACTCTGTGCTCCTGTCTGTGTTTTATTTTTACACATTTTTTCATTTTATTGTTTACAAATGCATTTTGGTTTGGTATGGGCGAATTCGAGAAATTGATTCGATTTATTCGATTTTTACAAAAGGCAAAGTTTACAAAATTGATTAGCATTGGGAAGAGTTGACATGATGGCGATTACATGGTAGAAGTACTATAGTATGAATGAAGGCGCAGAGAGGAGCAGTTGAGAAAGGCGAAGGGGGAAAGGGGGTGAAAGTTAGGGGGCGGAAATGAAAGTCGAGACAGTGGACAGTGAAAAGCGATGGACGACAGCACAGAACAGCGATCACTGCGATGAGATGGGCATGGAAATGGAAAACGGTGTTCCCACTGGATGGTCACTCACCAGGGGCTCGTTGCTCTTGACGAGCTGCACAATCTTGATGGTCTCCTCGTCCTCGTCCATTTCGATGGGGGCCTCCGGCAGGTGCGGGTAGAAGTCCTTCTGGGCAATCGCATCGTGGGCGAACAGGAGGTGCTAAGTAAAGCAGATTTTAATCAGAAAAGTTAATAAAAAATGTTTGAGATCAAGATTGAACAATGAAACATGTGATAATAAAATAGATAAAAAATTTTATAGACATTGAAACATTTTTAACAAATGTATACGTCTTAAATAATAAATATTTTTAAAACTTTTAGATTAATAGATTTTTTTTCATAAAAATACAGGGCAAGCTTTTCGAATCTGAATATATTTTAAGATGTTTAATTTTTAAGTCTGTTAAAGAAACGTATTTTTAACATAAATAAATTTTGTAAATTTTAAATTCTGGTTTTCTTTTTTAAGCCAACTTTAATATTGTTCTAGAACCGTTACTTAAAAGTTTAAAAGTTATAATAATTTTGTTAGATTCTTAACTATTGTTCTAAAATAAACATGTTTCGTATATTTCGTATCCCTTAGTAAATTTTTCCCAGTTAGTCGCAACTCACCTGCAGATGAGAGTCCTGCAGCAGGTGGAAGGCCTCCTTGCAGTCGTCGTTCAGGTGGCATTGCTGGGACAGCTGCTCCAGGACCTCGTACAGCACCTGCGCCGAGGTGGAAAGCACGGGGGCCAACCGATCATCCCGACCCACCTTGGCCACCTTCGTGTGGACATTGACCAGGGCATTCAGCTCCTTGGATTCCAGCAGGGCCTTCAGGAAGTCGATTTCCTGGTCATTGGACAGATTCTCCGATTCCTTGAGCGTGCTGATCAGTTTCGAAAGGGCTGTAAAACAAGCGAGAAGGGGTATTCAATCATTTTGGACTGACAGGCAGGTGCGTCACTCTACTCACCTGGATCCCAGTTGATGTCCGATGCCATAACTGCTGCTAGCATGTCACACAACCGTCGACTAGTCACTGTCCTTGCTTATCCTTTACAATTTATCCTTTGGCGCTGTTCCTATAATCGAGTTAACAAAATCGATATGGGACTTTAACAACAAGCGAGGAGAGAGACTTTGTAAATTTGCGCATAAACATGTCAACAGGGGGCCAGCGGGGCCAGACGAAAGCCAAATGATAATTCCAGGCCCAAGGCTGCCACCCACCAACCACCATCCACCACTAACCACCCACCACCCACCACCCACCGCCCAATAACCATAAACACCATAACAATAGCCCCTCCCATGAAGCGACTTCTTTTGCGTCACTCGCCGCAAAGGACACCAAACCCTGGTAAATGTTGCCAAAGCTCTGCTTCGGATATTAATTTACAGTTCTGGTTCTAAAAGACGACTTGTTATCCAGTAAAAATAATATTTCCTATTTTTTTAAAGGTTAAAAATAGGAATTATGAAACCAATAGATCCTGTTTAACTTTTTTATAAAACCTAAAGGTGCCAAAATATTTATATCCAAAATCAGTTAAATCAATAAACTTTTAATTTAAGAAACTACAAATTTTTTTTAGGGAAGATACAAGCTAGCTAAATTTATTAAGGTATCTAAATTTATTTAGAAGTGAATAAAAATAAATTTCATTTTTACGCAGAAAAAAGTTGATATGAAATTGCACTCAATTCATATAATCAGACTTCATATAAAAAAAAATCCTGATATTAATTAATGCCAGATTGATATTTCAAGCATATCAATTTAACATTTTTTTTATCAATTTAATCATATGATGGATTAATTTTTATTAAAAATTGAGGATTAACTTATTAGATGCTTTACTGTAATGTTACCATAACAACAGTTTGCGCCCCATTGAACCCGATACTTTGGAGATGGAGAGACCCCACTGACGACGCCAAGTCTAAAGAACTCCCGGCCAGCAGAGCGCCAATGCAATTAGCTGACATTAAGCCGGGCCAAGTGGGGCGTTCGCTGTTGTTGGCCATTGGCTTCTGGCCAGGGGGCTCCGATGATTAGAGCTGGCGTCGGATTTATGGTCACTTTCATCTGGCCAGTGGCCCGGAATGTTGGCGCCCCTTGTTGCAATCTGCACTCCATTAACTGTTCAATGACTGCGCTTCCTGTTGCTGAAGGATTCCATTGAGAGGGCGGATGAAGAAAGAAAGGCGCCTTGGCCAGGTGCCATATTCCAAGGGGTCACCGAATTCGTTGGCTTATTGCATGACCGGTGCTCATTAGTGCCACGTTTCTGTGGAACGTGGTCGTGGGAGGTGATTAGTGTCAACTGAGTGGACGCTTTTGGAGCCCAAGAATAGTGTCTCAAGTGGGGCATTCGCATGTCCTTCAACTTGGGTCTTTCGTGGGGTCTCGAGTTTCAGCTTCTCATGGTAATGAGACCAGGCCAGCACATACACACGCATCCTAGCCCGCGGCCACTTTCCGAAACTTGGCCAACGACCTTGAACTACATACTCGTCGGTACACACAGCCACCCAGTAAAAAACTACTACCATTTTCAGGGTGAGTTGCAGCGACGTCAGTGCGTGGGATCCGAGGGTTGCAGCCCCCTTTCGAGAGTATTTTATTTTATTTTATTCCAGTGGGTGGTGCATTTTTAACTACACGTTGCTTAAACCACCACCATTGCGTATAATCACATGTTTTCTTTATGTCCTGTTACTCGAATTACGAGTTGTAAGTACAGTTAAAGAGTTACATTTATAAGATACTTTAAAATACTTTATAAAGATTTTTTGAATTAAAAAATAAGTTTGGTTTTAAATATATATAAAAGTATGTTCTTTAAATTTTTTTTAAAGATATTAAGTAATATGGTATTACTATAAAATACTGTATTTTTATACATTTAAAGGAAATAAAATTGTTCGAAGGTTAATCTTATTAAGATCAGATATTGCCTTTTTGCCACAGAACTTTTTACTCAGCGTAGTGCAATTTTCGAATGATTTTTTGTAGCTTCAGGGCTTTTCCCTTTAGAGGGGGTGTTGCATTTGCAACTATTACTGCTGCCAATCAGCTAAATGACAGAAGCCAAGAAACCAAGTCAAGCCTGTCCCCAATCACACTAATTACGCTGAGGAAAGCCGAGACAGAAAGCCAAGGGGTCTGGCGAAAAGCGAAATAATGACGTTGCCCGGGGGTCTGCCAATTGTGAAAGTGGATGGGTAGACAATGAAAGTAGTCCTTGTGGCTAGTAGATAAGGCAGGTGCCAGGTCTCCCCCAAGTCCCACTCCATTTTATGAGAGGGTAATTGAAAACACGAAGGAATTGCACTGTGTTATTTAAATCAAACCAAAGAGGCAATCTGGTCATACTGAAAATAGCGGTGGTTTAAGAGAAATTCAGAGAGAGACATTGAAATTACAGAGAGGAAATCAGAGAGAGAGAGTTAACTGAGAGAACGTTGAAAGTTTTCCCATGCCCTGAGAATTTGATTAACAACAAAATCTGGTCCCAAAAAAAAAGGAAAAGAAAAACCTACAATCTTTCAAATGGAGGTTATCACCTGGAGTTTTTCTGGGCAGTTGGCCAATACAATAATGACGGATTTCACTTAAGCACCAGCGCTATTTTATTTTTAAATTTGAATTTCCACTTCACTCGCAGACATTTACGCACACACAGAGACACTAAAACACGGCATGTCTGCTATTTTCGCTATTTTCCTCGCTATTTTTAGGCCACCAATATTGCGCACTAGTTAAGTTAACCGTTATTGTTTTGCGATTCCTATTGTACTATTAACGGATTTCACATGTTCCAGGAGGATAATCAAGGTGATTGTCACCTGAGTCCGCCAGCGGGAATCCCAGAACGGCGAATTGCGGGAGCGACAGCGACTGCACACGATGGCCAAGGAACAACGTTTAATTTTCGAAATTCTTTTTAAAGTCGAGACGACTTCGACGACCATGTTGGGAAACTCTTAGACTCTCGTTGAAAAGAGCATAGCTTTCCACTCTTATTTCCTCTCTTAGTCGCAGAACTTAATTTTAGGAAAATATTTCAGGTAGAACAGCAATTTTGGAAATATAATTTGTATATGGGATGGTTACATTTTTTAGAATACTTGAAAACTTTTTTAAATTTAAAAATAAAATCTAAATTAAAAAAACACATCCAATAATTATTTATGTATTTTTTTTTTAATATTAGTTTAATTTTAATACGATTTTATTTCATTTCGTAAATTTTAAACTAATTATCGCTCTGTTCGCATGTAAAACAAAAAAATTATGAATTGTGACTGCAATTCTTTTTTCAGAATACCATATTAGTTACAAAATATTAAAAAGAAGTATGATGGCCTTATGAATCTCTGATATTATTTGCATAAACCACTGCTGTGTTTCATCAAAGAGCCAATGTTAAATAAGAGAATTTTTATTTTGAAAAGAGTGAACGAGAGAGATTTAGTAAGTGGACCAACAACGAAAATGAATGGGACCAATTGCACCACCAGAGAGTGTGAAACACAAAAGTGGGAGAGCACAAAGCGCCATGGGGACTTTTGCTGGGGGTGGAATCTGCGCAGGTCAGCAAAAATCCAGAGCGGAAGAAATACAGGGTGTCTATATGACATCTCAAAAAATATTATGAACGAACTGTACTAAAAGAAAACGATTTCTTAGGAGAAAATGAAGAATTTTAAGAAATTGGTAAGATTGATATTAAAATTTAAATATGCAGAATGTAAATATTTATAAGCGTTTAGATTAAAACTTTAAAACTTTTTTAAAAACTTTGTGAGTGTTAAGTTTAGTTTAAAATCTAAGAGTAACCCAATTTTTTAAACAGTAAATCGGAAAAACCTATTAGGGGTTCTTGTAAAAAAAAACTTTTATTAAAATTACTAATTGAACTACATTATTTTGTATTGTTTATCCCAGCAATCCACCTCCCGCTGCACCGGCTCCCGCAGCAGCTCCGAATCCAGCGAATCCTCCTCCAAACTTTTTGTCGTACCGGGCGCGGTAGCCACCACCGAATCCTCTCGATCGCACACGATAGCTTTCCTTGTAGTGACCAAATCCGGCACCTCCTCCGATCCCGCCGCCAATAAATCCACCTCCTCCTCCGAGTGCCAGAGCCTGCGGTTGCTGTTGGATGACGGGCACTTGTTGCACAATGGGCACTTGCTGGACAGCGGGAACTTGCTGGACAACGGGCACTTGTTGTACTGCTGCTCCTCCAATTCCACCAACTCCTCCAATGGCTCCAATACCACCAATAGCTCCCACTCCTCCAACAGCTCCGATTCCACCGCCTCCCAGGGAATGAGCCGCAGTTCGCCAAGCGCTAACTCCCAGTAACAGCAAAATTGGCACTTGCAGATCGCACTTCATCTTGGCTGAGTGTCCAATAACGTTTTGAGTTACCTTACCCGCAATCACCTGGTTTTTAATGCCCTGGCCAGCGACCTTCGATGACTACAAACGATGATGACGATGATGAGGTGTGAACCACTAGCCAGTGGGCAAAACCATGATTCCCCTACTAAGTAGAACCGCCAAGAAAAACAGTGCTTGGGCCTTAGAGTTTTCGGGGTTTTTTTCTATGCCGGGCGCCCCAATACGCCAATTGGAAGTGCAAACAGTGACCACTAATTAATTTGCATAAATAAGCAGCTGGGAGTGGGGCAGACCAAACAGTTAACCCCATCATGTTGTGGCAAACGGTCTACCTGCTCGTCTTGGCGTGCGTCGTGGTCAGTAGCACACCGATCCTCTCCAGCGGCGATGAGGAGAGCATACGGAAACCCCGGCACATTGGAGGATTTGGAGGTGGTGGAGTAGTAGGAGGTGGAATCGTGGGAGGCGGGATCATCGGCGGCGGAGGAGTAGCTGCCCCCATAGTGGCAGCACCCGCTATTCAAACAGTTCCTGTTGTCTCCACCGTGCCCATAATCACCACTGTACCCGTAGTTTCCAGCATTTCCACCGTTCAAACGATCCCTAGTTATGGTTATGGTTATGGAGGCTATGGAGGAGGTTACCCAGCAGCCGGAGGATTGGGAGGACTTGGAGGCATTGGAGGAGGCGGTGCTTTCGTTGGTGGTGCCGTGGGTTTTGCCAAATTCAAAGGCGGCTTCTTTGGCTAGATCTTTCCGAATAAATCCAAGTGTGTTTGTCTCGAGACCCTCTGTAGTGTAAACAATGAATAAACAAAAGTACTGCGAGATCGAGTTTCATTTTGCCGAGTGTTTGGAATCAACAAATTCGATGAGCTTGCATATTCCGTCGCCAACTGATTGTTGGTTTTTCGTTGATATTTCTGGAAGAGTCTCTCGCTGGTGTTTGCTTTACTATATATATGCCGAAAATCGCGCGAGGCGAGGCGGATGGGCTTTTTGAGTGGTAAACAACGAGCCATCAAGCGACTACAGTGGGTCAAGTTGGCTGGCTTGGAGAGCTATTGGATACCGGGTAATCGGATTGCTAATTTGTAATCGCTGAGGACGGATTAAATGTTGCATTGTAATGTTATATGATATGTGAGTGCTATGTGATATATGCCATCATATAATTTCTAAGTTCAAGGTTATGGTTCTTACATTGATAACTTATCAGTTATCCCTCTTTATAAGATACGAACCAATTATGATATTTCAGAACCAATTTCATTTTCCTCCACTCACAAAAATATTTACCTTTATAAATTTTATTATAAGTGTTATATGTTTTGCTCAGATTTTATTTCCTATAATTTTGTTTAAACTTTCAGTAGAATTTTTAGATGCCATACTGTTACAAGATCCGTGTAATATTTTATTTTCTCTGTTTTCTCTCTTGATATCTCGATCAGTTGCGTATCAAGTTACACATTCGATCTATATTTTGTTCCACTGTCGCTCACACTTCCGCATCATATTTTATTTCATCCAACACATTAAGATTGGGTCAACCTAATGTATTTGTGTATACGATTTTGTGAGTTTTTTCAAGTTAATAATTATTCTCGCGGGCTTTGCTTGGCTGAGATTGAAATTAGACGAAAAATGTAAAAAAAGACACTCAATGGCAATCAGCAAAAGCCAATGAACCTCCTTTGTTTATGAGATCAGATCGCTGGGTGTTCTTGGCAAATGTTTGGCTATAAATTAAAGCCTAGGTGGCCGATGAGTTTTAGTATTTGACGAGGTTTGAGAAGGAATACGACAGCGAAATGGATAGCAAGCGGATATTATTTTTCTTCGGTATTGTGGCACTCTTATTGTGCAATATTGTAAGAGCCGATGAAGTGGAAACGGAAGTCGTGAAGGAGGAACCCGGCACTGTGCAGCTCTTGGAGGCTGGAGAAACAGATCAGGTGGATTCTACGGATGAGAATGTCAGGAAAGTGCGCCAGTACTTTGGACCACCACCCTTTGGACCTCCACCACCGCCCTTCTTTGGCCCACCACCACCACCGTACTATGGCGGTGGTTTCGGCGGCGGCTACGGCGGTGGTTTCCAGAGAACCCGATATGTGACCCGCACCCGCTATCGTGGACGCGGTGGCTACTACGGCGGTGGTTTCTATGGTTAATCAGTTGACTTGGATTTAAATGTGCCCTCTAAATGTGATACTTCTTTTGTACTCTTGCCCCTTTGGGAGCAATAAAATTTGTTTACCTTATGCAAGTCCATTCAATCGGTTGTTTATTACGGTTTATTAATGTAACACATTGGGTTTATGTTTATGGTGGGGGAAAGCTGAGATTGGAGGTGTTTATAAGAGGGCCACGCGGTTGGGCTCCAAAAATGTTGCGCCTGCTGCTGCTGTGGATCACTGTGGTGCTGGTTGCAGCTCTGGATGAGCGGGAATTCGATCCACAAGTGGCACCTTCGCAAAGTTTAGGTAATGTATGGTATATCTTACAAGTGTTAAAAAAAAGTTAGGTTGAGATATAATTTTCCATGACTTTTAAGAAACATAAATATTTTAAAAATTTTAAATATTTTGAACACTGAAAATTCGTTAAATTATATTTTCTTAAGGTTAAATTTTATTAGCTACATTATTTCATGTCATTGTAATTCTCTAAATAAATGCTATTTTTAACTTTTTAAATATTTTTGGCTTACCTTTCTTTAAAATTCTAAATAAATCCCCTTGCAGTTCCGAAACCCTTTCAACTTTGGCGAAATTTTGCCAGTCAGTTGCATCAGGTGATCAGTCGCTTTCAGCCAAAAACAACCACACCCCCCACCGTCAAGACAAGGATGGGTATTACCACCACAACTCCAGAGCCGGAACTGCAATTCTATGGAGCCCTGAATCCCATATATCAAACGAGGAACTTTTAACTTTACCTAACTAAGCTTTATTACGAAATTCTTAGACTAAGATTTGGATGCATGCTTGTGCCTTAGCGGAACTTCTTGTTGAACAGGCTCTTGAAGCTGCCGAGTCCTCCGAAACCGCCACCGAAACCGTGTCCACCGAATCCACCGCCGAAGCCGTGTCCCAGGCCACCGAATCCACCCTTCAGGCCGCCGAGTCCTCCGAAGCCGCCGAACTTGCCGCCCAATCCTCCTAGGCCGCCCAGGCCTCGGACCACTCGCTCGCCCTCCAGTTCATCCACTTGGGGATCCTGTTCCGCATCCAATTCCAGCAGAGTCAGTGGTTCGCCATTCTCCAGCTGCAGATCCACAGGAAGGGCCAGGGAGCAGGAAATCATGGCGATCAGGGCGAGACTCAGAACGAGGAACTTCATTTTTCTGGTGCTGCTGCTTCTCGAAGGGATTCGAAGAGATTGGTGATTAATGGATGCTGGCCGGATTGGTACTTAATACCAAGTGCCATGACAACTAGGTTTATATACTTCTGGTCTGGGTCTTGGGCTCGTGCGAAGAGTTGCTAATTCGTAGAGTCAACAAATCCAATCGGTGGGCCCAGCAACGGCTGCGATCTGCTATCTGCGATCTTGACCAAATATACTCGTACTTTCATTCATCCAAACTTTTTGTTAGACTTTTGGGATGGGTTTTGGCTGAGTTTTGGTCTTTCAGAAAAGAGTGAGCAAAGAGGGAGTACAAATGGGTTGGGTTTGCTCAGGTCTTTAGCTTGGGCCTAAACGATAGTTACATCATGTTTGCAATTGCGATTACCAGGTTGATGGTCTTGAAACGTAATCGCGTTGACCTTAGTCTGAGTTTGTTTTGGATAAGGTTAGGATGGCGCCTCCCCCTCGATTTTTAAGAATTAGAAATCTAGAACTCCTGCTAATCGAAGCGAATAAAAAGCAGCTAGTTTGTCTTATGTTTATTACGTTAATTACTAGATATTAAGATATTTTTGCTTAGCACCTATGGGGTATGTATAAAATTGGGGGTCTATTGGCTCCAGTGTGTGTATCTCTCACGTGCCGCAAGTCGTTGCTGTCTTCTCAGGAATCTCTTGTAGTATTTTGCATTGACAAAATGTTTGGGATATGTGGTTATGGGTTTTTGGTACCATAGTTTCGAGGATTGACGGTGACGATGCTTGCTTCTCGGTTCTGGAATCATATTATAGCGGGTTTTTCTAATCTGCTCCGGGGCAAAGGGTCGCGACCAGACCACGGGATCCAGACTGGCATCGTAGCCAGCTTCGTTTGATGGCCTCCAGGGTTTGCAGTCACAAAAGTCCATAAGAAATACTAAGATTATGGGTGAAACCATGAAAATGTAAAAAAACGCGGAGTAGTTCATGGTGCAATGGTTCTTGAAAGACTGGTGCCCTTTGACCTTACAGTTCGGGTTCTTATACCCAGCTAAATACACATTCCATTATCGGATTACCCCCGACATATGAGGCGACCCAACTACCTGCCCGACTTATCAATGGTACTCAGGTACTCAGATAAATACACATTACGCAGGCCAACAAATCACTGTGGATCGTAAATCGGAGTGGAAAAAGGTATCTTTATCTCTACGGGAAAATCGATAGGAAAAGAAAATTGTTCAATGCCTCTGCGGGTGTGAATCAGCATGTTCGTTTCACTTTCAAGACTTGTCCTCTTGGCCCCGTTTGCTAAATTTGCCAAATTACCAACCTTGCACTTGACACCTGCTGCTTAATTAGCGTTTCAAAAGAGAGTACTCTTTTTTGGTTATATATGGTATGTATATTCTGTTGGAGAACGAGGGTAGACATCTGTCAATCATCTAAATTGTTTGTGAACCTTTCCTTTTTTAAGCATTTATGGCCTTTACAAATATTTTGTGACTAGTGGCGTCAGAAATCCTTTCTAAGCCAAAACCCTATCTACAGTTGCTAGTTTAGGCTTGTTTCTAAAAATTATAAAATGACTTTTATATATATAGATATTATCCAAGCTAAACTAGATGGCAAGCCTATCAACAAAAGGTTAGAACAATACCCTTAACCCCTTAATAAATCGTTTGTAAAAATAGTTAAAATGCTTGGCTATCTTGTGTTTAAATGTTCTTGTATTTTCCAAAATAAATAGAATAAATTATCTTATTATTAATAGAGAGCTTCGCAACCCATTTAGAAGCCTGGGGCGTAGGCCTGCATGTTCATGCGCTCCAGAAAACCACCGGGTGGTGGATACAATCCCTGCATGTTGACCTGCGGCACTGGATACAGTCCGGTGGTGGCTCCACCAAATCCCTGGGGTGCTGGATATGGACCTGAACTGAAGCCACCGAAGCCACCCTGAGGGGCAGGATAGAGTCCAGTGTTTCCACCTCCCAATCCCTGAGGTGCAGGATAGAGTCCTGAGTTTGCACCACTCTGCAATCCCTGAACATTGGCCATGTTGACAATGCTGTTCAGCGACTGAAAGTTATCCACGGCAGGATTGGGCACAAATCCATTGGGCAGCTGGGGATTGGGATACAACGGTGAGCTGCCGTACATGGACGGCACGCCGGGATAGCCAAAGGATCCAAAGGAGCCGTAGCCAGGAGCTGATCCTGCCAAATTGGGATCCGGATACCCGGGATAGTTGTTGGCTATGTTCGTCTGCAGGCCGGGAATGCCATTTAGGCCAGGTTGCGGGGCAATTCCGGGATATATGAGGCCAGGATAGTTGGGATACCTCACCAACTGGCCGCCCACCGAACTCAGGGCCATCTGGTTCATCGGCATGCCCATGGTCATCGTCATGGGCTGAGATCCTGCCGTCGGAGTAACATTCGCTACCATCTTTACATCCGGATCCGCTGAGGCAGCCATCTTCAGCTGGCGCTCCTTTCGAACTCGCTGATCCTGATCCTGCGGCCTCGCTTCCACATTGCCCAAAAGGAGCAGGGAAAGCAGCAGGAGGGCTTTCTTCGCAACAAACTTGGTCATTTCGGTAGCAATCTCTGGATGCGACTGTTTGCTTCCGGCTCGACGAAATCCCCTTTTATGCCGAGGCCGATCGGTGAAAACTTTCTTTTGCAATTATCCGCCTTGGTTTTTCGTCTAAAGTGATTTTATGGCAGCAAAAGTCGAACACTGCGGCCCACTGAGCGGCCGCCTGTCTTCGGTTTTGTAATCTCTTTATAAACAATTCACACTTTTAGACTAATGCCCAAGGCAAATAAGGTGCGAAATGTCTCAGCGCACGGAGTTCGCCTTGCAGAAAATCGCTGCTCACCAGATGAGTCGCTCCGAACTCTGGGGTTATATATATCTCATACCTGGTGGGTAAAGCGGGGGCGGCTATGTCTGAAGATGAAATTAAGAGTCTGGACTCAGTTTTAGCCACAGCCTAAAGGTATGCTATTAAAATATCGTTTACAACATTTCTAAATTAAATAATAAATGTTTAATAATAAAAATGTTTAACACAATAATTTTTATGTACATGGACCCTAATAAAACTGATTAACGCATTTAGATAAAGTGAACAATAAGATTTGGTTTAATTACATAAAAGCACACTAGTCGGTATAAATGTTTTAATAAAATAGGTGAAAATCTAAATTTCTCACTTGAACTTTAAATAAAAAAGGCATTTTTTTATACGGGGTAACATCACGTTTTTGGGTTGAAAGGCTTACAGCTAAAACAGGAACTTTCTTGGTGTTTTCTGTCTTAATTTGGCGGCTCAGCTAAAAGTATTCCTATTTTAACTAGCTTTTTTGGAATGAATGCAAATTGATTGTTATATTGTTTGGGACAAAACACTGTATATAGTTTTGCTGTAAATAAAGATTACTTTCTCCACTAAAAAAGAAAAGAAAATTGTTTTAAAAACTAAAGCATTATTCATTCTTTTATCTATTTTCAGATAAATAAAATTTGCAGTACATGTATGTTTAAACATAGTTTTCTTTGTGTTCAATAAATAATAATAATAATATTTGTACAACACTTTTAAGGCTAGACCTGTGCATTTCCCTAACTTTGTAGATGTGTTCTTTTGGTATCCTTAAAATAAGTGGGAGAACTGGACTTATTTGCCAAAGCTGTCGGTGTAGGCGGCTCTTCTGGCATCAGCACGAGCCTGGCGAACGGCCAAAGGATCATCGGCCAGATAGTGAGGGGCATAGTCCTCCGAATCGTAGGATCTGCGATTGGATCCACCGTATCCATGCTTTCCGTACACTGCACTCTTGGGATAGCAGATGAAGTAGTCGCCCTGGTAATAATCCGCACTGGCTCGCTTCTGTCGCACTGGTTCTCCTGTAATATCCGTGGCCGAAACGAATCCTGGATCCTTGATGTCATCGCCGATTGGAGCTGCTTGGATCAGGCTCAAACCGAAGATCACGGAGATCACAACGAAGGAGATGGCGCACTTCATGTTAATCAGGTATTTGTGTTTTTTTTTATGGTATGGTTTTGGTAATAAGTTTTTAGCTGGCTATGTGTGGTGCTGCTGGAGTTCCTTGAGGTTCTGTGCCTTATCTCCCGTCCGCCTTTGGCTTTTATAGCCGCAAATCTTCTCCAATACGCGCTAATTGTTATGACAGACCGCGTCGCCCAGTCAGCCAGATTCCAGTGGTGACAGTATTGGGGCACTAATTTGATTTGCCGCGCATCTTTCGATTTAATTAGCAGGGATCGAGCCGCACAGCATTTCCGTCAATGCGATCCAGCCTTTTTGGCCGCTTTTGTACTCAATACTCCCCGCTTGTGACGTCATTTGGGGGCTGAACCCCTTTAGGGGGAGGCATTTCTTGCGGTTTTCTGCTTTCGTGACTTTTGCTTTTTGTTGCGGTAGGCACCGCCAACCAAGTTGAATGATTCATTTGCGGAGTTGGCCTCCTCGAGAGATCACAGAGAAACCTATATATAACACCAATATTGGTCATCAATTAGCCATTTCTTAGTAACTATCTATGACGTATCAGGTCGAAATTCTATAAAACAACAAAGCGACCGAGTTTTAAAAGCTGTCGAAAATGTTAAAAAAACTTCTATACATTTTTAAGTATTTTTAAATAATTTTCTCATTTGTGTAATTTAAACAGTGTTGGGACATACCTAGATACTTTTACCTAGGTACGTACCTAGGTACAATTTAGTGATACCTTTTACCTTAACTAGGTATACAAATAATTGAGTACCTTTTACCTTACCTAGGTATTTATTTTTATATGCCTTTGGAATTATTAAGGTACTTACATAGGTATTAAACATTGCTCTGATTTAAAATAGCCAAATCTGACTGCGACACTGTAGTATCGTTTCATTGTATCGTTTCGTTTCAGAATTGTAATAGTCGGAACGCAGCATTAATAATTCAGCCGTTCTATTGTTTGTTTTGTGAAGTTAAAACTAATCGCAGTTTTTTTTATATAATTTTGTGCACGTATGTATGTTCCCATCACTACATCAATTTATTTATGAAACCAAAGTGTATTTGGCGCGCAAAAATGCCGTATGTACGTAAACAAACGGCATATACATGCATATGCACAATATATAGTCAATGTTTCTACATACGGAATTTTTGCGCGCCAAATATGTACATGAGGGTTTCATAAATACATTAATGAAGTGATACGTGCATAAAATTATTCATGCCGTGTGGTTTAAAAATATATGCACAAAATTAAAACATTTGAATTTAAATGAAATGAAAAGATATTGTTTGATTAAGACGACTAAAAACTGAAAACTAGTTTTATTTTAAGTTTAAATGATTACATTGAACAAAACAAAAAAATTATAAAAAATAAAAAATACCTTATAAATACCTTTTACCTTTACCTAGGTACTGGGAAATTTAAGTACCTTTACCTTACCTAGGTATTTATTTTTGACAATACCTTTTACCTTACCTAGGTAAAAAAACACAGTACCTTTCCCAACACTGAATTTAAATATGTTATTTAAATCTTATTTCTTTAACTCAAAACTGGCTATTTGTCTGAAAATATATATTTATGGCTGCGGTTGCTAACCACAAAAAAATCTTTCTCAAATTTTAGATAGGCGTGTCATGTTTTCTTTCTTTGGGATCCGTTGGAAGTGAAAAACCACAAGGTCGGTGTACCGCAGTGCCAGTAAGTCTACAGCGTGATGGAACACTTTGAGCATTTATTTCGGGACATGTTTCGAGATATTTTTGGACTGCCCACAATTAAATAAGACCCAAAGTTCTAAAATTAATTACCGTTTAGCCAAGGCATCATAACTTTGCTGAAATAATTATTATCGTTAAACTGCATTTCCTACAAAATATTTATTGCATAGCACAAATATCATTGTGGGGGAGGCGCTAATTAATTGCACTATCGAAAAACTTAGAAATAAACATGAATCATATTGACAACTTGCCAGTTACCAAGGAAATGAATTCCACAATTGAGCGTGGAAAATATTTGCCTTTGCTAATTAGAAGTCGTGAATCATAAGATCGCCGGGGAGCATCAATTAAACGCAATCTGAAATCTGGAGTTCATCTCCTCTCGTGAAATGTTGTGCCAGGAACTCGGAGGTAATTTTCCATTGAAATACCCGATCGAAAGGTTTTTCGGGGGTGCATCAAAGCAAAACCGCAAAAACCCTGTCGCAACCCCAGATGTCTGGAAATTGATCGAACTAGCTTTTTATTGACTTGGCAATTAGTGAGTGTGTTTCGAAAACAGGTTACATTATCCCAGATTTAGCGATTCCTTTTGGGTTGTACAAGCATTTCGCAACATGTTATCAAATTTAGCTATAAAAGATATAAACAAAAACAACCAATCCAGCTCCAAAACCACAACAATTAATCCCATATTTATGGTCCAGGTGTGCTATTTTTAATTAAATGGTTTAGAACCAGCAGAATCTTTGCTTTGGAAGATTTTTCAATTGTGGGAAAAATAGACATGGATCGTATTCATTGATTAGACCGTTTGTAGACCGGTTCCCTTTGTTTGCGTAGTATTTTCAAGCGAGTGCGTAAGCAATCTGCCCCCCAATTCTCACCCAAAACAATACAGAGTCATATGTTTTTGTTTTCGTTTCGAAACTTGTCTATTTTTGTCTCAATTAAAAGCAAGCAAATTACGATTATTTACGTCCCCAACTGGAACTGGCTGAAGCTGACGCCGAGGCAGAGGCACTACCGCCTCCTCCAAAGCCACCGTAGCCACCGCCTGGATAGCCACCACCGCCGAATCCTCCTCGTCGGTAGCCACCGCCTCCTCCGCCGCAGCAGAAGCCACCACCACCGCGTCCGAATCCGCCGCCAAAGTGACGGGCAGCCCTGATTCCAGTGCCATCATCGATTCCCGGCTGGGCCTCAGCATCCTCCAGGGTAATCTTTTGATCCTCCAGCGGATGTCCGCTGATCAGGACGAGAATTGTCACGAAGACGAGCGCAAACACCACGTATTGTTTCATATTGGACAATCAAACACTTTCTACAACCAAATCATCGCGGGGTTCTATCTTTTATAGCCAACTACTGCGGGGAGGTCCCGTTTGAAGAGTAAGTGTTCTATAGCCCCACTACATGGCATCCAAGTATCATTAGTTATAACCGTAGGGCAATTATCATATGATGCTGATGATTTCACCAAAACTTGAGGTCAACGGAAATCCCAGACGCGTCAATTGTTGACTACAAATCAAGAGTCCCAGAAATTAATAACCCAAAAATAGAAACAAGCTTACAAGTTCACTGAGGAACGAGAATGGAACATTTTGAAATTTTTGCATATGTAATTTTAGTTTTTCACATTTTCTTTTTCATCTTTTATATTTATTATATATCTACTCTTTTTAACAACTAAAAATGTTACATTTAAATACAATTAATTTTTGAAAATTTGGAAGGTATATTGATTTTTTTCTGTGTATAGTTCCGTCAGCATCACATTTTTTGGACCAGCCCCCTAGATGGGGATTTACTTCTACGGTTGAATGCAGACCAGTCAACAGCTCTTAAGTGATCACTGACCCAAGATTGCGCAAGATTTTTGCGCAGTTAATTAAATGCAATTACATTATCGCCTGAGAATGGTTTATGTTTTTGTGGATCAGGGGAAGCACATTAACTGCTTAAGCGTAAATATTAAAAGGTTCAGTGAGAAAGTAAAACCCGTTTGTTGACCGGTATTCGAGTCTTTTCAAAAATAAACTTAAAATAATGAAATGCAAATGAGCGTGCAAAACAATATAAACGTAACAGATTTGAACAAAACAAATCGTATATCATAAAGATGGGTAAAACCGGCATACAAAATGTACTCATGGAGATAACATGATTAATAAAGTAAAATATCAAATGAATGTTGCATAATTTACAACAATAATAAGATGAATTTGATTGATTAAAATTACATATTAATTAACCTGCTGATTTTATTCATAACTCGAAACTGTCAAGAATCTCATTTTTAAACTTGCCTCTTTAAATGATTAAAATACCATAAATAAGATAGGATTGATTTGTTAATAGGATTTTTAATTTTAATTATAATATTAATCGATTTTTATTGCCTTCCTTAATTAAGGCACTGGTGTATTTATTGCCTAATCGGCTTGACCCACTCCCAGACGTCTAGCCATATTTAATCAAATTAAAAGGCAAAGATTTCCACGTCTGGCGAAACACCGGTCAATTAGTGCAAATATTATAATTCGAGACAGTCCCGAAACCCCTAGAAACTCAAAACGGGGAACCTCAGCTCTTATACAGCCCATATAAGATGATTCAGAATCGTTCATGCGAATGCATCTTCTCAGGGGTGAATAGATCTCCAGCCCGCTAATTAACTGTGCTATTGACAATCTTTATTATTATAGCCAACAAATATAGCAGAAACGCCCCCGGTTATTGGCTTTTTGAATGAAAAATAAAACAAGCTTAAAAGCGAACCAAAGAAAAAAACCCGCGGAAGTGAGCGATCGAGTTAACGGTGTGAAACAGATTGCTGACTTATTTGGCCAACTTTCGGCATTCGGCAAGGTCAATGTCGGGTGTGATCGTCTGCAGACTGGGCCAGAAACAAGACGATCTCGAAACTGGGCGTGAAAGCAGCAGCAGCTTGGCGCCAACCAGTTGATGACGTTCTGGCCAAGATTTGCAAAGTTCCGCTCGGCCTGCGATCATTATTATTTTGAGGGTTCCGAAGGTCTACTGGTTTTTCTGTTTTTGGCAAAACCTATTTGGAAATTCACTTAAGAACGCAGGTGGTATATAATATTATTGGGTTTTTCAGTCGGTCTTCAGTTGTTAATCTGCATTCGACGGTTTCGCAATGTTTCTACCCGCGCGTCTGGCTCTTTTGAGCCTTCTTTTTTTAACGGTCTCTGGGCAGAAAAACCAGAAAACCAGGAATGATCGTCCACAGGGCAGGACTCTGGGTCTACTGACGCCTCTTCTATTGGGCGGTGGAGGACCCCTCTTCGATGTTCCCCTGGCGGCAGGACCACCCATCAGACCTGGTGGAGGATCATCTGGCGGCGGTGGAGGAACCCAATCGGATCCCCAGGATTCCTACTACGGCGGTGGTGGTTATCCTGGTTATGGATACAGACCAAATTATGGATATGGGTATCCCAGCTATAACTATGGATATCCGGGTTATGGTTATGGTTATGGTTATGGCCAGAATTACTACAGACCCAACTATTATAGACCCAACTACTACAACTATGGATACCAGAGACCGCAGCCGTATTATGGATATAGACCGAACTACAGCTCCATTGGATCAGCAGCCTCAGTTGGTTATCCCTCAAATGGAGGAGGAGGCTATGGTAGCACCGCTAGCATCTCAAGCTCTCCCTCCTACAATCCCGCGACATCGGGAGTGGGAGTTGGAGCTGGAGCTGGAGCAGGAGCTCTAACTGGTGCTGGTAGCTCCCAGCTTTCGACCGCCCAGCAAGCCCAGTTAGCCGGTATTTTGGGCCAGGCCCTCGGCAGTAGCCTACGCCCCCTGCTGGCGAATGGGGGCGGGGCAGCTGGCGCAGCAGGTGCCGGAGCAAATCCGCAAGCCCTAAGCGGTCTACTCGGTTTGCTCGGCTAACCCATAAATCCCTCAGTATTATAAATATTCATAGGTAGATAGATAGGTTAAGCCATCAAAATTTCTGTTACTAATCGAATTAAGAATTTTTTACTTTATTTCACATTTATTTTTTCGAAAATAGATTAAAAATGCACTCTTGCTAAAAGTAAAATCAAGTACTTTATAATCAAACTTATGTTTTTAATATGTTATGTTCTCTATATAGCTGATTCTATTAGTTGTTACGATTCTATTGTTGTTATTTATCGTAATTCATTAACCCATTTATTAAATAAATATTTGTTTTTGTTAAATTGGAATTTTAATTGGGACGGGGTTTTACAACATCTTCTGGGTAAGTTACAATATACAATGCATTTTATTAAGGATAGTTTATGTAATTCTGGTTTTGTCTGCTGTTGATACCTCTTCTAGTCATGTAAATTGTGTTAAATAAATTTATCGCCATATGTTAAATATAAAGCTGTTGGGTCAGGGCTTCTCAGCTTCTCGTCTGCAACTTGCAAATAAATTTTAATTAGTGGGCGAAGAACTGCATTCAGTAAGGTATAAAAGGTAGCAGTGTAGATCAGTTGAGTAGTAGTAATAATTGTGGATAGTCAATATGCAGCTAATATTTTTTGTGGCTTTTGTGGTTCTTTTGGGAGGGGTTTTTGCCCATCCTATGAAGGAGGATCCTGCTGCTGCTGCCACCCTAGATGATTTGGCTGATTTGGGTGGTCAGGAAGCGAAAGGAGGCGAAAGACCAGCTCGCTGGCTGTCTGGCGGATGGGGAGGAGGCTGGAATACAGGATGGGGTGGAGGCTGGAATGACGGATGGAATGGAGGTTGGAACGGCGGATGGAATGGAGGGTGGAACAAAGGATGGAGTGTTTCTTATCGACCCTGGAGCAACAGCTATAGTAGCTACTGGTGGTAGCAATCTCAACACAGTGGCTTCCCAAAAACCATACCAACTTTTAAATAAAGCTTGTCTCAAATATAATTATAAACATTTGGTAAAGTTCTTTCAAGCTCTCATATTCAAATTAAAGCGCAATTAAGTCAAAAAGAAACCTAAGCTTTTGAAAGCTTTTTAATAGCCAAGTCAACCAAAACAAAGCCATTTGAATTGTTTACGTTTTGGCATTTTATGGGAAACATTAAATCTATGAACAGTTAAGAAGAATTGCCAAAATAGAAAATAAAAACAAAAAACTGGAATATCGGTAGATTCCCTGGATCGTTGCCCGAATAAAAGACCGTAGCTGCAGCTCAGAGATTCACAGTTGCTCAAAGCAAAGAACCAAGCTGAAACAAAAAACAATCTTACCTAAAGTATCTACAAGATGCGTCTGATCCTGCTGTCCATCGTTGGCCTCTTGTGCCTGGCCTACGCCTTCGCCCTGAACGACAATGGAGCCAATCTGGAGGATCTGCTGGGCGTGGCCCATCACGGAGAAAACCATGCCGAAGGAGGAGAGAGGATTGCCCGCGGACATGGCGGCGGAGGTTACGGCGGACATTACGGTGGTCACGGAAACTACGGCGGTGGACACGGTCATTATGGAGGTGGTGGCGGACATGGACATCACGGTGGACACTATGGTCGTTAGTCTGCAAATAATATAATTTATTTTCTTTGATGGCACATTGTACTGTACAAAACAAACCTTTATAAAACCAATTTACAGTTATTTTCAAGACTGGGAGTTAACTTTTGTTATGAAATTATGAAATTCTTCATTGGGTTAGCTTTATAAAAATAACTTAGAAAATCAATTAAATGATTTTTTGTTTTGAAAAATCGTAGATTCCCATTTGATTACTTTTTCGAGTCTGGATCAAACAAGTCGATCTTAACATTAAAATTAATGAAATATGAATCCTTATGAATATATACGATAATTGGGATTATAAAACTTGTATAAGATCATTAAGTATTAGCCAGCTTTTAAAATAGATGTTGAATAACTAGTAGAAGTGGCTGAAGGGCAATTTTCTTTTTTTACAACTAAATTGCTTGTAAAAACCTCTCAGGTTTTTCACTGTGGACTGCCACGTAGTGACGAAGAGCACCAGGAGGGAGTGCAAAGGCGGCTACTATATATAACCGGAGAATTGAAAAGCTGCTGTGATGGTCCGATCCTAGCGAGTGATACATCATTTTAAAGGTATTGCTATAACTTTCTCATTCTGCACGCTGCAATGGAGTGAAGAGTGAAGAAAAAAGGGCTGGAATAGATTGCTAGGTGTTGAAGGTGCGATCGTCACTAGTCTTTTACCTCGTTAATATGTGTTTTTATTTGATTAGTTGATATTACAAATGCTAAACATGCAATTAGCTACAATTAATTTTATGATAAAATAGATAAAAAGCAGAAAACTGGAATATCGGTAGTTTCCCTGGATCGTTGGCTGAATAAAAGACCGTAGCTTCAGCTCAGAGATTCACAGTTTCTTCAAAGCAAAGATCCAAGCTTAAGCCGAAAACAATCCAACCAACAATTAACTGAAGTTTCTACAAGATGCGTCTGATCCTGCTGTCCATTGTTGGCCTCTTGTGTCTGGCCTACGCCTTCGCCCTTAACGACAATGGAGCCAATCTGGAGGACCTGCTGGGCGTGGCCGATCAAGGAGGAGACCATGGCGAAGGAGGAGTGAGGATTGCTCGCGGACATGGCCGCGGACATTACGGTGGACATGGACATTACGGACATCGTGGACATGGTCATTACGGACATCGTGGACATCACGGTGGGCACTATGGTCGCTAGTATTAATTCACTTTGATGATCCGTTTTACAATGAAAATAAACTATTTTAAAATTAATTTAAAGTTGTTATTGACAGTAAAAAGAAGATATAAAAATTTGAGTAGCTTTATAGATATATGTTTACCTGGTTTCCTGATTTTAGAAAAAAAGAATCTTTTTTAAAAGATAGTGATCCGAACATGAATACATGAAATGTTAACTCAACTTAAATATTATTTTACACCTCAGAAAAACACCAACAAATATTTATGTACTTTTACCTATAGAGTCTAAATACTCAGCTCATTTTTAAAACCTGTGAAATAACCACAAGAAAAAAAGTACTGTAATATATTTGACGACTAAGTAATATTAACTTGTTTGGTGAGCATTTGACAGACCAATTGATACTTTGGCCTCTACCCAATTTGTTTTCTACCCAATGACTAATTGAACAATCTAAGCAGAAAGAAAAGAAAATTAAAGCCAACGGTTTAATACTCTTAAATTGATACTCAAATTGATTAAATTGAGGATATACCCTCTGTAAGAGTATTTAAATGACAAGCCCTCTTTTCTTTATATACACTCAACTAGAAGAGCTTTGACTTTATAAAACTTTCTAAGCTCCAGACTGAATTATATAAATTTTGGTGGAACCTAAGTTTATTCACCAAATAAACCCAAATAAAAAACAGTGGGCGTGTTTTTTTCTTTGACGCGCACGAGCGACCTAAGCAAATCAATTAAATTATGGTTTTTTGTTTTGAAAAATATTAAACAGCGTTTGGGATATTTCGAGGGGAACCTGTATGGACAGCTCAGGTTCAATGGCTTGCACTCGTAAATCCCCAGTTGTTTACTTTTTCGAGTCTAGAGCAAACAAGACGATCTTGACATTCATTAAACAATCGCGAGCTCATTTTCATATGAATCCTTGTGAATATATACGATAATTGGGATTATAAAACTTGTATAAGATCAATTTTTTAAATAGATGTTTAGTAACTTGTGATGTAGAAGTGGTTGAAGGGTAATGTTCCATTTTACAACTAAATTGCCTCTAAAATCCTCTCAGGTTTATATTGTCTAGAGTAAATAGGCCTTACCTGTCAGAGGCGATCTTTCACAATGATGAGCTCGTGGAAGATTAATTGATATTACGCATACTTAACGTGCAATTAGCTACAATTAATGGAAAAAATGGAAAATTAAAAATGGAAAGTTCCAGTAGTCTATATTTGACTTGGCTGATTAAGTGGCTTATGGCTTATGGACCATCCCCTTGACGTTTATCTGCCAGATGCAGTCCAGTAAAAACCAATAAAATAAAACAGGTCCCAATTGTTGACAGGAACGACGAACCCTGATCGAATGATCTATGCATGAAACCACTTTGGGAGCAGCATCCCGACAACTTTCGCAAATGAGACATTTAAATTTTAAATGATTCAGTAATGACAGCCGAACAAAAAATGACCAAATAAAAATAAAGAAGACCTGGCAGACGAAATAACAAAGAGTGTAATAATTGTGTGGTGAAATATAACGATGCAAAACAGAACCCGGTCAAAAAAGCCCCTAAACAATCGCACCTTGTGGCCAGGTAAATATATGTAGTATATAGTATTCTAAAGTATGAGTAAGGCGAGGGAAGATGGTGGTGGAGCTATGAGGGGCTGTAGAGAGACCCCGGCTTATTGATGCGTATGAGAACAGGAACGTCGGGTGACGAGATCTTCGAATATAAGGCCTGCGATTGAGTCCACAAATCATCAGTTGCACTCAAGTCTTCAACAGCAATCAAACGAATCGAATTAAGATGCGTCTAACACTCCTGGCCCTCATCGGTGTCCTGTGCCTGGCCTACGCCTACGCCCTGGATGATGCCGCCAACAACGATCAGGTGATCGGACTCCTGGACGTCGCCGACCAGGGAGCCAACCATGCCAACGAAGGAGAGCGAGAGGCCCGCCAATGGGGATACGGCGGCTGGGGACGAGGAGGATATGGCGGCGGCTGGGGAGGACACCGCGGTGGATGGGGCGGCGGTGGATGGGGTGGACATCGCGGTGGATGGGGTGGCGGTGGTTGGGGAGGACGTCGTGGTGGCTGGTACGGCCGATAGGCCAATGTCCACCTGACACGGCTCCGACCAAACCCACCACTTGCCCCACGTCAAAAGGACACCCGCCCACGGATGTCAAGGCGTTAATAAAGAACATTGAAGCATTAAAATTATCTTGTCATTTGGTATTTCTAAAGAGGTGTTGAACGGTGGTGATGTTTAGGCCTGTTATTATTGAGTTATATTCACCAAAGCCAGGTGTTCGAAAAACCTTTCAAACAAAAAGCAATCAACACTCTTTTAATAACTTAAGTATTGATGTGTTTTTCTTGAATATTTTTTGAATACAACACTTCTTTTCCTCAGCACTTTTAAAGGATTTTCTTCTTTCACTTTTTCTGTAAGCATTTCAATATGATTACCCTCTCATTGGGTTTAGGCTAATAAAATAGCAACTTTAGTAGGCAATAATGAGTAAGTCTTATATCCAAATTGGATAGCATTTTTAATCCACCAAGTTTGTTAATTTTAAAAGACTGATCGACATTGCTCCATTCCAATGATTGCCAATTACTTCCAAAAGCAGTCAAAGACAGTCAAAACTACTCAATAAATCTTTTCAAAAGTTTGACGTCGTCATAATGAAGATGTCATAAACATTTAGCGGTATTGGCGGTTACCCAACTGTGAAATATAAGCCCTGCAGTTGAGAAGAGTAGTCATCAGTTGCACTTAAGTCTGGAACAAAAATCAATCGAATCCAACGGAAAACAAGATGCGTCTTACAATCCTTGTTATCGTGGGTGTCCTGTACCTGGCCTATGCCTGTGCTTTGGATAATGCCGACAACTTCGATCCTTTGATCTTATATTGGGACGACGTCGACTTGGGAGTCAACAATGCCAACGTTAGGGATGGAGAGGACCACTACATTGACTTTTGGAAAATTTTGTTTGGCAAGAAACCGAAATGACTAAAGTGACACCTAACCACACAAATCAAGTGGTGAATAAAGAAAACTAAAGCATAAGAATTTGAATCTCATTCTTTAGCCTTGGTTTTATGGCTTTCTTAACTTGACTTAACCAATTACATAGATAAATTTTATGAATGATGGACTCCTGGACGTCACCAACTAGGGAGCCTTCCATATCAACAATGGAACTCAAAAGGGCCGACAATTGGGCAGAGGTGCCTAGGCCAGCTTTTTAGGAAAATTCCCTAATTCCTGGTTTTTCTAGTAGGACAGTTGACATTGTTGACCACGCCTCCGGGCAGAGGACATCCACCCACCAATTTCAAAGTGTGAATAAAAAACATTGAAGCATTAACATTTTATTTCAATTTGGTATTCCTGAAGAGGTGTCAAAAGGAGCTGGTGTTTAACCCTGTTATTATTGACTTTCAGAGGGTATATTCCCTTTAGCAGGCAGTTTATTATTACCTTTCAAAATATATTGCATTCACAAACCAAAGAACGTTTATAGAACAACTTAAGTATCACTGATTAGTCACAAAGAATTTGGGGAACGATTTTTTATCAAGACATTTCCTTAGGGTAAATAAATGTAAACACGATTTTATAATTGCAACGCTCACTCTTGAAATGAATTATGATAAAAACGTTTTACCATTTGTCCAGTAGTCAACTAATTAACACCAAATTACCCACTAATTGCGAATAATTCTGAAATGCCTGCAGGTTTAATACAACCAAAAAAGAACACAAGTTCACAAAAGTTAAAGACTCAAAAACACTTTAGCAATTTGTGTTTGATATATCTGAGTGTTATTATGCAAGAAAGAGTATTTAAAGGTTGTGATTTTTTTGACACATTTCTGTAAAGCTATCCAAGTCCTTGTTCAGTGGAAAGGTTTAAAACCCCTGGTCCAAGTTCCAAGTTCCTTAGTGTGAGACCGCGTTAACCCTTGTCGACATGGATAGTTTCCTGCAAGTTCAGAAGAGCACCATCGCCCTGCTTGGGTTCGATCTCTTCAGCGAGGACCGGGAAATGTGGAAGCGTCCCTATAGAGCAATTAATGTATTTGGCATAGCCGCCATTTTTCCCTTCATCCTGGCATTTGTGATTCATAATTTCAAGCATGTTTTGCTGCTGGCGGATGCCATGGTGGCTCTATTGATTACCATCCTGGGACTTTTTAAGTTCAGCATGATATTGTACTTGCGTCGGGATTTCAAGCGGCTTATTGATAAATTTCGCTTGCTAATGGCAGATGGTGAGTTGTGGTATAATTACCTTTCAGTTAATTATTTTATTTTCTAAATTTCATAGAGGCTGGTCAGGGCGAGGAGTATGCCGAGATCCTCAATGCAGCGAATAAGCAGGATCAACGTATGTGCACCCTGTTCAGGACCTGTTTTTTTCTCGCCTGGTTACTGAACAGTGTGTTGCCATTTGTGCGAATGGGGCTCACTTATTGGCTAGCAGGTCATGCTGAACCAGAACTGCCGTTTCCCTGTCTGTAGGTTGCAGAATAATAACTATAAAATATTAATTTCATGATTCATTTTCACAGCTTTCCCTGGGACATTCACATCATCCGAAATTATGCTCTCAGCTTTACATGGAGTGCTTTCGCTTCGACGGGTGTGGTATTACCTGCTGTTAGTTTGGACACCATCTTCTGTTCTTTCACCAGCAATTTGTGTGCCTTCTTCAAGATCGCCCAGTACAAAGTTGTGCGTTTTAAGGGGGGAAATCTTAAGGAATCACAGGCCACGCTGAACAAGGTCTTCGCCTTATATCAGACCAGTTTGGATATGTGCAACGATCTGAATCTCTGCTACCAACCCATCATCTGTGCCCAGTTCTTCATCTCCTCCCTGCAACTCTGCATGTTGGGCTATCTATTTTCTATTACTTTCGCCCAAACAGAGGGCGTGTACTACGCCTCCTTTATAGCCACCATTATTATTCAGGCCTATATCTACTGCTATTGTGGTGAGAATCTGAAGACCGATAGCGCCGGTTTCGAGTGGGCCATTTACGACAGTCCCTGGCACGAGAGTTTGGGAGCCGGTGGAGCCTCCACTTCGATTTGCCGATCATTGCTGATCAGCATGATGCGGGCACATCGCGGTTTTCGAATTACTGGATACTTTTTCGAGGCAAACATGGAGGCCTTCTCATCGGTAGGTAAAAGTTTTAAAAAATTATCCCCGAATTATGAGGTTAATTCGGGGATAACTTATTTAAGGAGAAGACATGACCTAAAAAATCTTTTCAAACTGGAGCTTAAAATACTATGACTAATTGTCTACTTTCCCATTTTCAGATTGTTCGCACGGCGATGTCCTACATAACAATGCTGAGATCCTTCTCGTAAAAGGTTTAACCACAACGCAAAGGGATTGATTTTTGTGCAATTTTTGTTTTATTGCTGAGCATGCGTTGCCGTACGACATTTAACAACCGAATTTACATATCTTACAAATGTTTTTTCTCACACACTGTTCGTTAAGCGCTAAGTAGAATGTAGAATGTAGATTATAGATGGGATTATCGGTAGAAATGCACAGATGAAGCACGAAGGGAAGGAGAGTTTTTAATGGGGGTGCGTGGACGGTGTGTAAAACGGAAATGTTTTTGTGGGTGGGATGATAAACTTCCAACGAGCAGCTGCTCTCTATCTCTCTCTCCTGTCTGTTTCCGGTTCACTTTTGACCCGAAACGATATGATTGCCAACTTGAGCATAACGATGAAGAATTAGAACACGATTTTATAACGATGTGGATTACTTGAAGAATCTTCCGGGGGCGGCGGCGGCGCGAACTGGCGGGGGAGTGGGTATATGGGCACCTTCGGCGCGGTATCCATTCTCATCAGCAATGTAGGTGATGGTGTAGACCACGCCATCGGGTCCGGTGTACGAGTAAGATCCCTGCATTACCTGGGGAGTATAGAAATATTGCATTTTATATATGCCTTGAAGTATGCTATGATATTTAAAAGATCGCGCCGAAAGGGATGCTAACTTACCTGAGCCTCAATCTGGCTGCCCGGGTTCTTCAAATAGCCAGCCTCATCCGCTCGGATTCCATTGCTTGTCTCGTAGCTGAATGAAATAGGAAATGAGAATAGAATTAGAAAATATTGCTAAAATTGTATTAGCTTAGTAAGCTTAGTGGGTCTAAGACTGCTGAAAATTCGTAACAAAAACATTCGGAATTTGCCATTACCGCAATTTTACAAAATAAATTCAATTAATTTGATTTTTGAGAAAGAAATAAAAAGGTTTAAAATAATAAAAGTAGATAATTGTATAAATATTCATGAACCCTCAAATAATTATAATTTTTATATATTTTAATGGCTAACATAAAATAAATTGTTTGTGTTTAAATCTTAAAAAAAATGTACTACAAATTTTAATTTATATTTTGATCTTATATAACACTTGATACTTAATTTTGATGCGTAGCGCCAAATCATATTCTAATATATAGGAATATATATATATTCTAATATAGGGATATAACCCTGCCCTCTAAGGATAGGTTTTTTAAAAATCCAAGATATTTTCTTGTGTAACACTAAGATTATGTTTCATTTGAATTTATAATAGTACATTTTTTCTATCCATATTATCTTAATACTTACTACGGCTACGAAGATCATCTTACACTCCCCACTTACTTGTACTGATAGGAGCCGTCGGGATTGAGGTCAAAGTTCTGCTTGAGTATCACTGCATTCGCGTCGAAGGAGTTGCCCCGCTGCGGGGGAAGTCCACGTTGTGGCTGGGCCTGAATGAAACTGAGGCAGCAGAGGGCCAAAACGACGGCTGCGAAGGAGGCGTGGGTGAGCGTCATGACCTTTAGTGGGTGAAAAAGAAGACAGGGGACCGCGACGGGTTATGGTGGTTAAATAGAGTCATAAGTAAGTACTGCAGATGAGGTGCGGTGTTCAGTGTTCAGTGTTCAGTTTTGAGTGTTTCGGTGCCCGATTGAGTTGCCGGCGGCGTTGTCTTTGAATGTCAAACTCGTTGCATGGCAATTAGTATCTGATATACTCCGATTGCCTTTTTGAGATTTGAAAGTTCTGCGATTATGATGGTTATTATGATGAAGGTCGTGGGAAAAATATCCATAAAAGAGGTTTAGAGTCCTGGGGATGTTTATGGGTCAACCAAAAGTACGTAGAGCCTTTATGTTCCAAGTTTTTGGTTTTGTAAATATCCTCTATGCAGGACAAGCTGCCTTATTTTTACAGATCCTGTCTTTAAGGATTCACCAAGGATTCACAGCCAACTCACTTCGGATTCGCGACTTGATATCGGTTACTGCGCTGGGAGGCTCGTCAAAAGTGCTTTGACTTGGCTGCAGTTGCCACAAACGTTTTTATACCGAAATCGCATTCACTGCAGCTCTGAGCTGGAAGCAGAGCAGCGGCAGAAGCAGCATCCGCAACCAGATGCAGTGCACCAGCCCAGATTTGGAGGCTGGAAGGGCAGGGGAGAGCGGGTGGAGCGGGCTGGACTGAAAAACAGTGAAACAAACAGTGTTTGTCTGCTTGACAGCAACAGAATCGGAAGAGCCGAAGTCGCGTCGCTGCCTTAGTGCACCACGTAGCGTATGCGCAACGAGTTTCAAATGCAAATGGGCGTTGCGCATACGCCGCGTATGCCGTTTGCAGCTTACAGCTTATACAGTTCTCTGCGGTGTAATTTATGTGAATTAGCAATGCGAACTTCATTTGATTAGTGCCCCCGCTGGATGCTCGACTGGATGCAATAATTCGTTAAGTCAAATATTAATTAAAAGATTACAGATGTTGCAATTGGTTTCGTTTTGATGAATTGGCCATTTGGCCACATGGCTGCCAATGGATAGCGATGGAATCTCTATTCCTACCCGACTGACATTTGAATGGGCCGCAGGTTGGGGCGTAGCCCAGCCTGTCCATTTCAATGCATCGTTATAGAGCATTATTTGTCTTTGTTTTCACCCAGGTGAGCCTGCCCTTTTGGGCCAATTTCGCTGACCAGGTCGAGCAGGAACCACTCCCTTCACTGCACCAGTTACCCGCTCCCATTGCCGCTTAAATATGCCGGCCGGCTAAGGCAATTTTTCTTTCGGCTTAAACTTTAAACTTTTCCAGCGTGTAGGAAATGTCAGTTGCAATTCATAAAAATTACAGCAATAACTGCTGGCCAAAATCCAGTCAGCTCTTTGCCGCCAAGATGATCACGAACATGATGAACATCGCCCGAGATTTTTGTTGTTTTATTTTTGGCCAACTCCCGCTACCTCGTTGGTTTTCCTTTTCGTACGTTTTCCATGTTACTTGGCCAATTTCGCGGTTGCCCGCGTTTTGCTTTGGCCTTCGCGCTGCTTTTCAAAATTGCAGCTTGGCTGAGAGAGGAAGAGTTGTTTTGGCTTAGTGCATTCTTCACATTTGACATACAATTTGCGGGCCATCGCAATTGGCTTACTCACTCCTCACTCCCAGTTGCCGATTTCTTAAACAAACACTCATGGTGGCCCAGTAGTTTCCCGTGTGATGATGACTGATGACTGATGGATCGCGTGCGATTCGAATCCGATATGGATAGACCCGCTTTTAAGCGCACATCAAATGTATCTTAATTTATGCCCCTTTGTCTGGCGGAGCGTGTGGAGCACTATGCTAATCGAGTGCAGTTTCCTAAACATTGGCAATCAATCAGTGGATATGTGGTAGTAGGTACTTTTGGCCACTTCGAGTGATGGATGAGTGCGAAACAAGTTTATGACGTGTTCCACCAATTCGATGATACACCTGTCTGGGCGGGAATTTCTGCGATTGCTGGAATCGGCAAAAAGTCGATCTCATTACAGTGCCCCATCATCATCGAAGTTGACCTCTCTTCGATGTCTTGCGTTTTAAACGAGTCGCTGAATCATAAATATGCAAATCTTGTCTCTCGGCTGTGAGTGTTTTATTAACTCACATTCTGTTCGCTTCCATAGAATTTCTTTTGTGTTTTTTTTCCGTTTTGTTTTGGGTATATTTTTTTTTCGGTTATGGCGTAATGGGACTCGCAAAGATGCTAATTCGCGGCTGCTGCGCACATTAAACGCCGGTATATAAAGTGGATGTGGAAGATGTGGTAAGCCAAGTCGTCAGTCGGTTCCCGCCTAGAAAGCACCAAAAAACTCTCTTTAGAAAACCACCAATATGTTCAAGATTGCCCTCTGTTTGTTGGCCCTGGCCAGTGGCTCTCTGGCCGCCAGTATTGGCCAGGTTGACAGCACCACCGAGAAGAGGGAGATTATTCCCGTGCTGAAGTTCGAGACGGACAAGCAGCCCGATGGCTCCTTCCACTTCATGTACGAGGGCGGTGACCAGTCCTTCCGCCAGGAGCAGGGCGTCGTCGAGAATGCCGGCACCGAGGATGAGGCCCTGGAGGTTTCTGGATCCTACAGATACGTCGATGCCGATGGCAACACCGTGGAGGTTCACTACACTGCCGGCAAGAACGGTTTTGTGCCCATTGGCACGATCATCCCCAAGGAAATCACCGAGTTGGCCAAGTCTGCTGCCGATCTGCCCAAGTATTCCGAGGAGGAGGAGCTGAAGTACCGCAAGGCCCGTTCCCAGGAACTGGAGAAGAAGTCAGTTGCTGTGGAGAAGGAAATCGCTGCTGCGGTCGAGAAGAAGGTGGAGGAGGAGGCTGTGGTGGCCAAGGCATCCGAGGTGGTGGAGAAAACCGAGCCCCTGACCGCCGAATCCCAGGTGGTGCCCGTCCAGGTGGTGCTCGATGCCGTGCCAGAAGCCGAGGTCAAGACCGCCGAGAAGGTCGAAAAGGTGGAGACCGCCAAGACTGCCTAAGCTTTCCTTTAGACTCTAGACTACCCAAGTATTGTTTAATTTAAAACCAAGTGCGATCTAATTTAACTGGCTAGCAATAATAAAACGATTCCCTATCTCAAATCCGCATCATTCTTCATTTAAATGGAAACGACAGCAGCTGCATGTGAAATGCGGATTCCGTGCTGCATATAAATACTTATCATAAATTTCGCTATGGTTAGTGCTAATTTAAGCAGAAAGCTGAATGCTGACAACAAGAAATTATCTCACCGACCACAAATTGTTCAGGAATGACAATCATGGCTTAGAACTTCATTGGAGAATATGAAAAGATTAACGATTCGTATAATCAAAGGGGAGAGAAGGCATAATGAAAACAAAGCAAATTAAGATACTTTGTTGATTAGTAATCCGGCAAAACGAAACAAATTTCGATGATTTCGTAAACAACTTATCATATATTGCTTTGTCTCAACCAATAACATTTTAATGGATCTGATAAAACTGGCCTTTATAATACTTACTCGTAAACACTATAAATAGATCGTTAAAAACCACTTTTCCCTTACTTTAACAAAAATACAATCAAGTTTTAGTCTTCAATGGGGTATTTAAAATGTAGTGTTCGAATTTTCTGACATTTAAAAGCACATTCTTTTGAATCATTGGAAAGCCTAGGTTTTTACTTCATTTCTTAAGTGGTATTTGTTGAAAAAATTTAATACAAAGCTAATAATGATTAACGAGATCAGATGCACTAAGGTCCACGATTTGCCGGAGACCCAGAGATGTCATTTTGTGATAAACACGCCAGATTGTGTGACCAATATGAACTTCATCAATTATTTGGGTTGGCATTTCTGCAAAGTGGACGTCCGAAGCGGTTTCAATTCCTTCTGGAGTGCCATAGGAATGCTTTTGATGGCCATTTATGTGTTCTGGATGATGCAATTGACCGTAAATAAATAGTGAGTTCTAAACTGTTATTTTAGTGGAAAGTTAGTAATAAATCCCCCCAGTTTCTGTCCCATTTTAAAGGTGATAGCGGATTCATTGCGGATGAACGAGAGCACGGCTGGGGTTACGGTTTTGGCCATTGCTAATGGATCACCGGATCTCTTCACGGCGATTGCCTCAAAATTGCAGAGCACAAGGAATTCCTTCCTTCAGTGCATGTCGCAGGCCATGTTCCTGCACATCTTTGTAGCTGGAATGGTGATCCTAACCAAGCCATTCAATATGGAACCAAACTATTATATCCGTGATTTTGGTTTCCTATTCCTCAATGTCGTTTACATGGACTATATCCACAAGCGTCCCAAGGGAATCAGCTGGTCATCGGCTTTACCCGGTGCCTTTATCTTTATTGGCTACGTTTTAGTGGCCATCATTGATCAGCATTTGCTGATGGCACGTATACGAAGTAAGTTATATCTTAGAATCTAAAATGATTACCATATAACCTTTTTAAATCCCCATTAGAACTGGAAAAGAGACAACTGGATGTGGCTGAGTTGTTGCAACTGGAGGAACTGAAGCCACAGACGCAGTTGCCATTGAAGCGCCAGGAAATCGATCGTTCGTCCCCTCGTCAAGGTGGCCGACATAAGCGTATTTTCCGGCAATTTTGGAACACTGTCGCCGAATTCGACAAGGAACGCTTTCGCCTGGGAACCGTTCTGGTGAAGGTGTACCTGATAGTAAAGCAGCCCATCGATATGATCTTGCGAATTCTCATTCCAGTGGTTGACATGGAGAAGCCCCTTTACGGTTGGTCCAAGCTGCTCTTCAATCTGCAGGTGGTTCTTGTCCCCACCTATATAGCCTACATAATAGGTGAGTGAATTTCTTGAAGTGTGTGAATGACCTATTTCACGATTTGTTTTCCAGTTCGCGGATACACTATTGCCGGAATTGCCGCCTATTTTATCATCCTCATGATCATGGTGCCCGTGACTATCTTGATATTTTTTCTCACGCGCACCGACACCCCGCCCAGATTTTTCAGGGTGAGTTCTTCGTACTTCTTACGTTTTTTTTCAGGCACGTAGCAAATAACCAGTTTTATTTTTAAATGCCAAAAATTATAAAGTTAAAAATTTCTTTCCCCGGAAATAGAATTATGATTTTTGGATTGGATCCTCTAAAATTCGTACGCATTTTCACAGGTCATGAACTCTTTTTTGGATTTCTTAAATTCGTTGCGCTGTTTTTTCATTTTTATAAAAAAGAAAACTATTTTTAAATTTCTTAAAAATTTATTTATTTTTTTATTTTTTCTTACAGTTTACAACAGGTATGGGTTTCTCGGCCACCGTCTTTCTGATCTTCTGTCTAACCTCCGAAGTCAACGCCATGTTTTTCACTTTGGCAACCATAATGAAGGTGAGCCAGGAGTTTTCCCTGTCGACGGCCATTTGCTGGGCTCTGAGTAGCAACGATTTGGTGGCCAATCTCTCGCTGGCCCACCAGGGATGGCCTCGCATGGCATTGACGGCCACCTTCTCAGCTCCCGTATTTGGTATTTAAAGAATGTTAATTTAATATGCAATATCTAACTCTCTTCTTTTCAGGATCCTTTGTGTTTCTGGCCCTGCCATTGGTGGTGCAGGCGTTTATAAAAGCGCCAAGTAATATTTACGTAAGTGTGGAAAGGTGATTTGTTTTTAATTTAAAGTATTTTGATGAATTCTACTAAACAGCCTGCGGAGGGTGGCTTTGGGGAGACGGTGTGCATCTTCTTGGAGGTCGGAATGGGCTTCTCCATGCTTTCCGCACTCACCACAAACTTCAAACTACGACGAGCTTGTGGTTTTCTACTGGTCTCCTACTACCTATTCTTCCTCGGAGTTCTCATTCTTCTGGAGAAGGGCGTGATCCATGCCTATGGAGTCTGACTTGGGAGTCAAGCTTTGCTGAAACTCTAAAGCCCATCAAATATGCAAATTCTCGAGATGATTTATGCCTCATTAAATGACCAATTTCATTCTTACGCTTTCCTGTTCGTTAAGTCTTCATTTCATGTGTCTTTGATCAAAGCTAATGGACGATGTTTAGGCGTGTAATGATGTATAGAAGCAGGTGTCTCATTCGTAGCCCCAGGGCCCACTGTACCGCAAAGTGGCCAAACGTGTGCTTAATCATATGACGTCTCACACTTTGATACTGTGCCAAGTTTGGGTACGTTTTCAAGGTCTTTTTAAAGGCGGGAATGTTCCATGTGATGAGGGAAAAGAATATCCCGAAATATTGGTATTACAAATTATAAATTATTTAATTGAATTGTTTTGTGTTAATAAGGTACATTTTGTACATTTTTTTATTTTAATTTTTTATTTTTTTCATTTTTATTTTTTTTTTTTTTTTTTTTTAATTTTATTAAATGTTTGATAGCCTATAATATTTAATTTTTTTCCCCAAGTGTATTTTCATTCAATAAGTAAACAAAAAATGTGCGAAATATGCTAATTAGATAGATTGAAACATCATTTCTTCGCAGTCGTTTTGCCGTTTATTTCTGATTGCCCAGTAACAACGCGCTGGTTCTTTCCATTAATCTTATGAACTATCATCTACGAGATCTCTTCCAGAAAGCACTTAATTCTTGTCCACCTTCTCTGGCTTGGGCAGATCCTTGGCTGCCTCAGCGACAGCTGTGATTTCCGGGTTGATACTGGTGCCGTAGGGAACGAAGCCATTCTTTCCCGCCGTGTAGAAGACCTCCACCTCCTCGCCCAGGTCGTTGATGTACTTGTAGGATCCCTTCACCTCCAAAGCCTCCTCTTCGGTGCCTCTGTCCACCACCGTTGCCTCCTCCTTGCGAGAGGTTCCATCTGCACTCGTGTATTTGGTGTCATAGGCACCATCGTTCTTCTTGTTGGTCTCGATCTCTAGGATGGCCACTGGCTCGCGTTCCTCGCGTTCCACGGGAAGACCATGACAACAGGACAACACCACAGCCAGGACGAAAAGAGGGAGCTGTTGGAGATCAGAAATTGTTATCACTTTACGGTTTACTCATAAAAACTTATCTGCCACGTTATTAGGAAAAACCTTATACAATTATTAAATCAATCTATTTCTGTCTTCACTTTTCACTTTTACTTATCAAATTATTAAAAATCAGGGTAAGGATGGTATATTATCCGTAGGTATTTTTAATTCAGCTGTATCTATTTGTATCCCCTTAATCCTTTATTGAATCCACTTACGATTTTGCACATTTTAGCGTTTTTGGGAGCGTAGAAAGCGAGAGTTAAAGCGCGTGTGAACTCAAAGTGGATCGGCCAGTTGGCTTTTATAGCCGCACACTCCTGCAGTATCAGTATTTCGGCCACATCCAGCTCTTTTCGGCTCTTTCGCTTAAACATGCTAAACATGTTTGCATCCCGTTTTATGCGAACGCTACGTCCGCAAACTGCGAAATGCGGCTGGCTCTCAAATGTCAAGGTCTCCGATGGGTCAGTGTTATCAGACTATCAGAGTAGGGGCTTCGGAAATGTGTCACTATGCTGGCTGGCTGGCTGGGATCTCAGATCTGAGATCTGAGTCAGATCATCGGGGCGATGACGCCGGCGATTGATGACACCGATCGGCGGCTACATTAGCGGCCTCTGCAACTGCATAACTTGCACGGCTTCACCCACTCGCCAGGTGTCGCGATTAATCAGTCGCACCTCACACTTTGCACCACAATGTAATCCCCACCAATCCCAGAAATGTGTAAAATGTCAGCTTTGATGCAATTTATATTATGATCTGCACTGGGGTGTAGCCCCTAGCCCAGGGCATCCATAAATATATCTATCTATCTATCTATATTTATCTATAACTATCGATCGAACATCTTCCGCTGACAAATGGCTCGATTCAGAATCTCAACGGGGTGCATCAGCAATTTCATTTACATTGCGGCGCCATTAATTCAATCATCGGTAGTTCCGGGGCTAGATATTAACGATCGTGTCTTCTATCGTTAGGTACTCATTTCATGGGGTGATAAATACAAATTCATTTCGCTGCACCGAACGACATTTGGCTTACATCTGGCAAAGGGCATTCGGCGCTGCTGCCACAATTTATAACTTTGACAGCTTAACTAATTTCGAAAATCTGCCGCAAATTAAATATCCCAGCGATGAGCAAGCGATATTGCAGATCCAGCTGCTGGACTCGGCACAGAAAAAAAATTCTTTTATGTAAAATGAAAAGAAATTTGTGCTCTGAATCTCTCTTCTGTGGTTTCTATGTTGTATTATTTTTGTACATATTTAGTTTTGTAAATATTTCAAAAATCACTATGGGACTAAATTAAATAAAATTTGGCAATTAATTTGATTTTGTAATTTTTCGGATTGCTATAATTATTTTAAAAATGAAATAATAATAATTTTTGGAGTGATGTGATTTCTGACTATCCACCCATTTTTCTATTAAATGTGGTTAAAATCAAAAACTCATTTATTTAATTATTTTATTTGAAAAATTACATTGAATAATACTTATTATGCGTATATAAACTAGTTTGTAACTTAGATAATTAAGAGAATAAGATAAAGTTATTAAATCCCTATAAATAAGGAATCTCTTGTAATAATTTGAATTATAATTATTGATACAATAGAAACCCAGTATAATTTTTTACCGTGTGGCGCTCCTTGTGGCCCAAAACCGAGTATTTTTTCTCGCCTGGATCATTGCTTTGCTTTGGTAATCGTCTGGCTAACATTTTCAAGAATGTGTGGCCATCAAAGATAATGGCTCTAAGGCGATTTGTTTATTAGCTGCCCCGCGGAAACGTACTTAACATGTGGCAGAAACCCATTGTTCTTATTCGCCTTATATCTGACCTGTAGCTCCTGGCCTTTGTCATCCACATAGCCATAAACACCGGACACCTCCAGGTCCCCAATGGGCACATTCAAGTCGTCGGAACCCACAATGCCCAGCTCCTCGCGATAACTACCATCTCCGTTCTCGTACATGAATAAGTAGGTGCCCGAGCTCAGTCGTAAACCCAAAGATTTGAGGATTGGCACTGGTTCACTAATGGCGGCACTCTCAGCGGGCCAACTCCACAGTTGGCAGCAAGTCAAGATCAATAACTGGAAGATATATCAAAATAAAAAAGAACACTTAACGCCGGGCTATTCATGAGCTACCCTATCCGCTACTTACCAATGCGAACATGATTTATGCTAATACTAAGCGCGAAGAAAAGATTCTGCGCTTTTTATAGCAATCCGTTAGACTGGCGTCTAAAGCTGAAGACATTTCTCCCCCAAAATCAGCAGACAAAGTTATGCAACGCCAGATGCTTTTTAAGCTTTTGAGGTCAGTAGAAAGTAGCAGGTCGAGTCTTACAGTTTTTCTGGAGTTTATTGAACCGCCCATTTGCAAGTCAAATGGGCATTTAGAAGTGTGGAGCTGGTAAACTGTCATGTTTACACTGCAGATAGCATCGAAAACTACACATGTGAATCGCGTGGGTTCTGCCAAATCCAAGGGTGCAGCAGCTAATAAAATTTGTCACAATTTTGGCACTGTGGCAAGCGAAAGGTGCAGAAATGGTAACGGCTGACTGCTCCACCTGACTTCCATGCAAATTCCAAGAGCTAACTTTGTTACAGTGGGTGGGCACCTCCGAGGCTTTGAGAAGCGGCTAACATTTATGGCAAACGGCATGCTGGAAAAACGGCAAGACAAAAAGAATTCAATAATAATTTCCAGCAATTTCGCAACTCAGCAGCAGCGGCGGCAGAAGTTGCATTTTGGCATTTGCCTTGGCCCGCCCAGTTCCAATTTCCAGTTCCACTTGCCAAAGCGGCCAGGCTCTCGGGCAACGTGTTAATAAATTGATTCTTTGTGGCTCCCCAGTCGGCGAGTTGGTTTAAATCCCGCCGAATCAAGTACTACTGCAAATATGCACTTCGAGGAAAATTTGAAAGGAAAATGTGTAAGAAAGTCGGTAAGAAAGCAAAGCATGGCTCCAAAAAAATTTAAGAGTGTTTAGAACAAAGAAAAGTTTACAGCGCCTTACACTCAAAAAATTACTGGGCTTGAATTTGAGAAATTTTCTTCAATGGCGATTTTTGTAAATATTTAGAAATACAAATTTTTTATTTATTAATTTTGATTTATTTGAAGATTATTTCATTTATGAGTAGAAATAGAAAATTAACAAATATTCAAGGCGAATAATATTTTGAGTTTAATTATATAACTTTTAAGAATATTAAAAAATGGATAGCTTTTGAAATATTAGTTCTTTTTTTCTAAGGGGTATGTACTGTCTAATTAAAACAAATCGTCAAAAATTAAAGTTTCCAGGCTTGAACAGCAATCGATTAGGAATTTTATTTTTTAACAAATTGCTTTATGTTAGATTCTTTGTATCTTAGAATTTTTTTTGGTTTACCTACACTTATTATCTTTGTATCTATTGATCCTGCCACGTTTTTTCCAGTGTGGCTTATGCAGAGCGACATTTGACGCGCCTGCCACAGAAGTGGAAACTCATTAATGTAGCAATGTAGCAGCCGCAATGCCGACGAGGTCATAATTCAGAGCTGCGACACGTTAACCTTTAGCCAAGATCTGCCAGCCGGAACCCGAAGAGAGAAGAGGGAACCCCCGATCCGCAGTTGCAGTCGCACTACGCATTGCCTCAAAGTGAATCAATTAGCCGCGCTGGCGGCCATAATTTCTAACTAATGGAATTCACAATTACAAAATGTCAGGCCCACTCGGCGAGAAGAACATCTAAACCATCGCGCGATTGCGGTGCAACTTTCGGGCTGCAGTCTATTAATAACCGTCGCTGTTGCTGTCCGACTTTTAGGTGGATTTGAGGCAAAAGCCTAAGGCCTACAGCCCAAGATTCAGCTATTGGAGTCGTGGGAGGAGTGTCCGACCCGTCTTTAATGCGGTTTGCTCATCGGGCCAACGACAACATTGTGTTGTGCGCTTGTTGTGTCTCGCATTTCTGCATAAATTTGGCTAGCCATTTTTTATGTCGCTCCCCGCGTATCGCCACTTCGCCTGATTTCCCGCATTTCGACGCTTTGTTTTATTGCTATTTATTCCTCCAGTTTCGCGAATCATTTAAATGGCAAATCAATCATGCGACTGTTGGCCAATATGGGCCGAAACTTATTTATAATTAATATTTGACACTCGCATTTGGGCATCTTAATTGGGTCAATATATTTTGGGAAACATAAACAAACGATTTGCCAGTGGGAGTTGGTTTATAACGTTTAAGACATTGTAAAACAGTATATAAAATGTTTACTGTTAAACATGACTGCCAAATAAAACAGTTTAATCTTATTGGTATGAATTTTTAGTTTAAAACAAATTTTTGAAGCTTATTAAAACGTGAATAGCACACGAAATTAAGTTAAATCTTTAACAGAATTCGATTTATCCCTCTTTCTTTTCGGCTGACTCCGAATATGGTACAACAAAAACTTTTGAATGTTGGAATTCAAAAAAGGTGAATCATAATATTTATGTTCAAGATTTCCACGGATAAGTAAATGGACCAGTTTTAAATTATTGTTTTGTTTATTAGTCTAATTATTGTGAGCAATATGTGGAGCGCATTTAAAAGTTGTGAAAGCCTAATGTGGAAGTTAATTGGTTTTCTGAAAATTCTATAGCCGACTTTTCGGCTGAGTTGTTTATTAAATAGTGAAAAAACCATTGAAGGCTTTTAGGCAGTTTCAAAATGTAACTTCTACTTGGCGGCTAAGAAATAGTATTATTTAAATCAGCGGTCGGCACACACATACGTTGTCATTTTGTTTTATATTTGTGTGAGTAATTTGCACTGGACAGCTCATCGATGTGTGTGTGCAGACCGCTGTTCTACGTTATACATGAGCGAGCAGCGCGGCGGCAGAACAAAACCCTATGCTCACTTAATAGGGCGCTGCCGACCGCTGATTTAAATTGACTTTCCGCAGCATTTATCAACAAAAATGGAATTTGTTTTGCCATTTTTGCAGAATAAAACATCTTTTTTTATCTTTAATTTTCCGTCTATAACAAAATGTTGACCTAACAGCTCATTGCATTAATTGACCTTGCTTCGAAATGGAAAACCTCCTCAGAATTAGCATATGCAATTAAGGTTTGAACTTAACATGGAACAAGACATGTTCGAATTTTAATGGCAGCTCATACAGATGACAAACGAAAATGTATCTGTCAGGTAGTTGGCAGATATAAATGAGTGATGGCGATCACATCACACCTAGGCATGAGCAATCTCAGTCCCAGGCCCAGAGATTGATGAATAACCCCAGTGGAGCGTGGAGCTATGAACAATGGAACACCTCGGGCCCCGAAAAGCTCTCAAGCTATCTAGCTATCCTGGGGATAAGCAGTATCTCTCCAAGAAGAGCCACTATATCATTTGACAAATGATGTTTGTAGACCAGGTTGAGGTCCGACCGGCACCTTGACCAAGGGAAAATGAGGGGCAAGTGTGTGTATCCAATCCAAGTGCCCGCTGTCAGCACATAACTCAGACAAACGCCTTCGAGGCAGATGCGAAGACAAGTGCTGGAGCAAAAAGGCCCTCAATTTGCATATGGGGCTGGCTCATAAACAACCTGCAACTGACCCGGGCCACCATGAAGATATCAATCAGCCTAGGCCAAAGCCGCAGTCGCTATGAAATTCGTTTGTCCTTCTGTCAATGGCCGATAAAAAACCAATAAAGCTGCCAAGCCAGCCCAGCGGCTTGTTAACACGCAGATAAATTACACTGGCCGCCCGAGAAAGAGATAACCATCGAGATGCAGTCAGAAGCTGATAGCCAGAGCACAGGAAGCGGCCAATTGTTCTGACCATAACGCTGAGCTTTAGGGCCTGTTCGAGATTCGAGAATCGAAAATCGAGAACCGCATAAATAGCGCCGCCAGTGGGAGCCGCATTTGCAGTCGTGGCACGACTTTCGATCAGTAACTTCCAGTGGCAGCAACGGATTTGCTTCGGATCGGCAATCGGACTCGGATCTCTAAAAAGTCCCAGCTTTATAAGTGAAACGTCGTCGGGTTTATCGAGCGTGTAATTTGTGCTCCGTTCGCGAGAGATTTATGATCCACTGACAGCCTAAATGTCTGGACCGCGAACCCCTCGATTCCGGCACCTCCGCTGGTTGGCCTGCCTGCTGGCCAGCCTCTGGTTCTCCGTGAGCCAGGCTCAGCTGCCGGGAACGGGTTTCCAGGGACAAGGACGAGGGCAAGTGCCTCCCCTGCAGCCGCTGCAACAGCCGGCCAATCCCTTCCAGCGCCGCCAGCCCAATCCCGTCCAGGGTCAAGGACTATTTCCGGGTCAGCGCAACCCGCTGAACCCATTGGCTCCACCGCTCACCGGAGCTGCCCTCCAGAATCCCTACACCCGCTACAATCAGTACCAGCAGCAGAACTACGTGCCCATCACCGCCTACCAAAACGAACTCAATCTGGATGGCAGCTTCTCCTACGGCTACTCATCGGCCGACGGAACCACTGCCCAGGCACAAGGATATGTCAAGAACTTGGGATACGGCGAGGGTGTCGAGGCACAGGTGGGTTTTACCATAAAAATACTGCCTTTGGAAAGAAGTCCTTAAAAATCAGTAATAATTTCCTAAGAACCCTTAGATAAAAATAGATAAAATTCATTAAAAAACAGTAATTAGTACTGATTTTTAAGGAATTTTATCTAAAGATTCTTAGTGTGTATTTTAAATTCAAAAGTGATTTTTAAGGACTGTTAAGGACTACTGATTTTTAGTTATTTATGAAGGTTCATTATAGTTTTTTTTTATTTTTATGGCTTATGTAGTTGAAAGTTATTACAAACATTTTAAAAAACCTTAAAGCATTTAATTTTAAAACTAAATCTAAATGCAGAAATATCTAGATTTTGGATTTGATTTAGTAATTATTTTTTTATGAATTCTTTTTAAATATATTTGATTAGAAAATCTAAATTCTGAGCATCACTCTTACGGTATTGTTAATTTAAAAAGAACTTAAAGTAAGACACAAGTAATAGCAAAATTATTTGGCAAACTTTTCGGCGTAGCACCAATATTCTTTATAAATTTCTTAGCATACACTTGGGAGAATTTTTCTGCATTATTTAAATTTTTTTTAATAAATAACTACTTTTTAATGAACAGGTTATTCAGGGCTCCTACTCGTACACTTCACCGGAGGGCACTCCCATAACAGTGCGCTATATCGCCGACGAGAACGGATTCCGGGCGGAGGGCACTGGGATTCCAGCTTCCCCGCAATATTTCTCGGGTGCCCAGCCCTATCAACAAAACCTGCTCAACCCCAATATAAATCCGTACCAGACGCCCTTCCGCCAGCTGCCGCCACCACTGCCCAATGCCCCATTTCGTCCTCAGATTCCGGGACAACAGCCATTGAACCCGCTGCAACAGCAGCAACAACAGCAGCAACAGCTGCAACAGCAGCGCAATTTCCAGCAGCAACAGCAACCAAATTCCGGGCAATACCAGCCAGATCAGCCGTTTAATCAGTTGCATTCCGGTAATTTACCTGGCCAGTATGCTGGACAATTTGGCCAGCAAGCTTTTGGCAGCAATCTCACGGCGCAACAGGCACAACAGCAACAGAATCTTAACCAGCAACAGCAGCAGCAACAACAGCAGCAGCAACAGCAGAAGGAGCAACAGAATGAACAGCAGCAACAGGCCTTGATAACCCAACAACTGAGGGGCAGACCCAATAACCTGGTGGATCCCTATGGCTATAACCAGTACGGCAGACGCTTCAAGAAGTCCCCAAAGAAATAAGATAGCAACTAAACTTGTAATTGAAACGATTAGTTAGTCCAAACATGTAGTCGCAACTCAAAGGCATGAAATACATGCAGCTAAAAAGTCAAACAGCTGGTTTTAATCGGATTTACCAAGTTATCGTTATAAAGAAGTGGTTTCTAGTATTCAAGATTCATTTATTTCGATAGTGGCACACACACATTGTCACAAAAGAAAAAGGGGAAAGAGAAGCTTACATAAATAAATTAACCATTTTGGTGAAAGAACATTTAGGGCAGCCTGCATTGGATTGACATTTCTTCGATTTGAGAGATTTGATAGGCGTTTCCGGGACTTCTCCTGGTTTTAATAGCTATAGCCTGTCTGAGGATTGAAATCCCCACTTCCACGACCTCCACCCGGCAACCCTGGTGGCGGTGGGATGTATTGCGACCCAGCGCCGGGAGGTCCAGAGCCTGGTCTTCCGGGCGAGCCAGGTCCTCCGCCGCCACCAGCTGGGGGCGGAACGTACTGGTTGCCACCGGGCAATCCTGGAGCTCCTGGTCGTCCACCGCCGCCTCCTGAAAACAAGAAACCGTTATTAGATTGACCCTTTGTCTAACTACTAAAAATAATTGAAATGATTTTAAAAGCCTTCAAGTCAAACTGTATAATGTATGAAAAAACGTTAGTAGATCGTGGGTAAAATCGTAAACAAAGACTGGGCAAATAATATTGTTAAACAAACTTGAAATGCGTGAGAAAAACACATGTCAATTTCAGGTCTTCACAGTATTTCTCACGAAGATCGCAATTTTTACAGTTGCTCTATGATAAATGTATGCCAAATGAAATATATATTACCTGCGCCACCTGCACCACCGCGTCCACCAGCTCCTCCAAATCCTCCTCCTCCGGGCGAGCCTTCAAATAAGAAATATAAAATTTTTTATATGTTTTGAAAAACCTAATTATATACTTACCAGGACCTCCAGGTGCTCCACCACCTCCTCGGCCGCCGCCGGCTCCATATCCACCGCCAGCTCCTCCTGCTCCTCCGGCTCCTCCAGCTCCACCAAAACCTCCTCCGCCTGGAGCACCTAAAAATCAAAATCAAATCAAAGAAATAAATATGTTCTTGATGCTTTTCTAAAGACAATTGATCAACAGAAAACCAATAATTTACTCACCGGGGCCTCCTGGAGCACCACCACGTCCGGCGCCTCCTCCGAAACGGCTACCACCTCCTTGACCTCCAAATCCGCCGCCTCCAGGGGCTCCTGGGGCTCCTGGGGCACCTGGAGCTCCACCACCACCGCGGCCTCCGCCGCCACCGCCTCCATAGCCGCCACCAGCTCCGCCGGCTCCACCAAATCCTCCTGCGCCAGGAGATCCTAAGTAAATGAAATGTTAATAATAAATAAAAAAGTAAATAAATTCATCAACTCACCTGGAGCTCCTGGTGCTCCACCACCACCTCGACCGCCGCCGCCTCCATATCCGCCGCCAGCTCCTCCGGCTCCACCGAATCCTCCTCCACCTGGAGCACCTGAAAGATCAAAACCAAGAGAAACAATTAAATATGTTCTCCATATTTTTCAAAAGACAATTAATCAACAGAAACCTAATGGTTTACTCACCGGGACCTCCTGGAGCTCCACCGCGACCGGCACCTCCTCCGAATCCGCCACCACCTCCTACAAGATATATATTATTTCCAAGCCGAAGTTTATACCTATTATGAATATCACTAACCTTGACCAAAACCGCCTCCGCCAGGGGAACCGGGAGCTCCTGGAGCACCACCGCCTCCATATCCGCCGCCTGCTCCTCCAGCTCCACCACCACCACCGCCGCGACCAGCGCCGCCACCTCCTCCGTATCCGCCGCCACCACCTCCGGCTCCGCCGAATCCTCCGCCGCCTAAAATTAAAAAAAAATATTATTTACGATAATTACAATCAAATAAAATAATTAACTCACCTGGAGCCCCTGGTCCTCCACCACCGCCGCGACCAGCGCCGCCACCTCCTCCGTATCCGCCGCCACCACCTCCGGCTCCGCCGAATCCTCCGCCGCCTAAAATTAAAAAAAAATATTATTTACGATAATTACAATCAAATAAAATAATTAACTCACCTGGAGCCCCTGGTCCTCCACCACCTCCGCGACCGGCGCCGCCGCCGCCTCCATATCCGCCGCCACCACCTCCGGCTCCACCAAATCCACCTCCACCTGGGGCACCTGCATATGCAAAAATAATTATATTAGGCAATTATTTTGAAGAGTTGATACTTAAGGCTAAGTCTACAGCATAATGCAGAGTATTAAGCCGAGTAATGCCAATATCTTGCATAATAAATATGATTTACATAGTTTACTGTAACTTTAAGCAAATTTTGACTTGCGTGTGCTATAGAGTTTACCATTTTAGATTATAATCTTTTAATCTTTTACTCACCAGGACCTCCGGGTGCTCCACCACGACCGCCGCCGCCTCCTGAAAAACGAATATATTTAAAAATATTAAAAAAAACTTTCGAAATACGGATCCCCACATACGGAATTTCATTTGCACCTCGGAATATGAATACAATGGTTTTTACCTGATCCATAACCGCCGCCGGCTCCAGCGCCACCACCGGATCCACCACCGGCACCACCGGCACCACCGCCTCCATAACCACCGCCTCCACCGGCGCCTGATCCTCCACTAAAACCACCGCCCGGCAGCACAGAGATGCCCTGGGCAGCCAGGGACTTGGCAATCGCCTCCGGAATGGGTGGTGGTGTGGGCAGTGCGTTGCCCGAGGGCACGAAGCCATTCTCATCCGCCGTGTACATGATCTCGACGAGCTCGCCCTCGGGATTCGTGTAGGAGTAGGATCCCATCACGGAGGGGATTTCGTTCTCGGATCCCTTGTTCTTCACAGTGCCCTCCTCCTGGGCCTTAATTCCATTGCCGGTCTCGTAGCTGAAGCGATAGTTGCCATCGCCGTCGTTCTCGTTGACAAACGAGAGGATCGGGATCGGTGGTCCAGAGGCTGGAGGAGCACCACCACCACCGCCTGGTGAACTGGGACGTGAAGCGGGTGCACCACCACCACCGCCAGGAGCAATGGGTCTTCCGTTGGAAAAACCACCCAGTCCGTTGTTGCCACCACCGAAGCCGCCTCCTCCGCCACCACCGGCTCCTCCACCGCCACCGAAGCCACCACCTGGTCCTCCTCCACCTCCGCCTCCGAAGCCACCTCCTGGACCCTGGAGCCCTGCTCCCGGACTGCCGCCTGCACTGGCCGCACTTGCCGGCGGGGGCAGGTATTTGTTATCCAGCTTGGCTGCCTGGGCCACCGCCAACGTCGTGATCACCAGAGCCTGCAAAAAAAAAGAGAAGATCCAAAGAGGTGGAATTACAAATTTATTCAAGCTACGTGGAAAGTTCATGCGAATGCAGCCTTTGCCATCGAAATGCACGCTCCTAATTTTTTGGCCTGGGGCAACACTCGGATAGGTTGACTTATGTGATTGCAAAATAAATAGAAAATTAAAAATCAAAGGGGTGGCTAACTTGTTAGAAAATTTGCCTTTTATATCTGCGGCTAATCAATTTGTTCGTCTCACATAAATATTAAGAGATAATTGAAATTGCTAGCACTTTATTATGCTGAAATGGAGGAGCTGATTTAATTATATTTTAAGTACCTATTTTATTGCCTCTATAAAAAACTAAGAATGAACCTCTACTTTGGATTTATCACTCACATGGGATTTTTTGGATAAAGTTCGATAATAAAAATTTGTTCTGCATAAAGGTTAAAATAGAAGGGGTTTTCAGAATATATTAATAATGATGCATCTATCTATCTTAAGTTTTTATATCATAGTTTTTTAATGACCAATAAATATAACCCTTTTAATATTTGAATTTTGTGACTCACTTATTAAATAAGAGTCCGTTTTCATAAGTACAATTAAAAGAGAAACATTACATATCTTGTCCAGCTAAGCAACCTGACCCCGCTGGGGACCTCAATCGGGGTCAAGAGTGTGGCCAAATGTCGGCCATTTCATCAATGGAAACATTCGCCCATTGACAGAGCGTCGCAATTCGAACCGCTCACGTTTTCCATTGTTGCAACGTGCAACCGATCGTCGCCCATTAAGGCTGTAAATGCGGCAAAAGCTGGGGGACTGCTCCTATCGAGCTCATCATCAGCGGAGTTGTCGCAGCCTGAAGCGAACTCTGATATTTATGGACTTCTTGTTAGACAGAAGACGTCTGAGAAGATGCAGCAGCGTGTGAACAGCGAATTGCTGGCTGGGAAGGTTAAGTAAACGGATCGACTGGGGCTCCTCCGTCGCCCAGCGAGTGTCAAGTTGAAGTTTAAACCGTTTACGGACTCCATTTGGCCATAAACATAACAGCTCCATCGATTGGCATGAGCTCACTTGTCGCACTGCAGCTGAAATGCAGCTGAATAATGAAGTAATGTAGTAATGTGGAAATTCTGACATTTGCCACACTGACTCATCATGCAACCGAAAAGCAACGCCTGCCCCTTGGGCCGGAATATCTATGAGTCTGTGGGAGTCTCTTGGAGTTCGTGACCACCTAGCAGTAGACATCTTCGACAGCGTTTCGCAACCGCAAATATAATTGCGGTAATTGCAAATGGGCTGCCAATTGGGTCGCCACTGCTTCCATTTCGATGATCTGCTTTGGGGGCGGGTCGGCCACGACCGATCCATCTTGGGCAACTTTGCGTGCCATCCGCAATCCACCAGCCGAAAACCGCCATCCTCCATCTCCGATTGCAAATGGGCTGTTAATTTATGCGTTTGTCGGGAATCGCAATTACTTGATCTTTCCAAGACAATCGGATATGCTAAGTACGATGGGGAAATCCTTCGCTAATTTAAACGGCCGAAGATGGGGCATTCCTGTGGTCTATTGTTTACGTGTTCTTTTCGTAATGGAAATTTAAGAGATTCAAAGGGAAGATTGGGGATCGGAGCGAGCAATAACTTATATATCCTCTTGAAACTTGTTTCTTTTAAATAAAATTATGATGACTGAAATTGCTTTCCAAAGTTCTTAGCTAATTAAATGAAAATGTGATTTAAAGGAAGATTTGCTATTTTCATATCTAATCAAAATTTTTATTTCTTTAAAATCCTATTCCAATTTAAGACAAGGTAATTGCATTGCATTCTAATCGAAGTTTCATCTGGTTTACAAAATACTTTTATTTAATACTTCTCAGAATAATAAACTAGATATTGTGACCTAGTTTATATGAGTATAAATTTTTTTTTAATTTACGACATATTAGCAATTGCATTCTTAATTCTTTAATTTCCTCAAAAAAAAGTTAATTACTAATTATTTATATTATTATATATTTGATTATATTTAATTATTATATATTTCGAAAGAGATTTTGTGATTAAATTATTTTAAAGAAATCCTTTTTAATTTATTCTACTATTTTTTGACACTTAACAAAAGCACTATTCATTTTACATTTGAAAATAAAACACTCAAAAACCTAATTTTATGAAATAAAATTCTTGAAAGGACTATGAACTGTAAAAAACATTTTTCTGTATTTTCCAGAAAATACTAATAATTAAAATATTTTCAAGCCAAAACACTCTCTTTTCATCTTTCACTGAACTTACCCATTTAAGAGCCATCACAGCAAACTTCTGATTGTATAATCCCAGTCGAAGAAAAGCTGAATCCTTGATGCACCCACAAATCCTTGGCAACCGATCCCCCTTCACCACACTTTATCCACCAATCTAAGGTAATCCACGTGAGTCCTTTTGCCGTTTTGTTGCACCAATGCTGCAGTGCCACCGCGTGTTGTGGCTCCTCGAATGTCACGGTACTTGTGTGCCGATCGCAGCCCAGGTTCTCCAGCTTTTATACTTGGTTTGGCGCCAAATGCAATCAAATGGAATGGAATGAACGAAAACGCTGTGCTGCCGCTGCATCTGAATTCGAATCTAAAGCCGGAGCTTGCAGCTTGGAGCTGAGCGAGTGCTGAGATTTTGATACTTTATGGCATTTATTGCAATCGTGTGCAGCTGTGGTGGTGGCGGTGTTCCCCCAGCTGAACACGAAAAAGGGAGAAGGCGGTGGAGGTGGTTCATCCGAAGGTGCATAAGTTCGACTATTGTCTCGGCGGCGGCATCTCGTTTACTCAATGTACCCTGTCTTGTTAAACAAACGCTCTCAGCCACATCTCTCCTCGGTTAGTGGGTAAAAATTAGCAAGCAACTACCGCTGGTGGTGCTCGTAAATTGGAATCCAATCGAAACTCTCAACGCTCGAGCGCATCATCATCATTCAGCTCGCATTGAATCTCCATTGAATTGCACGTTTGGGAAACCGTTTTAATGCGCTCGGTGTCAAGAATCGCATATTGAGAAGTCTGCCCAGGCGGATGTCAATAAATCTGACTTTAGCTCTTTCGCAGGGCGTAACAGTCCACGTCCAGTCTTTGACCTTTCACCTAATGATTGGGCCTTTTAAGGGGGGAGACCAAACTGGATTCGAAGCGGTTAATAAATACCACTAATATCGACACCCTCCGGCCGAAAGACTTAACATTGCGCAAAACAAGTTGCTCCACTTGGTGGCAACATCCAGCAAACCAACATCCATCTGCCCCAGCCCCTTCTCCTTTTTTCGTAAACTTTTCAGAAAGGGCAGCTGCCGCTTCTTTTGGATGTTTTTCGGGCGAAAAACTCACTGCATGTCGCGGCGGCCAAGTTTAGCGTAAATGCTTGACATCTTTTGGCAACAAGGAGAATGCTCATTGACATTTGCCAGCCAACATAGATGGCTGTTTGGAAAGGCAGAAATCTAGCAGGTTGTCACTGGGTTTTATTCTGCATGGGATGGTCACAGCTGTGCGGACCAGAACGCCAGCCAAGTGGCAAAAGGAATTTGCACGCACTGCAGCCAATCGAGCCGAGAAACAATCAAGACAAAACCGAACAACGGCAAAAAACTTGACAGAACAACTGGCAACTCTGCGTATGCGCAACATGCATCACTCATACGCCGAGTGGCCTTGCCAAATTAACACACAAATGAGCTGAGGACCACGCCCCCACCGTCCCAGCGTCCCAGCCCATTGCATAAACATCGAAATTTAATAATAATCCAACGGCCAGAGGGTAACAATTAAGGTGACTCAACTCGGATGCAGATGCACTGCAGCCATAGAATGTTTGCCGTTTGTTTGGGTTTTTCTACCCAAGCAGTTCCTGAACAACAAGCGGATTATTTATAGCGTAATTATGATTACTCAATCGTAGAAATAAAGTACAAAACGTTTATTCAAGCCTCAGGTGTTGGGGGTAGACATTAATTAGTTAAGATGGGTCCAAAACGCTTACTCGCCAGTCATCATCTCCATGAATTCTGTAAAGGAAATGAATGGGAAAGTGAAATCATTAATTGAGAGATCAAAAGTTATAAATTAGAAAAGGGTCTGTTAAAAAATAAAAACTTTTTTATCAAACTAAAAAGACATTTGTTGACAACTAATTAAAATTTTATAAGATTTCAAGAGATAACCCCTTACAAAAAGAATAAATAAATAAAAAATAATTTTATGAAAATAAATTCAATAAAAAGTTAAAGAATTGCATTATAAACACATTATTAAATTTTGTATTTGTTCCCCTTAAAAACTTTTGCAAAGATCATATTTTAAAATGGAACAAATAAAAACGAATATTATCCAAAATATCAGAGCGGTATAGCTTCTTAAAATCAAGAGCAAAATGATCTGCTTGTTTTTGTGTAAAGATCTAAGGATCCATAAATAGAGCACCACAAGGGCGGCACCCAGTTTTCCAAGGGGGTGGGTGGGGACTCCACCGAACAAATTGATATAATTTGTGTGGAAAATACCTTGGCAAGGGGCCAAAGAATTCAAAATTTTTATCGCCCGACTGACGGCGGCTTATTGGTCCGCGCACTTACCATCAAAATCAACGGTGCCAGAGCCGTCGGAATCAATTTCCTCGATCATGAGGTCCAATTCCTTGTCGGTCAGCTGGTCGTCCAGCTCCTTGAGGATCTCCTTCAGGCAGGAGGTGGGAATGTAGCCATTGCCCTGCTTGTCGTACAGGCGGAAAGCTTCGCGCAGCTCCTTCTGCATGGCCTCATCATCCTCCTCCACGATGAACTTGGCGGCCAGCTGGACGAATTCCTCGAACTCCAGGCGACCAGACTCTGCGGAAGGATCGGAGATCAGTTTGGGAACCACTAAACATAAAAGCCCTAAAACACTCACTGTCCTCATCGACCTCGTTGATCAGCTCGTCAAGGATCTGCCTGTCGAAGGGCTGACCCATAAGACGAAGGATATCGGCCACCATTTCGGTGGGGATACTGCCGGTCTTCTGGTGATCGAAGCTGTTGAATGCCTTCTGCAGAACGGCAATCTGCTCGGGGGTCAGGTCTTCATCCTAAAGGGAAAATAATAATTTTTAATTTATTAAATATATTAGCTAGATTTTTTATACATTTTTGTAGTCCTAGACAAAATAAAAAGTTATCCATATTTATTTAAATGTTGTAACTTTTGAAAGTTACATGCAATTTTATTTCTAGCTTGTTCTTGTTACTAGAAAATTTAAGTTATTTTTTCTGTAAGATCTATTTCACTAAGAAAAGAGCAAACTATTAAACTCTAGGTTTAAATTTCTTGAAATTACTTTAACTATTTTAAATTTAATAGGTTTAAATGCAATTTTCAGCTTGCTCTTCAAACCTAAAAGTAATGTTCTCTCTTCTCCCCGTTTAAAATGGTTATCCTTTAAGGTTTTCGTTAATCCAGCTCCACTCACAATGTTCTCCATTTTAAATCCTGTGCTAGTTGTTCACCAGATCGATCACCGCTAACGACTGAATCAGTTCCCCACTTCTTCATGTGGCTCTCGAGATCCCCGAAGACCAGAACACCAGAACACACCCACACACAGCGCCAGGCATTCCAAAAGTAACAAGCTAATTTATGGTTTTCAGCAGCATTTCGAAAATAAAACCAGGGGAAATAAACAAAAGAAGCGAACGCACACACAAACCTGTGGAAATCTTAAAATGTGTTTCTAATTTTTGTGGAGTGAAAAAAGAAAGGAAAATACGAAAAGCACTGTAAAACCATTGAGCATTGCCGAATTTACTGCGCCCCGGCCACCAGAAGCAACACCACCAATGCCACCGCCGCCAAGAGCAGACGATCCGCATCCACCCACCCAATACGATTTTGTAGTGGTTTGCTAAGCTTAACAATGACTATTTTTAGGCGGCACTGCGGGAAAAGTCCCTATATAAAGTCCCATGGAATGATCATATCTCAGGCTGATGATAAACCAGTTCCAAATGCGCTGTCACCATCTGTTCAAATTAAACACGCTTAATGACGATAAAAAAGTCTTAAATTACCTTATTTAAATAAACATCTCTTTTTATACTTCTTTTGGCGGATACTGGTCTTTGTTTATAGCAAATTAAATAACTACAAACTCCGCGTGAAACTAAAAACCAACCCTGTTCTACGGCTTTAATTTTTATACCCGTTACTCGTAGAGTAAAAGGGTATATTGTATTCGTGCAAAAGTATGTAACAGGTAGAAGGAAGCGTTTCCGACCCCATAAAGTATATATATTCTTGATCAGGATCACTAGCCGAGTCGATCTAGCCATGTCCGTCTGTCCGTCTGTCCGTCTGTCTGTCTGTCCGTCTGTCCGTATGAACGCTGAGATCTCGGAAACTATAGAAGCTAGAAGATTGGCATTTTGCATGCAGATTCTAGGAATTCCTACGCAGCGCAAGTTTGTTTCAAAATGGTGCCACGCCCCTCTAACGCCCACCATCGCTTATATACGATTTTAAAAATTTTAATATTTTGGAAAAGTAAAAATGCAGTTTTATTGTGTTTATCAATACCTATCGAAATGTAGAAGAAATTTTTCAAATCGGACCATTCGTTAAAAAGTTATGCGTGATCAACGTTTTCTATCTCTATCTCCATCTCCCTCGCACTCCCTTTACCTGAGTAACGGGTATCTGATAGTCGGGGCATCCGACTATAACGTTCCCTCTTGTTCAGTTTCGCTTTTGCTGAATTTTTAAGTTATTTGAAATGACTCAGTTGAAACTGAAAGTGACCCAAGTTTAATCGTCCGATTTCCCTCAGTGTATGCTTAAGTGCTGCCTATTTAAATATGTATCCGATATCCCCTCATAATTGGAGCAAATCTGATCACATTTTCCAATTCACAGCGACGACACGCTTTATGAATCAATCATGGCGGGCCCATAAAATCGTTTTATAACTCGACCAAATTAACGAGCAATTAAAAAATCGACATTAATTAAGGATGGAATCATTCCACACACACACTCGCAAAATAACATATACTGGAAATATCAAACGAACAACGTGCTAAAACATTTTTATAAACGATTCGAATATTGTCTCTTGCGATTCTGCTTCCTACACCTATACAATACGTTTATATCCAGATTTAAATCAGCCATAATATTAATTTTCGCTTTGTTTAATGCCAGCCATGATATGCAAATTGATTTATACATTTTAATAAAACAGCCGTTTGTGTGGCACACATTTTCGGCATAACGCATTTGTTTATGCGGCCATTGAATATCGGGGAAATTGAGGAAACCGAATGTTGTTTACGAATTATGACAGCGCCAGCCAAAGCAGCCGCCAAAAAGTTGACGTCACGGTGGCATATTGACCATTTGTTTATGTTCTTATTAATTTATTAGCAAGTACCTAATATATGAGACGCATATCTCAAAATGGCAGAAATTAGTAATGGCAAACAGGTGAGCCGAAGAAAAGAATCCTTGGTGCCGCAAAAGAACTCGGGAAATTTTAATATCGCTGCATTTGGTTATATGTACTTAGATACAATGCGATTTACACGGAAAACACAATTTATTTTTTTGGTTTTGATTTTTTTAGGATTTTCTAAAATTTAAGATTTTTATTAATGTAATTACTTTTTATTTTAATTTTATTCTTAGAAAAAAAATTTACCCTTTTTAAATTGTTCTTATGCTAGAAATAATGAAATCTAATAATGGAATATTGAAATCTAATACGATAAACTTTTAGAAAACCTTTGGACCTTGTCTTCAGTAATATTCAAATTATCACTAATTCAAAATGAATTTACTTATTTCTCACTTACTTATCTTTAAAATTTAAATGTTTATGCATGTCAAATAAAGTTTATCATCGTTTTAATGTCCATTTTTCCCCCAGTGTTCTCCAGATTCGATCTCCTGACGGCATGTTGGCATCTAGACATCGCCCCTTCAACATCTCAATCCATCATCGTTGAGATTCGTTTCCATCGCTTGCAGTCTGTCGGGGTTTTCATGTTGTGCTTCCAGAGCGATTAGCCTCAACGACCCAGAATTCGAATCCGAATCAGAATCAACGGATTTGTCGGCAAATCGGTAACCGGAGCGCAAGCTTTTCAATGTTATTTTGACATTTGTGAGGCGAGCGAGGTCTAGCCTTGATCGTCGCGGCGGATCGACCACTTTAGTTACTTCGGATACTGCTACTTTTGCCCCTGGTTGCACCACGTAATTTACGATGGCATTCACTTTGCCCGTCGTCATAAGTATAATTGCAGCGACATAGCTGCATCGCGCAACTTAAACGGTCGCATCACTTTCAAAGACCGAAAGCCTAACATTTGCATCGGAAATTATGACAACAAAGAGCCTGATTATCCCATCGCGATCACGTGACTAGATAGGTTTGCTAAATGTCCCCACACAGAAAAAATAACTGTAACCTTTTCAACCAGTAAAGGTAATTGTTTTTAAGAACTTCTTCTTTGTTCTCAAGATCAAGGTAAAGATTTCTTCAAATGATTGTGCAATGATAAAAGTAAAAAATCTTAGAAGATCGTTCACCAATTATAATTTACTATATCTATTAAGTATAAACAATTCTGATAATAAAAATTAGTATATAGTATTATTATTCAGAAGTTGCTATTCCTTGTTATTGCTAAGTATCTCTGTAAAAAGCTTAGAACTCCACGCAAAGTGATAAAACTTTAAAAAATGATCACTGATGCAAATTGTAACAATTATTTTTAGTAATCGGGTAAACTTTATCTTTTCTTCATTTGTATCCATTCATCATAATTTAGTTTTGATATGTTTTCCTGCCAATATTTTTCAAATTGGTGAGTTAATCATGAACAGTGCTGCCATCACTCAGCTTGAAAAACCGGACAGAAAAGCCAAAAAAAACAGGGAAAAAGAGGACAAAAAAATTTAAAAAAGGACAAAAAAAAGGACAAAAGTAAATGCGCCTCCATTTTTCTGTTTTTACCAAAGGGTGATATATTTACTTAATATAAATGGATTTTATATTAAATTCAATTATGTAATGATCTATTGCGCCCGACTCACAACCTTCTTCGTTTGATCATTTTACCATGGTCAATTTTTGTGCGTATACGTAATAATCTAAAATTATTAAAATAATAAAAAGCATTTCAAGTAACTATATTGGTAATACAAAAAAATGCAATATCTGCGTCAAACCCGAATAAGAGTCGTTCAAATATGAAATTTTTTTCTGACAAAAAGGCTGAGAGTAAAAATTGAGAACTTTTTAAAGTGTTTTCCTCTATTTTTGCTACAGAAAAAATCGTACTATAAAGAAAGTCCATCGACTGCATTACATCTCTTTGATAATTTGTAAAAAGAATTATTTTTAAAGTGCCGAAATATAAGAATAATGGTTAAAACGGCGTTTTAGCATATAAAAGCAGGTTTATACACTTTCGACTAGCAAAAATAACACTCAAAACCTTATCTTTGAAAAAAGGACAGATTTCCGGATAGGGGATGTTTGAATTTTTTTCCGGATAAAGTCGTTAAAAAAGGGACAGATCTGTCCGGAAAGAGGACAAAATGGCAGCACTGATCATGAATCTAAGTTTTTCATACAGCTCATTTATAATTTTAGGCAAAAGTTGAAATTTAGCCTGAGATCTTTCATTGATCTGGAGATCTGGAGTTTGACTGTCTGAAAGTATGCAAAGAAGGAATGGGAATCCCCCGGCTGAAAAATGAAATGGAAAGTGGAAACTTTCTGTGGGAGACCCCAAGTTCAGGGGCAGCACATCAATAATGGCCATCTGTCAGACCTATTGAAATACTAATATTATTCGTTTCTCTGGCTGACCTTCAATATTAGGCAAACTTGTTTCTGTCTGCTAATGAGCTATGTATATTTTTGAATATTAAAATTTTGTTTGGGCGCTGCAAATAAAGATGCACTGATCCTTTTGGATAAGAAAAAAGGCAGTTGGAACTTAATTTTCAACACATTTATTTATCAACACTTTTATTTATAATATTTATTCCTTGGAAGGGTGGGCGGCGATCCACTCCAGGGCGCGCTGGATGGCCTCTGGGATTGGGGGTGGGGTGGGGAGAGGGGGGTTGGCGGACAGCACCTGGTAACCGTTGGCATCGGCAACATATTGGATGGACACCTGCTCACCCTCGGGAGAGGTCCATGCCTGCGATCCCTTGACAACCCACTCTTCACCGTTGAGGTTACCAGCCTGCTCAACATCCACAGAGTTGTCGAGCTTGAGAGCATACTTGAAGTCGTTCACGTTCACTTCCGACTCGCTACGGAGGACTCCGGCATCTTCGTTGGCAACGGCGAGGGCCAACAGGCAGGCGAAAGCAATCTAGAAGGAGTCCAAGGAAGCAATCAGTTAGAATCCCATGAGGATCGCTTTGTGATAAGGCCACTTACGAAGAACTTCATGTTGTTTGTTGAAAGACTTGAGAAGGCTTACTGATATCGAACTGGAACTTTAGCCGGCTTTTTATATGATACTGATGCTTCGTTTGCCTCTGCCGGTGGCGCCCAAGTTCAAGTCACTTGACGCGTAGGATTTAATTTCATTAATTATGCATAAGATAAGACAAAATACATGTTTATGTGTGCCTCGTTATTGGCGTTCAGTTAAAGATCACGGTGGACCCCACAACAAAGCCCAAAAGCAGACGGAAGACGAGTTCGACACGGAGACATTAACTAACTATGTGTCAACTAGCAGACACATTGTAAAGATATAATTAATTCTCGAATTATTTTCATCAAAAATGTGAAATTTGCATAATTTTCGGCTTTTGCCAGCCAGCCAGCCAGCTAGCCAACTAGCCAGCCGACCGGTTTGCGTATATCTGGTGCGTATCTCTATTTGAATCTACCTTCGGGCGGGCACCTTGACATCCCTCCTGAGAAAACACGGGTCTCTGATAAATAATTCGCTTTATTGTTCGTTCAGTTTTAATCTACAGCTAGGCGTTGCCGCTCATCAGTTTCTGGACGGCACGATCGAACTTCCTGCAAAGATTAAGGTGATGTGTGAGACGAAAACTTGGTTAAGATCAACTAGTCTTTGGACAGCTCACTTGGAAGTCAGCGATTCGCCGGGAATGTAGAAGGGATTGCAGATGGCATCTGTGTAGAGCAAGTGGAGGTTTCGGAAGATCTGTAAGATGCGTATGCTGGAAATTATTCAGTTTATGGTTTGTATAGGGTTGGACACTCACCGCTCGGACCTCGTTTTCCCGCAGGGCAACATTGCTGGAATCGATGACCACTATGAACTTCACCCGGGTGTTGGTCACAAAACCGTAGCTGTAATCAAATCAATCTGTTAGGTTTAAAGATACAATTGGTAAGGCTGGAGTGCCAGTACATTTTGTGGTTCTCCGTGGAGTAGAGAAGTCCCAGGTAGAGCTCCTTGGACTCCGGAGCACCCTTGCCGATCAAGCACTTCTCCTCCACGACGTCCAAAGCGGCGTGTACGTGATATTGCAAATCCAGTTCCTGCTCCACATCGGATGTGGTCAAGTACAGGGGGGCATTCTAAGGGGATTATGTGGGTTACTTTTCTTTTACAATATAATAAATAAAACTTACGTCCTTGCCAATAACGGCTATACAAAAAGCCATTTTCTGTTATTTTTGGGAGTTTCTATTTGTTTACTTTTAAAGCTAGAGATGGTCAAGGGAGGTCAGCTGATTGGTCCCGTTATCGATAGACCATCATCGAAAGTGTGACCAGGGGCTGGCAGAGTCAGCGAGAAAAATGTTACCGTAACTGATAAGGAGTGAATTTTATCTATACTTGTTGTTAGCTTGTTGTGATTTTGATTCCATTTCGACGTCGCTTGTGGCCAAGAAAAACAACGAAAATTGATTTGGCAGCCATTGCAGATCGGCTTAGCACCCTGCTGGAGATGGCGCTCCAAATAGCGCAGAACAACCGCGATGGCCAGCAGCTGGTGGTGGGTGAGGGTGAGGGTAAGGTGGAGGTGTACGTGCTGTTTGCAAACACCACCTATCGCACCCTCGACCTCTACTGGGTGAGCGAGCAGGATCGGGAGTTCCTCTACCTGACCCTCAAGCCCTTCGAGGAGGTGCGTGTAAACACGTACAGCTCCCACAGCTGGCTCTTCCGGGACTACTACACCGGCGAAAGGATGCATGTGCGATCCCAGAGGATCTTCCAGCCGATCCGGGTGCGGGTGCCGAAGAACCAAACGACTCCCGATGAGCTGGTCGATGTGCGCAGCGAGGTGCTGATCCACTTCCCCATGCGATCGCTGCGCGAAAACTGCCTCTGGCTGGTGGCCCGCTGGCTAATCCGGACGAGCAATACACCCCGGAGGATCATCTATGGCTACCACATACCCTCGACGCTGAAGCAGCAGCTCCTCAGCCTGCTGACCTGCATCGAGTCCTATTCCCGGGTGGCCGGCACCAGGCGTCGCCGTTAGGATAGTTTAAAAATGGATAGTTAAATCTTAGGGACTGAGAGCCAGGCTTGATTTCCAAATAATTTAATAACTTTAATTGATTTTCATCCTGGTTTTCCTTTTCGTTTTCATTTTCTCGCTTATTACTTATGTACAAATTGGCTTGCATAGAGCGTTTTACAGGTTGGACTACTGCCGTTGCATTGATTTCTTTTTTTTCGTATCTTTAACAGATTACTTATACTTATGTCCTATGTGTATATATAATTATGCATAAACCTAATGTGAAACAAGTGTGAATATTACATACAAATATGCGCAATCCTCTAGGTCTAGAGTCTAGAATCTAGAATGCAAATACGTTTTAATGGTATGTCTGTAGTTACTCCCTTGCAATGCTTATCTACGTGTGTGTGTCGCAAGCTTAATTGTTATAAGTCTGAATCCGAAGTACATAAACGTATTCCTAACGAGAAGTAAACAAACAGAAGCACCCGGGTGCACTTTTAAATGTAAATTTTAAAGTTAATGTTCGAACAGATCCTCCTTGAATGTGTTTTGTGACGAGACGAATGTTAGAACTCAAATACATTGCATAAATACATACAAATTGTTAATTCGATCTGCTCAATCTCGTTCGCATTTCTAATTCACATTCAACAATGCATCGCTGCTGCTTCGTTCAGGCGGGAGATCACATGCCAGCGTTCAATACTTGCGCGTCACACGCTCCAGACTATCCCCGATCGAACCTATATGGCGGATATATATAAGTTAGGCAATCGCAATTGCAGCAATGAAGTATGCGTTGTGTTTGTGAGGGGTGTGTGGTGTTGATCTATGCGTGGGCTCTCTTATTTACCATCGTAGCTGAAGTTCTGCTTGGTCTTGTACTGAAACGTAAGATCGGTCGACTGCTTCCAGATGAAGTGGCGCACGGTGCGCAGGTCCATGTTGGGGTCCACAACCTTAAAAAGGGATTTACTGGTGAGTTAAACCTTATAGGAGGTTTTAACCATCAACTAACCACATCATTGCACCACAGTTCGATTCGCTCCTCTGCTGGCAGTTGGGATCCCTCTGAATTCGCGTCGCTCTGGCTGTTCTGCAGGGAATTGTTAGCATTGCCTCCACTCGGTGTGGTCTCCGCATTGAGCACCTTCTCCAGCACATGCTCGCACACCTTGCGGCACTGGATAAATTCATTAGCCACCAGGCGATCCTATAGTAAACTCATTAGAATAAGAACTCTTCCTGCTACTAGAGACTACCCACCTTCTTCGTTCGCTCTGGCTTAGTCATTTGCGGGTGGGGCTGCAGGAAGAACGGTATTTTGAGGAACTTGGGAATGTTCTTCTCGATCACCACATCGGTCACCCACTGCGGCGCCGTCTCGTGGAGCAGTGTGCTCTCGCTATCGCCGGCTGCATCGCGCACTAGAAGCCGGCAAACAGTGCGGCCGCCCACTTCACTAGTTTGCCAAAGGAATTAAAGTAATTAGTGATAGTTTAGATATGGCTACAGCTCAGCTACTCACCTAAATATGACGGGCGTGTGTTTGGGCACTTGGAAGTAGCCGTTGCCGTGCATGTCGGGTTCCATTTCGTTTGGTGGTATGCTATGCGGTGGTGTCCAGTACTCCAGCAGAGCTTCCAGCAATAGTTTGCCATAGTTGATCTGAAAAGAAAGAATTTTTAGTAAGGTAAGGCATTGGAAAATGGCTTAACCAACCTTAATTTCTGTTGTGGGATCGACGCACTCCGGCAGTCCAGCTTCAATGGACACCCAGGCCGCGAAGCAATCCACTTCCTCCTGGCCCAAGACAATCGTTGGCATCTGCAGATGATGAATATATTATAAGCTATTACATTACATTATAAGCCCTTAACTCACCCCGGTTTTCAGATCGACAGTGAACCAGTTTGGAATGTAAACCTGCTTGTTGCGCTTCTTCACCTCCGCCTCGTAGTCCACGGCTCCCAGTTGCTCCTTCTTGACCACCCGCAGCACATCGTAGACCACCACCTGTTCCTGCGAGTCCTTGGTTATAATATAACGCTTGTCGTTCAGCACCGTGCACTCCTTGATGGCGGCGCCTCCCTTGATGCAGGCCACCTCGGTGCCGCCCTGCGTCCACTGGGCGTCCATGCCGCCGGAGGAGTTCATCGTGCATCTGTCGTACATGGGCAGCTTCCAGCAGCGAATGTCCGAGTTCCAGGTGGTGGCCCACACGCCGGTCTTGTCGATGTTGTAGCCCAGACTGAGCACAGGTGCCTGCTCCTCGCAGACCAGCGTCTTATTGCTCGGGTTCCGCATCTCCGTCACAATGATATTGCGATCCCTGCTGCCGGAGATGATGTACTGGAAGTTCTCGCTCATTAGCAGCGACCACACGCCCTCCTTGTGCACGTGGATGGTCTGAACGCAGCGCTGCTGGCCCAGATTCCACACCTTGATGGTGCCGTCGGAGCTGCCGGAGACCACCTGGTTGCCATCGGGCGAGACAACCAGGCAGCGCACGTTCTCCGTGTGGCCGCGTAGCTTCATGCTGCGCATGCAGGTGCGGGGATCCCAGATGCGCAGTATGTTCTCGGTGGAACCGCTCACAATCACTGTGCCCGATGGATTCATGGCCAGGCTGTAGATGGAGTCCTTCGACCCGGTCAGACTAGAGGTGGTCACCGTGTTGTTGCTGGCCGTCAAGGCGGTCAGTGTGTTCACATCCCACAGGAAGATGGCCTTGTCCAGCCCAGCGCTGGCCACCTGCTCCCGATCCTTGGCGTAGGCCAAGGCCTGCACGTAGTCGCGATGGGTGCGCAGGGTGGACATGCAGAAGCCCTTCTGGGCGTTCCACACCTTGACCGTGGTATCACAGCTGGCGGAGATTACTAGGAGTTGGGATTGGGATTAGTTTACTGGTTGATCTGTGATCTTTAGAGCCACTTACGGTTCCGCCCGTTGCAGCAGAGCACTATGTCGTTGACCCAGTCGTTGTGGTGCTCCATCGACTGTATGTACTTCTCGCTGGAGTCCGTACGGGTGTTCCACACCCGGATGATGGCGTCGCGTCCGGCGGAGTACAGCTTGCCGTTGTTCGCGTCCAGCTGCAGCGCATTGACGCCATTCCGGTGCTGCTTCTCCTCGGCGTCCCGTATCACGAAGGAAACCTGTCGTCCATGGGTTTAATTGAATTAGTTTGGGCCTCCGTTTTCCAATTGCCGCACTCACCTGCATTTTCTTGCGTGCCTGACAAGTTTTGTGCGTCAACATGTCGTCCACGGATCTGCTGCACTGCGGCTATCGGCGATATCTCTGCTGGATGGATCGGCTGGACTTCAGGAGCTGGCGGCTTTGGCTGTTCTGCGCTCGCGGGGCACGCACATCTATCGGGGTTACCTTGCGGCCGCTGATATTTACTTTTTGCAAATCGAATTTACGGAATTTCCAGCCAACTACAAATTTTTCGCACCTATTTCGCTCTCTGTCTCTCCCCATTCGGTCCTCCCACCTCGCTGTCCCTCTTACACCCACTCTCCTGCGCCGGCTGGTGTTGCCACCTGGTTCTGCACACTGTGCCGGCTGTTCCACAGAGTTGACACTTTCGGTTCGAGAAGGTGACTGGTTCCGGAACCAGCTTTGTGTAATCTTAATCAAATTTTGTTCTTAAAATATATATAAATATATAAAAAGAATTTGTTTTCATTTCAAAAGGATCACTTTTTTTCAAAAATATTGGGTTAGAAAATTTTAAATGAAATGGAATAAATTTTTTTGGTCGCTAAAAAATTTTTGCTTTACAGATGCTTTACAGAACATACTCTTTTACATTTATAAAATAAATACGAAAAACAGAAATGAATAGGCTATAGTCCCACTGTCAGAATTACTCACAAACATTCCCATATATTTCCCAATACATTTTTAACTCTATAATTTGTACCCAAAAGCAGTGATATTCCGCCGAGCGTAATTTAAAGCTCTGGCGCGACTCGACAACCCTGCTCTTTACATAACAAGAAGAAGAAGACCTCTCATCGACCCCACCACACCGGGATTCAAGGATTTTATTGCATTTTCACCGATTACAATGGCCAGCTCGCAGTCAAACGACGCCTGCAGCATATGCGACAAAGTGGGCCTCAAGCCCTTCACCCGGGAGAATGTGTTCAACTACTACATACCGCTGCACGGCCTGGTGAGCTACGGAGCCCTGGCGGTGAACGTTATGAACCCCCAGATCGTGCCCAAGATCCTGCCCAAGAAGGACCTCACGAACGTGTTCCTCATCTCGGCGGTGGTGGGCAGTGCCTTCTACATCTACGGCCGGCCCCACCTGAAGGACGTGAAGAACAACAAGCGGGGCGCCTACGCCCTGCTGGGAGCCACCCTCTTCTCGATGGGATCCGTTTTGGCCTGGGCGCTGATCAAGTCCGCCCTGCCCCAGGACAACGCGCTGCTGGCGACCCTGGCGGGACTGGGAACTGGTGCAGCCATCGTGAAGATCGGCACCGATTACATTCAGGACGTGGACAAGCTGCAGAAGAACTAGGTGAACTGATCGACCCCAAAACTGGGTTCGTACTGTAATTGCTGTCTTGGCCGTACATAGCTCGTAATGCAATATTATCTCCCGCATATTTGAATAAAATTATACAACAAACCGATGGAGCAGAGTGTTTTTTTCTGCTCTGAACAGATAGATAATGCCGGGCGTAGATTGAAAATGTTTGCGTTTATTTTAAATTAAATGTACCTTTAATTGCCGTCACTTAACTGCTAGTAATGCTTAACAATTGAATTGTTTTAATTTACTTTATGTATGTGTGGTATATGCGTTACCTTTATTAATGGTTATTTCGTATATAAAAACATCCAATCGGAAAGTTTCTCTAACGCCAATATGTACATTTCTATCGGGTTAAAACATTCTACAAATTGCCTTAGTTAGCGACTTTGAATTGACGACTACTTTATGGTAAATATATCATTTCGTATTGCGAATCATACACTTTAAACTTATTTTAAATTCTTGTATACATACTTTACAAACGCTCAATGGTCGGACTTTACTAACAATAAATCAGTAAATATATATACCATTCATTATGTATATATTAAAAAAAATCATTGAAAATCGCTGCAAACGGGTTGTCATCGAGAGTGAATGATTTTCGCGCTGCAAAAAATTCGAATCAACTAAGTTATGAATACATATTGCATTTACAAAAGGTTGCTCGTTCGCACAGCATCTAATGCGGGAGCCTCCAGAAGGGGAGGAACTCGCTGCTGCCGCTGTGCAGAGAATACTAGGCTAGTAAAATAATTACAATCTAGGGCCTATGAACAAGATAAGCATTATTGGAAGATGCAAGCGATTGCAAATTTGCAAATATTGCAATATGTTTTGCGGACTACATTACAAAATCAACAAAGCGCCAAACGCGTTTCGCGCAAAGAGGGATGCAACAATTTAAATTACATTTAAACTTGGCCCGCCTGATCAACAATAAAACCGATGCGTGGACTTGCCGCCCACTGACTGGATTAGTTGCTCCCGCTGCTGTCTTTCAGCTGCACCCCCAGAACCTCCCGCAGTTCGCCCAGCTCCTGAGGTCCCTGCATCAGGCGCTTCACTCCGCGGGGCAGTCCGCGGCACGAAGCCAGGTTGATGGAGCTCATCTTCCGGCAGTTTGTCAGTATTTCCTTTACCGCCTCATCGGAAACCGACGAGCCACACAGATTTAAATGGCTGCAGGGCAAACGTAAATTGGATTTTATAAGCACACAATAGTTTAATTAGTTCAATATATACTCACGCCATCGGGGACTCCCTGCCCTTTTCGGCGAGGGCACGAAGAGCATTATCTATGGGCTGCTGCATATTCGCCCAAGCCAGATCCAGTTCAATGAGACTGTGCGCCCACTTGGAGGCAATGAGTTCCAGACCCGACCTGTGTTAGGAAAGTTTATGATTAAAAGGCATTTCTTATAGTGGTAAACCATCAAACATACCCCATATCCCTTGTAACTGAGCAGCCTGACAGGAATAAATGCTTGATATCCCAGGCTGGTAGGCGAATGAGGCTTTCATGCGTCAGCCGGGTGCAGTTGCGCACGTCCAGTAGTTTGAGCTTCGAACTGCTCTTCAGGATGCGCTGCAGGTGATCGTCGCTTATGATGCGCGATTCATCTGTCAAGGCAGCCACGGAAAGTTCCTCCAGATCTGGAAAGCCGGGTGAGTCCATCTGAAAATGGTTTCTTATAGAAACTAGGTTTTAAATAGATTGCCATCCGCCTTACAATTTCCTGCATTGATGCCGTGCTCGGCGTTATGTGGGAGTTCGTCACCCGCAGGACCTTCAGCTTCTGACAGCCACGCTGCAGCTTCTCAATGTGGAGTACACCGTGTGAAGTGGCCTGAGTGGTCACATTCGAGAGATCCAATAACGTTAGATTCGGGCAATGCGTCTGGAGTAGGTAACAAGAGGTAATAAGCTATAGGAAATACGAGATTAGACTGCACAACTCACCGAAAGTATTCCGACTATCTGTGGTATTCCGGCTAGACGATTGTGCGCCAAGTAAAGATGAGTTAGGCGGCTGCCCATGGTCTGTAGTGCGTTGCACAGGGAGTTCACACCCACGGCGCTCTTGCTGGCATTCATCTCAACCTGGGCGATAGAAATTAACATTAGAAATATTAATTGCAAATGATTTACCCGAACTTACATTAATAGAGCTCAAGTCTATGCGCTGCAACTTGTGCATGTTATCCACCAGATACGTCAAGTGATCCGAGGTGAAACCTTTCCAGCCGGACAGCGTAATGCCAGCGAGATTCGGGCAACCGCTTGACAACTTGGCAAGGAAGCAGTTGATGTCTGATATTTTCCAATTGGCTAAAGGGAGATATAACCAAGTTAGATGATAATTTTAGGCTTTATGGGATCAAACTTACAAACATTCAGCTCTGTACAGGCACTGCAGCGGTTGTCCACAAACCACTTGAGCTTCAGCTCAGTACGATACTTCTCCTTGACCCAAGTGGTAAGATCCATGGTGCGCCACAGAGTGGGCCGCAGAGAAACCTGTCGCCAGAGTGAGCAAACTCTGCCAAGGCGAAAGAGGGTGGGCAAACAGCCCTGTGTATCCACAGCGTGCTCGAAAATCTGTGTGAATAGAATGTATTTAAATTAATAATACGTTTTTTTTGGTACTCTATATAATGCTCACCCTGAAAAGGACTTCCTCTGGCAGCTTTTGGGCCCAGACACTCTGCTCGATGGGCTCGCCAGCCACCTCCGCATCCGAGCTCGTTGAAACCTTCTTCTCCCCGCCACTTCCTCCTCCTCCACCCTTTTTCTTTCGCGGCTCATACTCAGCCTCATCGCTATCCTGTTGCTTTGGTTTGCGGACGCGCTTGCGCACCGGTTTCGAGGCCGCGGGAACAGCAACCGGCGGAGATGTGGCGCCAGCGGGTGCGCCGTCTCCGGCGTCGGATTTCTTGATGCACAGCTTGATGCCCACCTTGTTGTCACTAATCTCGCTCTCGTACATCGGCAGCGCCTTGGGTTTTCGCGATCGGGAGGCACGTGGTGACGTGGAGGCCGCCTTGCTGGGCTTCTTGCCGCCGAGCGGTGTGGACAGAGGCTTTCCCGACTTTGGTATGGAGCCATTGACAGCCGCTGCGGGCAGTTCCTCCTCCTTCGGCGGCGGTGGAGCTGCAGCGGGGGATCGCTGACCCTCGGAGGCCGGAGAGCAGGATGTCGATGTGGCCGTGTTGGTCTCATCCGTTTGGGTTTCTGACTTGGGCGGCGACAGGATGTTCTCCGGGATGACGGCCGTGCTCCCCGAAGTGGCAGTTTCGGCGGCCAGCAATTGGGATTGTGGCGGGGTTTGTGAGGGTGTCGAGGGGGTGAGTGTGTTTATGTCCACCGTGGCAGATTTCTCCTTGTCCCCCGGGTCACTCTGCACCTGCTGCTGACCACCAGTGTCTTCTGTCTCCACTTCCATGGCCAATTCTTTGCCAGTGGACACTTCAGCTTTCTCTTTTACGCCATCTTCATCGGACACCTTGGTCTCCTCCACTTGAGAAACAAGAGATTCGCTCATCACTCCACTCGCTCTTCTGGAATTTGAAAAAAAAGAGTACAAACGTTAATACCCGATTAAGACTGGAGTATTTATCATTGATGTTGTTCAATGTAGTTGTAGGTATTTGATTGCTATTACTGTTGAAATTCAAGTTATCCGGATATCGGGTAATCTATTGATTCGAATATCTAGTTTTGCTATGACACTTGAAGATAGATAGATAGTTTAAGTACCGTTATTTAGAATAAAATCTTAAGTTTTTTAATAATTATATTTACAAAGTTCAACTCAAGTACTTTAAAATCGAGCTGGAAATATTGGAAAATTTATTGTAAAACAAATTAGTTTTTTTAATTTATTTTATTTTAATAAAATTAATAAAATATATTTAAATATTTTTTATATATTTTTTATTTAAAGATTAATAATACTTCGTTTTTATTTACTGGTTTTAATATTTATGAGGCAACATTATACGACTGAGTTTGAATACTTCGATTGTTTAATGTTTACATTAAGAATTTATCCCTTAAAATGAGAAGTTGTTTGTTATTATTAATTGTTACCGTTTATTCCAGCCTACCGATAAAACCTAAAACGTTACAAAAAACCCAATTTGAAATTTTCTCATTCCGGCCGGGAAAATCGATGCAAAAAGAACTCAACCCATTTTGGCGGTTTTTCACGGTTTCCCATTCGCCCCCGTTCTCAATACGAATCGCTCTCTCCTCTCCGAACCCAACATACAGTCGTAAATCTCACCTGCTACAACAAATTACATATATATTTTTTTGTTTTTATTTTTATTCGTTTGTTCGCTCTTAATAAACAAGTCGACCGCAGTTGGGGTCGCACCGACTTGTTAGTGACCTGTGCGCACACTCCGTTCGAGTTCCCGCCATAAATCTCGGTTCAAAAGAGGGGGGCTAATGGGGGAGCGTGGGGGGGTCTGTTCGGCTAGGGAGTACTTCCAGGGGGTTTCCTGTTTCACTATGCTGCTCTTCTTTCTCCTAGCGGCAGTGCACTTCACTTATTGCATACAATGCTCGGCGCGACGCGTGCAGGGTGCATAATCGGCATTCAACTCACCACTTGGAAGAGAGGTAGGTACACAAATGTATGTTATCTGCCGAGACAAGGGTCGTCTCGCTCGCACGCACTGCGGTACTGTACTGCACGGCGGTGTGTGAACGGTGCGGCACTACGTGTGTGTGTTTGAATTGTTCGAATTCGATTCTAAAGATTTTTTCCTTTGGCGTTTTGCGGACACTTTAGGCCTTTTCTGCTGCCCAAACGGCCGATTTCACACTAGTGCCGATCACGAGGGGCACTGCACTGCAGTTGGTCACGGTATTAGCCACAATTCGTACATTTTAGAGCGCACAATCAATTGAAACGTATTTATTTGCTGCCAAAACGACGTAGATAGAAAGCTGGGGATGTTGTTGTTGTATCGATACATCACAACAATCGCCAGTGGGACCAGGTGAGACGGTGGCAATAAATGCTGCACTTGCAACGCGGGGTGACAAGGCCGCGGAAAAAGCGTTACAATTTGAAATGGCTCAATAGGCGTAATCCAGATTGGCCACCTCCGGCAGCACGCAGAGATTCTTGTGCACCTCCAGCCAGCGCTTGGCGTCGTAGGTGGTCTTGGCGTACGTCCTCCCGAACTTGTACGTCTCCCCGGGCACGTGACCCGCATAGCTGGGCACCATGCCGTCGTCCTTGTGGTAGACAACGAAGTGCTCCACGGGCGGACAGGTGATGGCCGGCCGGCTGAGGTCCTGGCCGCAGCACCACGTGTCCCGCTTTTTCTTGTACATGTAGTCGGAGAAGCTGCAGAGCGCCCGGCGGGTGAGCACCTTGTTGGATTCCCCGAAGCGCGTGACCGACATGGGAATGTGTCCGGAGTAGCCGTTGATGATGAACTTGTCCTCGTCCTCGTCCTCCAGGAAATGCGGCGAGGTGAACTTGCTGTAGCAGAGCTTCTCCACTCTCGGCGGACAGGCCTCATCCTTAATGCCCTTGGACACTCCGGTGACCGGGATCAGAGGTGACCTGTAGTAGGTCTGTGGCAGCAGCCTCTCGTTGATCTTGCGGTCAAACAGCCCATTTCCACTCTCCAGCAGATCCCGGTGCCGCAGCGTCCGTTTCTCGCAGCGATACAGCTCCATGAGGGTCTCATGGCGGGCCACTCCCGCGGATGCGGCGGCCACATAACGCTTGCCAATCTGACTCACTTTGTTCGGCACAAAGCCAGCGTAGCCGGGTAAAATGGGATGCCGGTAAACGGAGTCCACCAGCGCCTCTCGGGTGCGCAGGATCTTCAGCTCCTGCTCGGTGGGATAGTCCTTGAGTCCACGCTTGGCGTGAATGGGAGCCACAATGAGTTCCGGGGCATGGTAAATGCAGGGATCTATTAGGAGCTTATGGGTCTGTCTTCCATAAGTTCGACCCACTCTGTCGCGGTTCTGGGCACAATGACCCGTGTACCTGAAAGCCATTAAAAGTATACGATTTATCAGATCGTTGGGGATTTAAGGAGCAACTCTTACCCTGGCACCAAGTGCGGTTCCGGCGTTATGGCGTGATCCATTATTACTAATCGTAATTTAACTTGCACAATTGATTTGGAAACTTTAGGAAATATATTTACACTGAATAACAAAGGCCTCAAATGACAGATAAATAAAGTAAGCTAGATTTGTTCTAAATAGGAAACTATTGTCACAAAAATATTAGGGTTAAACCCCCGCCACCCGCAGCATTTCATCAATCCCAACGATCTTCTCGCGCGGCTTTCCCTTGGCCTTGCCCGCCTCGCTCTCGAAGTCGTTGATCCGCCGCCAGCCATCCCAGGTCACCACTCGCTTGCCATCCGCATCGTAACCAGGTTTCGCTGATCGGGTATCCAAAGCATTCGTGGCTATGTCATCACAGATGTTCTTGGCCACCGAGAAGGCGCCGTTCATGGTGGTCACAATAACGCCAGTGGGTCCAGTTCCCAGCCAGCCGGCTACGTACAATCCCGGGTCCACTTTTCCCGAAGCATCGCCCTTGAGAACACGACCGTCAATGTTGTGGACGCGACCGCGTTGCGTGTCGAAATTGATGCCCCCATCCACGCAACTGGATTTGTAACCGATGCTGCGCAGGATTAGGTGCGAGGGAAGGCGCTCCGTGGACTCGGTGGCAACGGCAGCTTCCTGCTGCAGTTCCGTGACTGAGAACTCCATTTCCCCTGGGCTGATGGCTTTAGGAGCTCTCAAAAAGATGGGCAGGAACTGTTTGGAGCCAGAGGACCTGCCCTGCTCCTTGAGACTCTTGAGCATCAGTTCGGTGAGTCGCTTGCGAGGACGCTGCAGTTTATCCAGCTGGAGATCGATCCCTAAGGTAAAAGAAGCTATAGGTATTTAGAAACCTTGAGAGATTCCATGATTCCTACCCGAGAAATCATCGTTTCGCCAGCGGGTGTCCACATTGGGCAGCTTGAGCATCTCGCGCAGCTCCTTGATGGTGAAGGCGGCCTGCAGGGGACCACGTCTGCCCACCAGATGCACTCGCTCCACTTGGCTGCGGGACAGGGCCTCCAAAGCATACTCCGTGGTATCGGTGGTCTGTGGAAAATAAGGGTAAACATAAGAGATGCCTTGGCATAGCTAACCAAACTCACCTTCAGAGCATCCACAGGACTAAGGAGCATCCTGGCCACATCCACAGCGACGTTGCCCTGACCCACAATCGTGACATCGCGACCACTGAGATCCGGAGAAAGGTTCTCCGCGCCCGGCAAGCCATTATACCAGGCCACGAATTTCCGGGCAGAAATCACATTGCCCTGCTGCTCGTTCTCCAGCTCCAGCTGCCGATCCTGATCCGCTCCGTAGGTGAGGAGCACCGCATGGTAGCGATCCCTCAGCTCCTGGAGGCTCACATCCGAGCCCAGCGAGAGGTTGCCAAGGTAACGCAGACGCGGATGCTCGGCGGTCTTGGTGAAGGTGTTGATTACGTTCTTGACCTCCGGATGATCGGGCGCAACGCCGAAGCTGCAAAGTGCGATTTGCATAATGGGACAAGTCGTTAGCCGATAAGTGCAATGGATTGGAATGCAGCGAACACGCAACAGTGTTTCGTATGGATAAAAGCATTTGGGTTTGGAGTTGGGAGTCGCAGTCACAGTCAGGCTCTCAAGATGCAGGTGCTCGGTGCTGCTCCACTGATTGTGTGTCTTTTGGCGATCATTAGTCCGGCTGCAGCCGATCCTCTGTGGAGTCTGGATCAGTTTGGAGGTGGCTATAAACCCTGAGTTTCCTGAGAGGATTACCTATAATCCTACCCCCATTCCAGCCTACTTCAGTGGCATCTTTCGCTCCATTGTGGGTCCCATCTTTGGCTTTGGTTTGGGCACCAATAGCACCGCCTTATAATTATCTGCTTACCGCACCAGTCCGAAGGGAACCGGCAGCTTCTCGACCACGTCCACCACGCAGTCATCCAGTTGCTTGAGGATTAGCTGGGCGGCATAGAAGCCGGCGGGTCCGGCGCCCACGATGCATATCCGCTTGGTGGGCGTGGCGCCCTGGATCACCTGCAATCGGGCGGAACTCGTGTGGAGGCCACGTCTCCAGATGTTAAGCAAGCTGGTGGCCATTGTGGATCATTCGATGCGTCTGGTTTATGTGGCTTATGTTAAGGAATGAAGATGATTTTGGGATGTAAATGATGATTATGCGGTTTGCCAGGCGACGACCATATAAAGTTGTTTGTTAATGATGATTTGTTATTTACTCTTATCTGTGGATGGGCTTTTGCCGGAGGTCTCTGAAATACCCATCGAAATTGGACCAAAATAGGGCATTTACACGGCCTTGCGTTTTGGTAACACTGTGCCTCTTAATTTTATTTAATTTTATGGGTTTTCTATTTTTTTTTTTAAATAAAAGAACGTTTGAAAATTATTTTATATTGTAATTTTAGAAAACAATAATAAATTAAAAATTTTTTATGCTACCAAAAGTTATTTGTCTTTTAATCTTTACTATTTACAGGATGTTATAGACTTTCATTGCTTTTTATAAAATAAAAAAGAATTTAATTTTTTGTATGATACCTATATCTTATCTATCTTATATTCTTACTATTTGACTCACTTTTAAATTTGTTTCATCTGCAAGGGTATTAAAACTTCGACTTGCAGAGTTAATTTCCGTTCTCATTGATAAACAGCTGACTGAAATTCAACGTTTCAGCAATTCAACAGTTTGAGAAATACCAAAATTTAAAAAAAAAATTGTAATTTCTTCTACAACATCGACATTAAAAATTATAATCGAAGGATCTTAAAAAAAATTTCCGTTTACAGTTATCTTTCAATAATCCCAAACACAAATCTTATAAAACGCGTGGAAGAATCAACCCATAAAACTCCCATACTCAATTGAAATTAACAAACATGGTAAATTAAAAACCTCGAGGCTTTTTAAAAATTTTTATAAACTATAAATACTTTTCAGGACCCACTAGAACCGGATGTTTTTACCACCCAAACAAAGGAGCTCACAGAAACGGAGAGGCAAAAGTTGGAGGAGCAAAATAAACGTGGCTTCGTGCCCGAGTTCAAAGCCAACAAGCTGGAAATCGATGCCCAGAGGAACTGGGATATATTCTACAAGCGGAATGAGACGCGATTCTTCAAGGACCGCCACTGGACCACGCGGGAGTTCCAGGAGCTGCTGGACCAGGCGGACTCTAGCGACAAGCGCACCCTCTTCGAGGTGGGATGCGGAGTGGGCAACCTGGTGTTCCCGCTCCTGGAGGAGCAAACCAGCGAGGAAGGTTGCTTCACAAACGGTAGATTCTACTTCTACGCCTGCGACTTCTCACCCCGAGCCGTGGACTTTGTGCGCTCCAATCCTCTGTACGATCCCGCCCAGATAACCGCCTTCCAGTGCGACATCACGACGCAACAGGTGCACGAGCATATCCCGTCCAGCAGCCTGGACGTGTGCACCCTAATCTTTGTGCTCTCGGCCATACATCCCCAGAAGTTCAAGGAGGTGGTGCAGAACCTGTGGAAGCTACTCAAACCAGGAGGACTGGTGCTCTTCAGGGATTACGGGCTGTACGACATGGCACAGTTGCGCTTCAAGCCGGGCAACAAGATTGCCGAGAACCTCTATGTGCGACAGGATGGCACCCGCAGCTACTTCTTCTCGGAGGAGGAAGTATCCAAACTATTCCAGGAGAACGGCTTCGAGATCATCACGAATGCCTATGTCCACCGACGAACCCTCAATCTCAAGGAAGGCGTGGATGTGCCTCGCATTTTCCTGCAGGGAAAGTTCAGAAAGAATAGTTAAATAGTTACGTATTTAGTTGTTGTATTTATTTTAAATCAATAACATGGTTCAAGTCAACGTTCAATAAATATTTGTATGTATATATTAGTTTACACATGTATATATGCTAATAAGTGACAGAACTAAAAGGTTTCCTGTAGTAGAATTCAATTGAAATTGCCTGGACCCAACTCTGGCTGAATGCTGTTTATCTAAAACAAGTGAAATGCACCGGGATGTGTACGTTCTGGTTCCCCGAAAATGGAACATAATCTCCCTCTGACTGAAGCTTTAGCAAACGATCTCTACCGGGGTTTCCGTGTGTATACCTTTTGTATATAATTCTTGTGACGTCCTAGCAACACTTAGTCTAACCAACAATTGGATTTGGAATACGGTAGTACATACGAACAACTAAGAAAACCCATCGAATTCAACAAACTCAAACGATCCTTAATCCATAAATTCAAATCTCCCCTCGCGCCACGCTTTTGTTCGGCTAATACACAGCGGTAGGTGGCGAATATATATTGCTGGGTGAGTGGCAGGTAATCTTTGGATAATTCAGAGTATATACGATATAAGGTCCGACCAAAATGCAAGGGAAATAACTGCATCTAACCAGAAACATTATTATTTAAGGAACTGGAAAAATAAATAAAGTGTAATGGTTATTACTTGATCAAAACTCTAAGGGAATTGTTCTGGAATTATCCTTGGATTACCTAGCACTCACCCCAGTTATGCTTGTAAATATATATACTTGATACTTGGATTTGGCTAATCGCCTGCGGAACGAGACGATCGATTGCACTACTCCGCCAAGCTGTGCTCGGCCAGCTTGCCCCCGTTGCTGCTGCTGTGTCCCAGCGGCGCCAGTTCGATGCTGGAGTCGAAGCTCTTGGTGAGCAGGTCGCTGCTGGTCACCGAGTTGGTGGTGCTGCTCAGCGGGGGCAGGGATGTGTTAGCATTAACGCCCATCACGCCGTCGTTGAGGTCGCTGTCCACGCTGAAGCTGTTGCTCCCATTCTCGTTGATCAGCGAGAGCGTCTGCAGCGGCAGCACCTCGCCGGTGGGTGGCTGGGATTCCGCACTGGGATTCGAGCTGGGCTCCGCCTGCAGCTGGAGCAGCGAGTTGCGCTGCGTGTGCTTGTCGAACTTGCGCTGCGGTGGCTTTGGCGGCTCCTTGTCCTTCTCCTTCTCTTTCTCCTTGTCCTTGGACTTCTTAAAGCCCGCAATCAGCGCCTTGTGTGCCTGCGCCTTGATGCCCTCCATGCTGGGCCGCATGATGGAGGTGCGCGTGCCGGAACTCTCCTTGGTGGAAGGCGACTCCTTGAAGCCCGGCTCCGCCTCCTCGGTGACGCTGGCCAGCTGCTGCGGCACCTGCTGCATGGTGAGGTCCTGCACCTGGATGGGTATGTCGTCGGGCAGCTTTTTCGTGCGGAAGGAGGCGTTCGTGATCATGGACTTGGACACCGAAGTGGTCACCGTGGTGGTCGACGGCGTCAGGGCCACGCTCAGGCCCATGGGACCGTCGTTGGGCTGCCCGGAAGGATTGGCGTGCAGCGAATTGCGCACCGCACTGGTCACCAGAATCAGTTCCGAGTACATCTCGTAGGTGGCCCGGTTGTGGATGTCGTCCAGGGTCTGAATAGCTATCGTGCCATAGCCATTGAACATGGCGAAGTAGATGGCGTGCACCAGTTCGATCAGGAAGGCGGCGGACAGTGGAATGCGTGGTGAGGAGGGCTTGGGAAAAGTGGCCCCGGTTGCGGGATCGGAACTGAAAGGAATGTACATTAGTTACAAGAGTTAGCCAATGATCTGCAGCCCACTTTACCCATAACTCATGCGGTGACCGTGGCCCGACTTGGTGGTAAATCCCTGATTCACCAGCTGCGACGTGACCCGGCACAAGTGGAGCAGCGACGACTTTTGCGTCTGGCTGACCTGCTGGTTGTAGCAGAACAGCAGCGCCGTGAGGATGCGCATGCGGTTTTGGGCATGGATCGATTCAATGCGCTGGTGCGGACCCCACTTGACCTCCCGGTTGCAGTTCTCCTCCCAGCGGCGCAGATCCGTCATGGGCAGGTTCTTGACCTCGTGGTAGACGGACGTCTGGGCCAGGATGGGCATGCGGAAGGCCACCACCCGCTGGCCGCCGTCGTCGGTGGACACCTCGCCGTTGTAAATGCAGATGAGCAGCGTTTCCACGCCGCGAGCGGCCTTCTTATCGCCGCCGGCCACCGAGTGCAGGTAGGTGTAGACCAGCACGGGGATGAACTGCAGCGGGAACTTGTGGAGCGTGAGCTCCGGCGAGCGGTAGAAGGCCAGTAGCTGCTGGCAGATGTCGTGGACCAGCGCCTCGTTGCGCTGCCGCTCGTTGAAGATGGTGAAGATGGCCTCGGCGATCTCGGGGTCCGTTTCGTGCTCCACCACGAACGCCTCCGCCTCGGCGGGCTGGCCCCGCGTCCGCTGGTAGTCCGCCAGCCAGTCCCTCACCAGTTCCGCCATCGTCGTCGCCCTGCTGAGGAGGTGACCGAATCTAGAAGGTGGAATGACAAATCCGCAGTCAATGTCGGACTTTCAGTGGGTGCTTCCTCTTCGCCGCTCACCTTGACCTGGGTGGCAACTGGGATGCTAGCGACGGCGGTGGGTGTGCTGTGCAGCTGGGTTCAGGTTTCCGCACCCTGGGTTATGTGGTAGCAGTGGCTAATTAATTTATCACCCGTCTCCTCTTAATTTTTTCCCCAAATAAGCCAGGGCTGCAGCGCAGTATGGCCAGACAATCAGAGGACCGTATCTCGTCGTTCTGGTATTTAATTTATAGCAGTATATTTTGGCATTGCTCTTTGGTATATTACGAGCGGTTTGAATTAACGACTTGGTTTTTATCATTTTAAGATGACCAATTTGTTTTTAAATTTTACTTCTTAAATATTTGTATTATGGGAATACAATATGTATTCAATACATAAAGTAAGTAAGCTTGGACAGAATTTAATTTGATTTTGAAGATTCATTCTTAATGTTTCTTTATTTTATTTAATTCTTGTTCATACTTATATATTTAGGAATTAATAAAGTAAACTTCTTCTTCTTAGTATTACAATAAAAGCATTTATGGAATACAGTGCATTTTTTAAAATCTGGCATGATCAGGTCAGTTCTAGTGAGCTTTTATCTTTGTCAAAAAAATAGGTATCACCAATTCTAGCTTTATCTATGTTATAACTACAATCTATATTGAGCTTATCCTATAGTATCCAGTACTACAATTTATACGAAGAAATAATCTAGTGACTTTGTTGCAGATGGAATTGCAGGCACCTGGTTACAAACAGGATCTTAGTCTGTATTAAGGAATCAAGTTGGCAATAAAGGTAGATTATCACTACGCTATGACTATTTATCGTGGCTTTAAATATAATACCGTGCCGTTTGATTATTGTTAATTTCAATAGATTTAGCAGATTGTTTAAGAAGACAGTGAATTCGACTACAACTATGAACTCTCAACTAGAGTTCCGACTCTAACGTGAAATTATAAAATTGGCTAGATGATGGAAGAATGAAATCCGTTGAGTCTTTGCTAGCTACGCGAACGAATCAAGTCCTGTGCTAGCTCAACTCGTCTTCTGGGGCGCCAAAGCTCCAGCAGCCGCATCATAAAGTGGGCCACAACGAAGAAGACAAGGAACCAGGATCCGTGCTGCCACACCGCAGTCACCAACTCGCTGGTGGTGAAGGAGCGCTCCTGAAGAACTCGATCGTATACCTTCACTGTGCGGAGGGCCACGTCCTCCCAGTTGTAGAGCGTCTCCACCAACTCATTGCATTTGTAAGGGCACATCACTGGCTCCGTGTGGCTACTCTGATCCGCAGGTGGAGCGGAGGATGATGGCAGTTGTGGAGGAGAGGTAGGTTCATCTGCTTTCTTCCTACGTCGCCGCTTTCCTTTTCCATTGGCCTCCGATGGCAAATGACCATTGCCGGCAGGAGGCGCAACCTTAAAGGAACTCTTTTGATGCCTCTCAATGGCTACCAAAATTGCAGCGTGTATGGCATCTATTTCTGGTTCCACCAGCAGTATTAGACTCTTTGGCAGCACTTCTGGGATTCCGCCCACACTGGTGGACACCACCTGCAGGCCACAGGAAGCAGCCTCAACAATGGCCATGCAGTAGGCCTCAGTCAGTGAGGTGTTCACGAAGATGTGGCCGCGCACCAGGACATCGCGCACCTTGGCATGCTCCACGGCGCCCACCATCTCCACCCTGTCCTGCATATTTGTCTTCTCGCGAATCTCCTCCAGCAGATCCCGCTTGGGTCCATCGCCCACAATGATGAAGTTCACATTCGGAGTGTTTTTGAAGCGCGGAATGATACCAGCCAGCAAATCTATGCCTTTGCGGTAGACAAGACGCGAAGCCACTACAATGTTGACTGGAAAATTGCGATTAGTAAGGGATGGATACTAGTAAAAGGTCGTAGTACTTACTTGTATCATTGCTAGGCCGCTGTTGAGGATCTGGGGTAAACAAGGCGGTGTCCACAGCATTGGGAATGACGGAAACCCTATGTTTGGCTACTCTAGCCCGCAGAACCGTGTTCTCCTTGCCGATGTGAGACACACAGATGGCATGGTTGACCATGCCCAAGTTGACCTCCAGCAGGTTGTTGGTCAGAGCGGCCGAGAGGTCCGCAAAGCCAAAAAGGCTGTGATCGGTGAAGACAGTCTGCAGGAGGAGGAAGAAGGCTCATTAGAGATCCTTGAGGATTGAATATCACCATCACCTTTAGGCCCAGAAGGGAGCCCACCATCAGCGCCTCGTGGGCCAGAGCACTGAAGGCGGAGTGACCGTGGACCACGTCCACGCGCTCCCGGAGGAGCACCGCCCGCAGCATGGGAACATTGCAGACGGCTGTGGGCAGGATGCACTGGTTGTAGCACACCTTGATGGGCAGGTAGTAGACCTTCAGGCCACCCGTCACATAGCGAACGCCGCTGCAGTCCCCGTAGGCATGGGTCAGCACGACGATCTAGGATTTAAACAATCGTTATCTTTCGTGGACCGGCGCTCCCAATTGGCAAACGGTGACTACCTTGTGACCCAGACTGAGCAGCTTTTGCGAGAGGTTGTAGACGTGCTCCTCCACCCCGCCGATGCTCGGGTAGAAGAAGTCCGACACCATGCAGATGCGCATAATTCACTCTTCGGCTTCTGGGGCTTCCAGTAAGTTGTCATTCCACGTAAAACAAATAAATGCAAAAACTTAAACAAAATCGGTTTCCGAGCAACGGCAGTGTGGCCAAAGGGTTGCAAAATGCCGAGAATGGGGTCTGCTGATTAAGCCCTTTTCGCACGACAACTATTTAAATTGTAATAATTGTAAAAGTTAAAGAAATTATTATCCATATATTTACTCTAATGAGTTAAACTAATAACTCAAAATTGAAGTTACATAAAAACCTTTTTTATTTCGTTTAACTTAATGCACAATCACACGAAAATTTATTTTTCAGGCTTTATTTTCCACTATTTGTTTAATTTATTATTGATTCAATCAAGCAATTATTATTTTCTCTTCGTAAATAAGTACCTTTGCACTAAAACATGGATGTACCTTTTATTGTTATTAGGTACCTAAGCTTACTACCTTTCTGCACACTGCTTGAAAGTACTCATCGCGGGAGCTGGTCACACTCGTGTGGAGACGTTTTTGTTTTTGGCTGGTTTCTTGATGGCTGAAAGATGCAGAATTCCAAGGCCAAAATGGACGAATTCAAGAGCAAATTCTTGGACATATTGCACAAACAGGTAGCAGGTCACCGCACCATTGAGTAACCACCGAAACTAACCCCGTTCATATGTCTACGTTCTGGCCACCAAACAAAAACCACCCACGCACACACAGACGAACCGTCAAATGAAAATTCCTGCCATGGGATTTTCGGATTATTTCATCCAAACGGTGACCACAGATGCCTCGCCCAGCCAAGAAACGGACACCACGGACGCGGCGGCCAGCACTTCCAGCGAGACGAACGCACAAAAGTCGGACCAGGAGATCCTGGAGGGCATCGAGCAGTGCTACTACAGCCCCGACAGCAATCCGCAGCTGTACGAGCTCAAGGTAAACCAGGTGCAAAAACCAGTAACCTCTGGCTTTAATCACAAACCGTCACGATATCTCGTAGAAAGTTCTCAACGATGGCATAGACAACGAGCTCATCGAGGTCACCATTGCACAACTGCGCACTCAGCAGAAGGTTCTCACCAAGCAGGTGCTGCAGAACATCCTGGAGCAGCGCAATGCCTGCAGCAGCGAGTTCGCGGCCATCAATGACACCCAGAAGAAGCTGGAGGAGTCGCTGTGGACCTGCCAGAAGGCGAGATCCTACCTGAACTTTGCCCGCACCAACTTGACAACCACTAGCCTGGAGATCCTGGCGAGCTACCGCAAGCGGGAGGTGCTCAAGGAGGTGTTGGACACCCTGGTGGCCATCAAGAGACTGGTTAGAAGATAATTTCCCGTTTTAGTAGTGCATTTAAGTAACTCTCAATCATTTACAGCGCACCACAGACGTGGAGGTGCAGAAACTGCTGGCGGATCACAACTACAGTGCTGCCATCGCCCTGCTCCTGCAGTGCAAGAGCTCCGCCGAGGCCTATATGCAGTTCAACTGCGTGCAATCGCTCTCCAAGAAGCTGCAGGAGACCATGCTGCTCATGGAGTTTCAGCTGGACACAGTGCTCAATGAGATGGTACTGGGCTTCGATGGACGCAAGTACGCCAAGCTGCAGGAGGCCTACAAGCTGGCCAACAAGTCGCTGATGGCCATGGACCAGCTGCACATCAACTACATTTCGGCCATTCACTCTTCCGTAAATGCTGTGCTGCGCGGCTACAGCGATCTCGGCCAGGATGATCAGGCCAAGCCGCTCTACGAACAGCTGTGCGAACAGCTCAGCGTGGAGAAGCTGCTGCCGTGTTTGATCAGTCTGTGCAAGACCTTCTGGACCATTCTGGCCTCCTACTACCAAGTGGTCATGTGGCACAATAACTACAAGTTGTATGGACAGGAGGAGGAGGATTCCCCAGATGTTTACATCCAGCAGAAGCTGAAAAAGGGACAATCTCGGGTGTGGAACGATATTCTGACCAAGGTGTGCCTGTTCCTGCAGGCAGCCAAGTTGACGGCGCTCAAATACGACCAGTTCATCCAGGTGCTGTCCGTAGTGCAGCGCCTAAAAAAGGTGGGCTTGGAGTTCTGCGGCGAGCAGTCGGAAAAGCTGATCGAAACGATGCAGCAGCAGAGCGAGGAGTTTTTCAGGCGCTACCATATCTGCTGTGTGGAGGAGATCTGCCTGTTCCTGGACAACGAGTCTTGGACGCAGGTTGATTCGTTTTCGCATATCCTGCAATTGCCTGTAAGTGTTATTGAAAAATGTATGATATCAGCTTAATATCTGTCGTAAATTCGTTGTAGGAATTTCGATCGGTTCGGCACACTCTGCGACGCCACAAATCCCCGACAGCAGCTTTGCTGGCCTCATCGAACAACTCTCCAATCAGCAATAATAACTGCGACGAGCTGGTTTCCGTGCACTCCCAGGATGGCGGCAGCTCCATTTATGGTTCCTATGGATATTTTCTGCGATTCTCCGAAAAGAGTTCGCCTTTCGATGGTGGACTAGACGCAGCCATGTTGGAGGAGGATATTCTGTCCGGCATTGTGGACGAAGCCTCCTGTTACTTCAGCGAGGAGAGCGATGACGAGCAGAAGAGTTTGCAAAGCAAGGAGTTCGACGACACTAGCAAGTAATATCCCTGTAACCTCACCCAGGAATTCTTTTTAATGGAGGTTTTTTTCAGTCAACTGCTGGTAAACAACACTGCTTTGAACGTGCTGCGAATTATTGGAAAATATCTGCAGATGTGCAAGCTATTGCACTGCATCTCTCCGAGGATTGTGGCTTGCATTTTAGAGCTTATTGACTTTTACGTTTACGCTGTACACGAAATCTTCGGAAAGGATGCGGTAGATATTTATACGGCAATATGTGTTTAAACTTGCTAAACGGAATATCTTATTTCAGCCCGTGGCAACAGAGAATATGTATACTTCACGATTGGAGCAACGTTTGCGCTCGGTGGAGGCTAACGTCCTGCCTCAAATCAAGCTATGGCCCCTTAACTTTTCCTCTCTGGTAATTGGAAATCATCCTGTTCCTTAGTTTAAATCTTTAACAAATCCTTTTGCAGGCTAACAACGAGCTGGCTAATCCGGACACACTTTACGGCCTGTCGCAGCGCATCGTGGCCGTTGAGGCGGGTCGCAGCATGCTGCAGCAGTTCCACATTCTCCAGCACTATCTCAACCACCTGCTGCCCCTGGCAGAGCGTCCAACGCTGGCCAGCTACCTGGAGTACAGCGATTATATGCTCGATCTGGGCAAACCCGTTTACACCTGCGTCACGTCGCGCGTCATCGATTTGTCATCCATTCTGGCGCAGATGGCCAAGGTCAAGTGGGATGTGAATCATGTAATTCATCAGCACAGCAGCTACAGTGATGTTTTAAATAGGGTAGGAAAAAATAATAAGAAAATGGAATGCATTTACTTATAACCTTTAATTGCAGAACATACAAAGCTTTGCCATGTGTCTGGAGGAGATTGCCAAGGAGGTGCCTGTGCCTAGCAAACACGTGTGGAATTCCATGGCCCATGTGGCCACGCATTTGTTGGTAGAGGGGTAAGGATTATCAATCTTTACTGAGAAGGATTTATCTATAAAATGTTATATTTTTTAGTTTCTCCAATGTGAAGAAATGCTCTGCTGGCGGACGCGCTCTTATGCAGCTGGACTTTGCGAACTTCATGTCGTTCCTCGAGCTCATATCGAACCAAAAGTATCCACAGCATCGCTCGTACGTGGATGTGTTCATCAAGACCTACTACTTTGCGCCAGAGCAGTTTGAGCAGTGGATTGAACAGCAGCGACTGGGGGATGAGTACTCCCTCAAACAGTTGAACAACCTCATCCAGTGCATTTGTGTCAGCGACAAGCGCACGCGGCAAAGGCTGCTGCAATTGCTCGATGTTGGGATAGCAAATGGGGTGACCACGTCGACGACGCCGACAACAACGCCTCAAAAGAACAACCACGGATCCGTAGCAGGCTCAAATTTAAGCAGCGTTATCTGAGCTCCCCTGAAAGATTATTATTTTATTTTATTTATTTTGTTATAACCCCAAGCTAACCTTGTTAGTAGATCAATCTCGTGACATTCTCTATGTGTATTTAACATTCCGTTTAGTGCAAATTAACATTGTGTTTAGGCTAAAGATTCTACCTTAGTTATACAGGCGATCTCCATGATGTACTTCGTTTCGAATTTCGAATCTCCCCAACCCAGATCCTCTTTAAGTGCAATCCCCTCTCTTTTTCGCTCTCTCAGATGCAACGCAATTGGCAAACTTGGTAATTGATAATTGGCAATTGGTTCATCGTTCACCGTGACTTAAGTACCTAGAGAAAGCAGACATATATACACACAAAACACGTATAATTAAGACGTATAAATACCTATTTATTTTACTACCTATTTGTAATATTTATTTGCAGCAGGAAACGGACAAATAATTGTAGAACAGATCAAATGTAATGGGCGGCTTATCAGTTTGATTTGCCACGCCCCCCACGACAACACACAACATTAACTATTTAGCAACTGTAACAAAATAACAAAGATTACATATTTTGAGATATGCATATTACAAACAATGGTAATTTTGTGTTATCATCGGGGGCGTAACACGTCTGACGTAGCATTTATTTTTTTATAAATAAAGGAGGACATTGTGGTGGGCAACACATAGTTGAAAGGACATGTGGACGGCACTGGTTCTATTTTGGATTCCCGTCCTAATTAGTGGATCTACTGTCGATTTCATCTCTAGAGCAGCGGAAGAATATACGCTTTCTGCGATAATAATCCAAAATGATTATTGTCCACATACCTTGGTGAAGGAAATCTATCAGAATCTAACTATACCAGTGGTAGTCCTTTCAGGTGGCGAAACTTTTATTAAAATCCAAGAGATTTCTCGACCGCTACACCTTTTTTGCCTGCCTGGGCTGGAACTGCAGCAGGATCAAGAGTTACTCCAAAAACAAATCAATTTTTTGAAAGATTTTCCCAATCAAAAGACGCTATTCTATGTATCCAATAGATACTTCAATCGAACCAGAATGGACTCACTTCTAGAAACCTGCTGTTATCGCCGAATCCCAAACATAGTTGGACTCTCGGCTGCAGATGAGCATCTTCACTTTTACAGATATCACCTATATCCTAGCTTTCAAACAGAGCAACTCCCTCTTCAATCATCAACTATCTTCGCCCAGGAATTCCCCAACATGCAAGGTCATCCTCTGATTGTCATGCCCGACCAATGGCTTCCCCGTTCCATTCTCTATGTGGACAGAAGGACGGGTAAGCAAGTCCTAGCCGGATCCGTGGGTCGCTTCATCCAAGTGCTGGCCTGGAAGCTCAACGCTACTCTGCAGCTTGCTGAAACGGTGACCCCTGGACGCTTTCTCCATGCGAGTGACCTCCAGGAGCTGGGCAAAAGCATGTCCATCGACGTTCCTGCCAGTATTTCGATGGTAGAGCGCGCGGAGCAATTGTCCCGCACCAGTTATCCCTTGGAGTTGACCCACATTTGCCTGATGATCCCGGTGGCCCAGGAAATTCCCCTTAGGGACATATACTTTCTCTTGAGCAGCGTTTCCAATATGCTCCTGGCTGTGGGTATAGTTTTTACCTATGGCTTTGTTTTGAGCCTCCTGCGGAAGTTTACCAATCGAGATGTTCATCTAGCGGACTTCCTGCTGAACGACAAAGCTTTACGTGGCATACTGGGCCAGTCCTTTCGGTTGCCTTGGCCGAGGAGCAGTTCCAGCAGGTGGATATATCTAATGCTGGGAATAGTCGGTCTCAACGTGAGCAGCATCTTTGAGGCAGCCTTGGAGACGATGATGGCGCATCCACCGCGGGAATTTCAAGCTCGAAGTTTCACTGATGTTGGTAGGATGCAAATACCGTTGGTGACCACCGAAGAGGACCTGCACACACTGGTGGATCTTCACCTGGCCTTGTTGGTGGTCAATGTGAGTGAGTACCATCACCTGAGAAATGGGCGGAACTCCAGCAATGCCTACTTCGCCTCTCGATTGCATTGGACACTGTTTAGTGAGCAGCAGAAGCGCTTCTCTAGGGAGATATTTATTTACTCCATGGACGCCTGCCTGTGGTCCTTGGCTCTGCTTTCGTTCCAATGGCCACAGAGTTCCTTGTTCGCAGACCCCGTGAGCAAACTCATCCTGGACGTCAGGGCCAATGGGCTGTATCAGTTTTGGGTGGGAATGCATCACTATGACATGGTGGAAGCGGGTTTGGCCAGCTTGGAGGATCCCAGTTTGCGAATTGATGAAATAAAGCAGACTAACGCTTTGCGGCTAGTGGATCTCCAATGGGTGTGGTTAGCTTACGGAACGCTGTTGGGAATTTCGCTGCTAGTATTCCTGCTGGAAGTTTTCTGGAGTTATCTAATCATTTACACATTTATTGGATAACTCGGCAACTCCACAACACATCCGATTTGAAACATAAATTAAAATTAAAAAATCACTTAACACTTAAATAATTAAACATTGTGAATTGAAGAATCTAATCATCATCGATGATTTCGATGGGAGACTTGGATTCGTTTGGATCATCGGAACTGTCCGTGTCGCTGGTGGGATTTTTTAATTCCTCTATCTCGTCCTTGAGGTCTTCTATTTGTTCTTCAAACCGCCGCTTTTGAGAGGAGAGCTATAGATAGTGATTTGAATAATAAGTAAAGAAAATGTAGTTCTAATCCATATAAACTTACCATAAAATCCGATTCCCTTTGTGCTATCAGTAGCTTCTTCTCGCACTCGTCTTCATGTTGCTTCTTGTTGTTCTGGATTATCTCCTGGTAGGTTGCAGTGAGTTCGCTGCGCAGTTTCTCCTCCAGAAGTTGCATTTGAAGCACATGATCGTACCGCAACTGCTCAATCTCCAAACGCAGGCGGACGTTCTCGTCCTCCAGCTCCTTGGTGTAGTCGTCGCCTTCGTACGTTGACATCTTTGAGAATTCCATGAAGCCGCAGAAGCTGACGCGATGCTGCTTGACTACGGGTTCCTTGAAGATGATATTCTTGGCGATGGAGGCGAAGTTCAGGACGTTCAGGTTCTCTTCGTAGTATTTGTCCAGCGGGGTAACCGTCACGATCATGGCCAACTTCTCCTTGCCCAGCAAGGCCGCTTGCAGCAGCATCGTGAGTCTGGAGTCGCGGTATGGAATGATGTCGGCGTTTTTCTTCTTCTGCACTGTGCTGGCCGCATCCAGGCAGCGACCGAGCACCATCAGCGAGGTGTTGATGTTCTTGGCCTCCTTCAGACGCAGGCCCGAGGTTCCCGTGTTGTTCACGCGTTCCGAACCCGCCAGATCGCAGAATTTGTACGAACTCTGGGTGGTGATGCCCGAGCGATTGTACTTGAGTATGTCCACAGTGAACACACAGTGCGAGCGACTTGAGTTGGCGTTCACCGAGGTGGAGGCGTAAGTGGAGCGCTGTTGACCCAGCCGGAGCAGGCGCAGCGCTTCCTCGCTGCTCGTCACGAACACACTGGTCAGTCCCTTGATGAACACCTGGCCCTTGTTGCCCACAATCTTCAGGTTTTTCCGCGGCACCTCACCCAGCTTATCCTGTTTCGGAGGAATGGCCAGCAAGTCGTACACCAGTTCGTTGTAGATCTCCACAAAGGAGACCCAAACCAGGACGGAAACGTCGGTGGACGTTTTAGTCTCGAACGTGTGATCCCCATCGATGACCTGCTTCAAACGCTTGTGATGGGCACTGATATCCGGGCACAGGTCCAACAGCTTCTTCCGAATCTGCAGCTCCTTGAGCGAGGCGTCGTCCTGCAGAAAGACGATGCAGCCGTTGATCAGCTTTAGCTTGGGCGAGTGGAAGATGGTGCCCTTGTAGATGGTGAATATGTTCTCCAGGGCACGTGGAATGATTCCAGCACGGACATCGTCGCCTGGTAAAGAATTAGGATTAATAATTGACAAGCTAAGTATATGCAAATCCCTATAAATTACCCAGCAAAGTGTAGGTTTTGCCGGAGCCCGAAGTGCCGTACGTCATGATGGTCACACACTCCTCCTCCATGATCTTGGGGCCCACACAGGTGTCGTAGATGTCCCGCTGCCCAACGGTGCTGTCGAAAATGGAGGTGAAGCCAAAGTGCTTTTCCATGCGGTTCACGTTGTTGCTGGTGGAGTCCACCTTGCAGCTGGTGATCAGGACGTTGGCCTCCTCCGAGACAATGTACGCCTTGGAGGCATCCTTCACGGGACGCATGCGCAGGAAGACCTGAGGTCCCGTCTCCACGCTGCTGCTGTCCGCCGCACTGGTGGCGCACGAGGCGCCGTCTGTCGTGCCGCTCGTCTGGTACTTGTACTCCGATTCCGTGTCCGAGTACTCCGAGTAGCTCTCCTCCTCCGACTCCTGAATGTTGTCGAACAGACGCATCTTCTTGTTTGGACGCGGCCGAAAGCGCCGGTCGATGGACGGATCGCGGGCCATCAGGAAGGAGCGCGTCTCGCGCTTCGGCACCTCCGCAACGTCCTCCTTGTCTTCCATGGCTGGGTTTAATGGATATTAAGGATATTTTTTCCCTTTCGCGCTATTTTTCAGAAGCCAGGGTGCTGCCAACTTCCGTTAAATTTAAAATGACAGCTGGCACACTGCTTAGTGTGACCGTTGGAGCACTAAAATTGTTCGTTAAAATATACCATTTTAAAATTCGAATTACTTGTTGACGGACGACCACGTAGTGACGAATCGCACCGCGATTTAAATATTTATATTCTGTTGCGATAGCTTATTGATATAAAGGTGATAGATAAATAAAGAAAATGAAAATTAAGTTAATACAGGTTTACTGTGACAATTCCACACTATTTGCTTTTCCTAGCTTTTAGCTAAAGTTATCGCATTCGCAATAATTTCCAGTTTTCACCTCTATCTATTTTTGGCCGTAATTAGCAATGAAAAATACATTTTTACATAACATAGGTTAATAATTGACAACAAATAACCGCTGTTTGAATCTTCAAGATGAATTTCTATCACAACATTTTAAAATAATTTCCTTTTTTTTACATATTGCAGGATAAGTCATGGTTATAGTTCGACAACTCAATTAAAAAAAGTATGTATTCAAATACTTGAGCCTTAAAGATATATGTATGAAGAAATGTTATTTGGTTGATAAATTATTTAGTATCGAATTATTATGCAAATATTCAGTTCAACGACTTGATTATCGCGCATTCTCCAATGTTGCCTTATATCTGTAAGTTTGTGCAGATTAGCAGCGGCAGCAAATAATTAGGTGACAAATTACCGGCACACCACCGGCCATTTGTTTAATTTTTTGTTAACAAGTCTGGGCAGCATAATAATAACAGGCTGTGCAAATAGACCGTTCTGTCGCCAAATATGTACTCACAACGCAAATTAATTGCCCTTGCTTGCTTTCTTTTTTTCAGTCAGATTTTTTACGCCCCCAGTCTGGGAACTCAAGCAAATATTGACAAAATGAAAGAGTAATAGTAAGGGAAGCAATTAACGATTGTTTTCACTCGGCAAATATTGTTGTAATAAAAGTTCTTAATGAATCGAAATTGCGCGCTTGGATTTGATATTACGGTACGTCACGTGATCTCCATTAAACTTTTTGTACTTATAAAAACTTAAATTGTTAATTATTAAAAAATTATACAATTTTAAGACATTTTTGTAAGATTAAAACTTAACGAACTTTTTGAAATGGGCGCCCATAATACTTGCATTAAGTTGGCAGCCCCATAAAGCTGAAAGTCAAACAGTTTTCGAAAATGTCAGCGCCAAGAAATGTCAAGGAATTCTACGAATTGTATTAGGATTAGTATCATTAAAAATATCCTTTTTTCTAACAACTATTTTCAAGACTGTTTTAGGATAAACATCGAGACACAATGAGTGAACTGACTGAAGCAGTGGCTGTGGGAGATCCCCGAACCGGAACTCCCATGCCGGAGACCGCCGACAGCCTCTTCAAGATGCCCTTGCCACCCACAATGACGCCTCTGGCCATGCCAAATAGCTTCTCCCCGGGATACGCCATCAAAAACTCGCTCCTCGGGCACCTGAGCTGCGTTTCGTCGGTGAAGTTCAGTCCAGATGGCGGGCACTTGGTCAGCGGCTCGGGCGACAGGCACCTCAAACTCTGGGACGTGGAGTCGGGCATTTGCCTCCAAACGCTGGCCGGGCACGGCATGGGCATCAACGATGTGGCCTGGTCGGCGGCTGGACTACTGGCCAGTTGCAGCGATGATAGGACAGTGCGCCTTTGGGATCCCCGCAGCGGAATCTGCTCCAAAACTCTGAAGGGGCACGGCGGCTTCGTCTTCGCCTGCTGCTTCAATCCGCAGTCCAACCTGCTGGCCTCCACCAGCTTCGACGAAACGGTGCGCCTGTGGGATGTGCGCACTGGGAGATGCCTGAAGAAAGTAACCGGCCACCTGGATCCCATCACCTCGGTGGACTTCAACCGCGAGGGCAGTCTCTTCGTGACCAGCAGCTTCGATGGCCTGGTGCGCGTCTGGGAGTCGAGCACCTGCCATGTGCTGAAGACCCTCGTCGAGGAGGACAACACTCCGGTGGGCTATGTCAAGTTCTCGCCCAACGGACGGTACATCCTGGCCTCCACGCTGAACAGCAACCTCAAGCTGTGGAACTACCAGAAGCCCAAGTGCCTGCGAGTCTATCGCGGTCATGTGAACGAGTCCTACTGCCTGACCTCCAACTTCTCCATCACCGCGGGCATTTGGATCGTCTCCGGCAGCGAGGATGGCACGCTGTGCATATGGAATCTGCAGACCAAGGAGCTGGTCCAAAAGGTCGCCACCCAGGGCGACCAGGTGCTCTGCACCGACTGCCATCCCAAGGCCAATGTGATGGCCAGCGGCTCTAAACAGAATACTTTCGCCATCAGAATCTGGCAGAGCAGCGAGTAGTAGAAGCTTTAGGCCTTCCGATTAACCTGTAACTGCTTTTCCTTTATCAAAAGGCCGGCCTGGCCATTAAGCAAACGCGCCGCTTGTCTTTGTAATTGTTGATCGTCGGCCTAACAGGGCTAACAAGATATGGCTTATGGCGGTATCGGTACCTGCTCTTGTAAATCTTATATGGCGAACACAAAGCGCGATTGCTCTCGGTTGCTCGACGCAAATCGGAGCTACAGTCGCGTCTGGAGCGGCACAACGAGCGGACGCCTTAGCTGCCCGGTATATATATATATATATATATACTCTGCGCAATTACCGATCTCCCGTTCGTTCTCAGTACCAGAAATCCAGTTCGAAGCTGGAGAGGCATTAGCGGCGATGAGGAGCAACGAGGGTGAGTAACTGCGCCCGGGGTTTTTCCGGAAACAGAACGGCTTTCAGGGTCAGTTGATTTATGTCTAGCGATTCCTCCCCGCCAGTGGGAAAGTGGGCTGTAATCGTATAAAATACGTGCCAATTCATAAAAGAGTATCTGAGTGGACTCTTATCTGCGTGGGGTAGTCCGTGCTCCTAGCGACCACCGACCGATAAGATGACCAGCCCAATGTCAATAAAAGCAACTGATCGGCAGATCGACAGATGTCCCAACACATGTTGCTGCCAGGGAAGATTAGGCCACAGGAGGAGGGGTTATCTAACTAATCAACTAATCCAAGGCCTGTTTTGGACCCCGCAGATAATCTGTACCGGGAGCAGCTCCCCAATGTGGGCTCGCTTATCAGGGATGCCGGCCGCAAGCTGTGTCGACCGGCGACAGTGACCAACAAGTTCCCCATCCTGAAGTGGCTGCCTCGCTACCGGTTGGAGTACATTATGCAGGACTTCATAGCGGGATTCACAGTGGGTCTGACGACCATACCGCAGGCAATTGCCTATGGAGTGGTGGCTGGTTTGGAGCCGCAATATGGATTATACTCCGCCTTCATGGGCTGCTTTACATACATCGTGTTTGGATCCTGCAAGGATGTTACAATAGGTGAGTTGGATCTTTGGTCTTTGCAATGCCACTGCTAATTTCCTAATCTCCTCCAGCTACAACCGCCATTATGGCCTTAATGGTCAACCAATATGCCACCATCAGTCCGGATTACGCTGTGCTGGTGTGTTTCCTGGCTGGCTGCATTGTTCTCATCCTTGGTTTGCTTAACATGGGCGTCCTGGTGAGATTCATCTCGATTCCAGTGATTACGGGCTTCACCATGGCGGCGGCCGTCACAATTGGCAGTGCCCAGATCAACAACATCGTGGGTCTGACCAGTGAGTTTCGAAAATTTGTACTTGAAAATATCATTCTACCTGAAATTTAAATCCACTCCGAATAGGTCCTTCAAATGACTTGCTGCCCGCCTGGAAGAATTTCTTCACCCACTTGTCGTCAATTCGGGTGTGGGATGCCCAGCTGGGTGTCTCCTCTCTCGTATTCCTGCTGCTCATGACGGTAGGAGGGCAATTAAAATACAAATTTATAATATGCTGCTTCCAATTGAAACCAATCAGCCTTGTTCTCGCTTCTACTTCCGATCGGTTGATTGTAAAATATATTGACGTTTCGTTCGAGATCAGGTTTTCTGTTAAATATTTGGGTAAAAACTAAACTAATAATATTTTAACTTAATTTTTTAGTTAATTGATTGTTACACATAGCATCGTATGGTCTTCGTTTTAAACACATTTACACCCTCAGCAGGAAAAAAAGATTTTTAAATGTTTGCTTAAATTAAAAATGTTAGTTTTTTAATATCTAATTCTTTTTTTTTAGGAACAGCAAACATTTTTTAAATTTTAGCAGAATCAAACATAATAATCTTTTATCTTTATAATTTAATGGAATTTAATTAAATGATTTCCAAAAATTACTTACTTACAGCGCGTAAAGGACATCAAATGGGGCAACCGGATTTTCTGGAAGTACCTTGGCCTCTCCCGCAATGCCCTGGCTGTGATCTTTGGCACCTTTCTAGCCTACATCTTGAGTCGAGATGGCAATCAGCCCTTTCGGGTCACGGGAAACATTACGGCCGGAGTGCCGCCCTTCCGTCTGCCTCCCTTCAGCACCACTGTGGATGGCGAGTACGTTTCCTTTGGCGATATGATCAGCACTGTGGGCGCTTCTCTGGGTTCCATTCCCCTGATCTCGATCCTGGAGATAGTGGCAATTTCCAAGGCATTCTGTAGGTATACCGTGCACTAGCTTTGAAGGAAATATCTTAAAGGATTCCCAATTTACAGCAAAGGGTAAGATTGTGGACGCCTCGCAGGAGATGGTGGCCCTGGGAATGTGCAACATCATGGGCAGCTTTGTGCTCTCCATGCCTGTAACCGGATCCTTTACCCGAACGGCTGTAAACAATGCCAGTGGTGTGAAAACTCCCCTGGGAGGAGCAGTCACTGGTGCCCTAGTGCTCATGGCCCTGGCTTTCCTGACCCAAACTTTCTACTTCATACCCAAATGCACGCTGGCTTCAATTATTATAGCAGCCATGATATCGCTAGTGGAGCTGCACAAGATTAAGGATATGTGGAAATCTAAAAGTGAGTATAAAGTTTACTATAGGTTATAGCTTCTAACGCTCGGTATTTCTCTTACAGAGAAGGATCTGTTTCCCTTTTTGGTTACTGTTCTCACTTGCATGTTCTGGAGTTTGGAATACGGAATACTCTGTGGCATTGCTGCTAATATGGTCTATATTTTATATAGCAGTGCACGTCCCCATGTAGACATCACACTGGAAAAGGTGAGATTATCCTTTTCTATATATATATAGTATAAAAAATAACAATTCATTATATTCCAGATCAATGGTCATGAAGTGAGCGTGGTGGATGTGAAACAGAAGCTGGACTACGCCTCCGCTGAATATCTCAAGGAGAAGGTGGTGCGATTTCTGAATAATCAAAACGGCGAGACGCACTTGGTGGTCATAAAGGGCGACGAGATTAACTCCATTGACTATACAGTCGCCATGGTAATTATCCCTTGAAAAGCAAACAGTTTATCTATCAGATTATAATGATTGCTCTTTATCACAGAACGTTGTCTCCATGAAGGGCGACTTGGAGGCCCTCAACTGCGCCATGATCTGCTGGAACTGGAACATCGCCTCCGCCGGCGTCGTTTGCCGCCTCAGCAGCGATCTGCGTCCCATCTTCAAGTTCGATTTGTCACTTGAGGAGGTGGTGGCTGGCCACTTCGACAGTCCCTCCAACACAGCCTCCACTGTGACCATCCAGGCCTAGACACTCTAGATTATTTTCACTAACATTTAAGCTGAAAGTATTACCTCAAGATCACAATTTAATAGAGTTGCATTTAAGAAAAAAGAAAACAACCACTTGAGAGGCGACAGTTTGTCTGGGGAAAGCAAGTGATCTAGGATTACGTCTGGAGAATCGTGTCCTTCGAAGAAACTGAGAAATGATGTCATAATAGTTGGTCAGGGAAATTAATTGAGCCGTTGACCGCAACTCGCAGACTGCCTGTCGGCGACCTTTCTCCGAACCTCCTTTCACGAGGAAAGTAATTTATGACCCCATATATAAGGCAGGCACTTCACTTTGGACGAGAGAAATTCCCTTTGCAAGGAAAACGAGTTCTTGGAAACAAAAGGCTCATCTTTATTTATTATTAGGTTTGGTTTTGGACTCGATTGCATAGTTACCGAGAACCCGTTGGCCGGTGGGATCGAATGGGCTGCGCAAGTGGCAGTCGGCGCGATACTTCTTGCCCAAGATGTCTACCTCGTACTCCCCGTTCCTTATGTAATCAGCATCGATGATCTGTCCATCTGGCCTGGAAATGTACGCCTGTCCGAGGGGTTTTCCCAGGCTATAGGCATATTCCGCTCGTCGCAGGATGCCCACTGGTTCGCCATTCCGATAGACACCCTCCAGACCCCAAATGGGGATTTGATCCTGGAGCGTCAGGTAAACCAGGCGCTTCTTCAGGCCTTTAGTTCGCTGCTTTTCAATTGCCGCCTTGCCACGATACTCAGCTCCTGTTTTGCGACAGGTGAATCCCAAGCCAGCTTCCAGGGGAGTATTATCCGGACGCAGATCGAAGCTCCACAAGTGGTAGCCCTTCTCGCTGCTGAGGGAGTACAGCGATCGGTAGCCAGCATTGCGGAGATCCTGTTCAGCACCAGCATTCATCAGACTCCGATAAACGGCCACACAATCCTTCTTGGGCACATGGAGCTCGTAGCCCAGTTCACCCACAAAGCTCACGCGGAGCAGGCGGAGACCCACATCGCCGAACTTGGCCAAGCGAGTGCTATTCGGTGGCACCTGCTCATCGGACAGATCGCAGTCGATGAGGGGCTGCAGGATCTTCCGGCTGTTCGGTCCTTGAATGGATATCACACCTAATTCCGCGGTCAGGTCCTTGAGGCTGGCATTGAATCCTTTCCTACGGATCTCTGCCCTCAGAGAGCTGTATGTGTAGAAGGCAGAGGCGCCACCAGCCACGATATAGAAGCCCTGACCATTGAACTTTGGATCGTGGACCTCACCGGAACCGCTCGCCAAACGGGAAATGGTCACATCGGCCTCCACTCCGCCAGCATCGTTAAGGGCACAGGTGTAGACAGTTCTAAGAGGCATTAAATAGTTGGTTATTAATAGGTTTGATTCTAAACAATTATAATTATAACAATTATAAAATATATTAAATTATTCACACCATAAAAAGCATGTTCCCGTAAAATCGATATGGCTATGTAAATTTCAGGTCTTGCAAAACCCATATCGTTTTTACATGAAATACTCTTTTCGACAAGGAAAAATTGATCTTAAATAATGTAAAATCGATCTACGTTTCATATCGATTTTTTTTGGTTGTACCATTGACTTACTTGCTGGGATCCCGGTTGGTGTTGGCCGAAAAGAGCCAGTCGGCGGCCTCCTGAGCTTGAGGACCCTCTAGCAGAAGCTTGGCGAAGTAGCTCATGTTGAAGACCACCGCATTATTTCGACAGGCCATTGCCTCCGATCCAATCTAAAAAACAAACGCTTAGGTCAAAACCTGCAGATAAGAAAGCTTCCCCTACTCACCAGATCGTGGTACTCGGAGAATCTGCTGTAGTGAAGATCGCCGTCCAGAACCTTCTCGTACTCGCTGTCCTGGTTTCTCTGGTGGCCATAGCTTCCGTACCAGTCATACGGTTGCACCACTGCTTTCCTAGAACCGGAGGGTAGGAAGAATCCTGGCCTCTCCCAACCCTGCTTCTCCTCCATGACGGCTCCCGCCTTCGTCATCTCGTCGTGCAGGGGATCCTTTTGGAAATCACGACCCGCCAGAGGTTGATCGTACTTAAACACCATGCTGTAGTTCTTCACGTAGCTCTCGTGTGACTTTTCCCTGATCCACTGGGTGGCTTTGCCCTGCTCCTGGGTGAATCTACGCAGATCAAAGCCGAACATGGGCAGATCCGGCTGGCCTTGGATGACCCACAGGGCAGTCTGCTCCCCGCAGCCACCGCCGAACATCATTCCCGCCGAATTGAAGCCGCAATTGTGGTACAGTCCATCTAGAATCGGATCCGGACCCATCAGGGGTTTGTGATCGGGTGTAAATGATTCCGGACCACAAACAGTGCTCTTCACACCGTATTTCGCATAACTGGGACACAATTTCTGGGCTCCCTCGACATGAGCCTCAAAGACCGACCAATCCAGTTCATAGAGGCCAAAATGGAAGTCCTTGGGAACGGGTTCCAGTAATATAGGATTCGGTTCGTAGCCACCCATGCAGATGGCGTCGCCTTGGATGCGGAAGTAGGTGGAGTAGTCATGATCTCTGATGTTGGGCAGCCCTCTTACTCCGGGAATGGATTCCGAGACAATATAGGCATGCTTCATGGGCACCAGGGGAAGGTGAGAGCCGTGCTTGGCCACCAGATCGCGACCCCAGACCCCAGTGGCATTCACCACCTTCTCCGCTTTGATGTCCCCAAAAGGGGTGGTTACACCCACAACCTTCTTACCCCTCGGGGTTTGTTCCACCAGTAGGTCATCCACTCCACAATTCTCGATCACCTGGGCACCCAGATTGGTAGCTGCCTTCTTGAGGGCAGCACACAGCATCGCCGGATCCATGACACCGTCACCGGGAGAGTACAGAGATCCCACAAAGGCCGAGTGATCCAGGAGGGGGAACAACTTTTGGGTTTCCTCGGGACTCAACACTTGGTTCTCGATACCCAGAGCCGAACCCACTGTGGCCAATCTGCGATACTCATCCAGACGCGTTTCATTGTGGGCGATGAATATGCCTCCGTTTTGAATCCAACCCGGATCCAGACCCGTTTCCTCCTCCAGTCCCTGGAGCATCCGACGCGAATTGGCCAGCAGCTGAATATCCACATCGTTGGGACGCAGGCGCCACAATAATCCGGCGGTGTGCCAGGTGGTTCCGGCCGTGAGTTGGGCACGTTCCAGGAGAACCGCTTTGACACCACGACGCGCCAGGTGATAGAGGGTGTGACAGCCCGCCGAGCCACCGCCAATTACCACCACATCCGCTGAGGCTGGCAGGGATCCACTTGGCTGCTGACGGGCTCCTCCTCCTCCATCTGCTTTCACTTGCTTGCTGATCTCCCGGCGGGATGTCTGCTGCAGGATGCGATGGCGCCACATCTCGAAATGCTACCACGCGCGGCGAATATAGAATCTCAACTAAATACTTAGTACTGTCCCGCCTTGATAATCTCCCGCTGAATGGGTCTGATGGTCCAATCTGATGACCCCTTGGGTCAGCATCCTGATAAACCTGCTGCCCGTGACGTCCCATCCAAGGCCTTAGGCCCTAATCAAGGCTACGACTCTACAAAGGCCTCTTCTTATCTCGGTTTCGGAGGTGTGCCAAGTAGTAAAATTAGTTCAGAGCTTCCTAGGTCAAAAAACAATTTAATCTTACCAATTTTAGTTTAAATATAGATGCTTTTGCGGATTATAATTTCAATATTAATTTAAATTAATCTGATTAACAGCAATTAATTCTACGAGCTTTAGGAGCTAATTTAATTGTTAGTTGAGTTATGGGAAAATACAACCTTAAAGACACTATAATTGTGCCCTGTGTATAGTTTCAGAAATTGTTACTGCGAACTTTTTTAAATATTTTTGGACTATTTGAAAAATGTAGAAATATATAGAGACGAATACTTAAATGATTTTCACTTTGTTATAATTTCAATATTCATTAAAATGCTTTTTCTTAACACTAATTTAATGATTATATTATTTTGGCCACCACTCGCAGACAATTTGAAGAGCAAAGAAATATAATTTCCCCATAATAGAGTCAAATACTCAAATGACTTCCACCCTGACCCCCAAAACAGGATACGCAGTTGAACCACAGGATTATGATCACTCCGGTTTGGCATTAATGCTTATCCCTAAATGCACTACGGGACCGAACCCAGGTGGTGCCATCTGGAACCGGAGGCTTGGCACGCTTCGCACTCGCTTGTCGCACATCCTTGGGACGCAGCTCCGAAATAGACCGATAAACAGAGCGATTCATTTTGAATTTTCCCGCAGAACGAGCGGATGGAAGAAGACTGGGCCAATGTGGTGGCAGCCAGAAGCTAAACATCCGAGAAAGAGACCGCCGATCGCACCATGTGTCGGGGTTCCTCCGCCAATTGGGACTGTTTGCGGAGCAGGCACGCCCACCAGAGGTGCCAGAAATAGCCGGATTCTGGAGAGTAGAGAGTGCTCAAAAAGGAGGCTCTCCCCGTAACCCTTGACAGAAGTGCTCTATGTGCCACGCAGATCGGACGTATTTGACTCGTAGATCAGTTTCGGTTCGATACGGTTCGATTTTAATTGAAAAGACTGAGTAATTGGATTTAAATATCCAATTTGAATATTTCAAAAGTGATACTTGTGATACTAAATATTGTGCAATAATGCCACGCAAGAAGCGTTCTTCCAGCCCCATGGATCTTTTCGACGACGATTTCGATGAGGATGCTAGCTCTCAAAGTAAGTTTTATATATAAAATTATAAGCTTTTTTGTGATAAGCAACCACTTTTAAAAATATAATGGCTTATATTTTGAATTACTTTCCTATCTATACAAATAAAATTTAATATCTTATCCAAACAAATTATTGAAAAACTTCAATAGTCCATTGAAAATCAATCTGCACCTGTAGTTTTTATACCCGTTACTCGTAGAGTAAAAGGGTATATTGTATTCGTGCAAAAGTATGTAACAGGTAGAAGGAAGCGTTTCCGACCCCATAAAGTATATATATTCTTGATCAGGATCACTAGCCGAGTCGATCTAGCCATGTCCGTCTGTCCGTCTGTCTGTCTGTCTGTCTGTCCGTCTGTCCGTATGAACGCTGAGATCTCGGAAACTATAAAAGCTAGAAGATTGACATTTTGCATGCAGATTCTAGGAGTTCCTACGCAGCGCAAGTTTGTTTCAAAAGGGTGCCACGCCCCCTCTAACGCCCACAATCGCATATATACGATTTTAAAAATTTCAATATTTTGGAAAAGTAAAAATGCAGTTTTATTGTGTTTATCAATACCTATCGAAATGTAGAAGAAATTTTTTAAATCGGACCATTCGTTAAAAAGTTACGGCGGATCAAAGTTTTTCTCCATCTCTTTCGCACTCCCTTTAGCTGAGTAACGGGTATCTGATAGTCGGGGCACCCGACTATAGCGTTCTCTCTTGTTTTTGTATGAAATATATATTTTACAGACTACTGTGCTTTCGTTCATTAATATTCTTAACAATTTAATTAATACCTATCCAATCTAATTTGTAGCATAACAGTGTATTTAATATTATATCATACAAAATAAATTTAATCAATTCAACTCACTAAACCTCTAAGTTTGAATTTAATTATTTTTTAAGCATTCGATTTGAATAATATTCAGATATAGTTAATTTAAATTAATTTAAGCTTAAATATTACTTTGCGTTTATGAGAAAAATCTAAGTATATGTTAACTGTTATCTTTTCAAATTAATAGGCTCCCAGCCGCCGGTGCAGCGAAATGCGGCCAATGCCCGGGAGCGAATGCGAATGCGGGTGCTTTCCAGCGCCTACGGACGCCTCAAGACCAAGCTGCCCAACATTCCGCCGGACACGAAGCTCTCCAAGTTGGACACGTTGCGTCTGGCCACGCTCTACATCAAGCAGCTAATTACGGCCGTCGAAACGGGGAGCAATGGCAGCCACACCCACTCGCACAGCCACCCGCACAACCACAGTCACCACCTCAACCACAGCCACTCGAGCACCGCCAGTTCCGACGGCCTGGACACGAGTCACATGGCAGAAGCCTCCGGAGCAGGCAATTACCATTTCCACAACAGCGGACACGGCATGGTAAGTGTCACACAATCGCGATCCCTGTCCCCCAATAAGTGATGTCACTGGCACCACTTAACGATGCACTGCATCCGCGGCTAATGAATGAAACCGCATTGCTGAGAAGGTGAATTTCAGGTGGATAGCGTCACATAATGACAGGTATCGTCGGGGATCCACAGTGATACTCCCAAGATCAACGTAATCTAATTGCATAGTAATGATCAGCAGGTTGAGAATTCTCATATTACTTTACTGCGGTTTTTTAGGGAATTTTAAGAAAATGTATATTCTAATTATTTTAATTAGAATTTCTAATAACTTTAAAGGAAATAATTCCTAGGGTTCTTAATTCTGTTATTCTATTACCATCAAAGGAATACGATTTTAGGGTTTCTAAATAATTTCTTTTAAATCTGAGATACATGTTAAAGTGTAATTTATATTCAAAAACTTCGAAATATTTGATATTTCCGTAACAGGAATATAGAAACATTAGAGGCGTCGTTTTTATAAAACCCATTAAGTAATTACTTATTCATCTAATTAAATTTGTTTTAGATTAGTTAGGTAATGTAATTTAATTCCCCACAGTAATGGGGTATTTCAATTGAAACTGACCGAATCTTAGATCAAAAATCCCAAGCGATTGTGCATATATTTATGGTGCAACATCTGGTTGGTGATTCCGATACGGCGACAAGTATTTCCACCTTTTCTAGGTGGAGGTGGACCCATACCCCATCCCAAGACCAAGACCGGAGTCAGCCATTCAGCCAGGCCCCCCACTAGAACATCGAAATCACATTTTGTGATTTCAGACTGCCTCGCTTTCCTGTAATCCGATACTTTTGTGAATTTCGAAAATATTAAATATGAGTGACAGGCAAGTGGAGCGGGGGTGGAATGGTGACGCTACCGCAGACCTGCGGATCGGGATGGGGGGCACTAGTTAGTCTTTGCCTTTTATTTTTAAAGATGCTCGACTTTGATGCGACAAAGTGAATGACATCCGAGGGAAAGTGTCGCCCTCAGTAGTTTTCCCACTCTTGATAATTGTAATTAAAATTTGTCTAACCGTGTTTATTCATTCTCGCCGGAGTTTACACAATCTATCACTCAAGATTCATGGCGCACAACTTATCTAAATAGAAGCAATTGTTTACCCGCCGAATGCGTGAAAAATTCAGCAAATACGGTTCCGTCTTGTGCCCATATGGCGGCAAATTCCCGACCCTATCCGAATTTATCCTATTTCATCTTATTCCATCTTATCCCATCCCACTTTCCATCGCACGCGCCCAAGATGATCTGGTGGGAACAACCCATTGGTTCGGTATTTGCTCGCTATCCTATCCCTAGCATCCCTATATCCCATTCCCATTTACCATTTACCATATATGCCATACAAATGAGTGTCTCTTGTCCGCAAGTGTTTGGCTGTTTATGTTTTTATAGATCCGTTAATGAGGCTGTTATTGTAGAGATCTATGGATGAGGCGGGGGGCACTAAAAACAATCAAAGTTGCGTAAACAAACAATGGCGCTGTCTGGGATGGGTTGTCGTCATATTGTTCCAAATATAGCCCCTGCGGTTTCCTCGACTTTTATGATTTATGTCTCTTTTTCACCAATTTGTTCGTATTATTTCTTGCAGAGCTGGCCCTTCGAGTTCCACCAGAGCAGTCGCAGTCTGGCCTATGTCTCGTCACCTTCAACCACCAACTCCTCGTCCACTCGCCTGGATTGGCAATCCCTGCATCCGCAATCCTATCCAAAGTCCACACGCAGCGAAACCCATGTCGCCGCGGATCTCAGTTACCATCAGTTGCCGGAATCGTCGCACAGTCACTGGTATCCGGCGGAAATGCATCAAATGGAGCCAGCGGCCAGCTGTTCGTATGAGACGGGAATGGGGCAGCATCAGCGGGGTCTGGCCATAGCCACCAGTCACTCGCAAGGCATTTAAATGGATTTCTTATCTCGAATGTTGTTCTCACCCAAGCCAAATGTAATTTACTCTACCACCTAGAAAGTGTATTAAAACGTGATTTACTTGTATATGTATCCGTATGTGCAAACCCAAAGATTGGTGTTACCTCATGATCTTTTAACTAGCAAATATATAAATGTTTTTATAAAAAAAGTTAATTTTGCATTTAATTTAAATTGGCGCCACTTTGCAGTAAAGGGCATTAAAGTTTTGATTTTTGAACTAGAGGTTCTATATATCATTTCCATAATATTTTAAAACTACTATATTTATTGATAAATTATAGTTATCCAGATCATTGCCGTTACTCATTTTAAATTCAA